TATTCGCTTGACTATTTGCAAAAACTCAAAATAAATAAGCTTAAAGCTTTCGTGTGATACAGTATTATTGATCAGTGATACTTCTTTTTGCGGACTTTCTAGATTTGCACTTTCTAGCTCCATTCTTTCGATTTTTGATTCGATTCGCGGTTCATTTAAATTTTTTTTTGTTACTTTTTGGAGGTCTCCGATTTTCTCCCAATCCAATGTCTCGCTCGTGAGACGCCAAATTGAATCGAAATAATGAGTTGTACGAGGCCAATCACATCTATAATACGATCCTCCAGCAAGCAAAAGGTTCCCACTGGGAAGGCTTACCAAAACATGATGCGAAATATGTCTTAAAAGGGTGAAAATAAATAATTGATTTTAAACTACCTTTCGGGGAAGTCGGGAAGTCCTGACCAGCCAAAAGAATGAAGACTCTCCACTTTATTCCTTTCGTAACAAGAACCGTAACTAAACCGTCCGTAAGAACCTCCAACTGTTGTTGGTTTTCCTCTAAAGTAACCAAGTTTTCCTCCATGATGCGTAAATCGGGAAGAAAAGGTGGACATTGAATATTCTCCATCATGGACTTCGCATTTGTTTTTGTCGAAAACATCAAAGCAAATTAATGCCTTTTCTCCATTTTCGATGGATAGTGCAGCTCCGCCATTGGAAAATTTATTGATTAATTGAGTCGGAATTTCCTTCCATATGCATCCTTCAAGTTTCGCCACCTTGAAAATAATTTTAGGGAATTATCTTTTTTTTTTTTACTTTTCGAAGATCCGAGTGTCCTCCAAAAGCAAACAGCTCGTTTTTGACGATCGCATGTCGACATAAAAGATATCCGGCGACACAATTGCTGCGTTGCTCGTTTTCGAACCATCCATTCTTTTGTTATGTATTCGCCCATAACCAAAATTGCCCTTTCATAATTGTGAATAAATCTTTTCATTTTTGTAAAACTATCGAATTTAAAAATCCGTATTTTTTCGTTTCCGACAAATTTGAGGCCGTCAATTTTGAATCTTAAGGTATTTTTGTATGTCTGCAAATTCTATTATTGCTCAGTAATACGGATCTTATCAAAAACTTATTCTTATATATTACTGTCCCTCGTTTACTTCTAAAACATATGAATCATTCAAGTCCGATGATTTGAAATATAATTCCCATTCCGACAATTTTGTTACATTCGCCCGGAAGAATAACCGTTCTTCTAAGTAATCAGAACAGAGTTGCAAATTTGCTGAGCTGAGTGAGCTGAGCTGAGTGAGCTGAACTGGCTGAGTGAGCTGAGCAGTCGCTCAGCTCAGCTCAGCTCACTGATTTTCGAAAATGGATTTATCTGCTCAGCTCAGACAATAATCACTCAGCTCAGCTCAGCTCAATTATTCTCGAACATGATCTGTTATGCTCAGCTCAGCTCAGACAAGTATCATTCAGCTCAGCTCAGACAAGTATCATTCAGCTCAGCTCAGCTCAGCTCAATGATTTTAACACAATTTCACTACTAAAAAACAGTAAAAATTGGCTCAAATGTGCTCACTCAGCTCAGCTCAGCTCTAATTAGGGTCTGCTCAGCTCAGCTCAACTACCTTAAACAAGGTCTGCTCAGCTCAGCTCAGCTCAATGACCTCTGAAAATGGCCAGCTCAGCTCAGGTCAGCTCAGTGAGCTCCGAAATAAGCCAGCTCAGCTCAGCTCAGAGAATTTCTCACTCAGCTCAGCTCAGCTCAGCGAAAATAAAGCCAAATTTGCAACTCTGAATCAGAATCTATCCAATAAGAATAATTATCATAAGCTCCAAAAGAAAGCAGAGAACTCCCATCGAAAAAGCTACACTCCATAATTTTTGTTTCTTCGAAAATGCCTTCTTCCTCCGAAGCGATTATTTTGAATATAAAGCTCTCGGTTTGATTGAATTTCATTTCAAGAGTTGAAATGTGATTCAACTCTCCAAGAGAAGTAAAAAATTTATCCGGAATGATTGTTTCTCGGCCAAAACTCGGAGGGTAGCGTTGTTGGGAAACAGCGTTTTTGACGAAACCAGGAAAAACGTTGTCGTGAAATGAAAAAGAGGGATTGCTCGTGACGTGCATTTGTTTATTCGATGGCTGCTTCACAAACTCGAGCTCGATTATGTCTTTTTGAAGAATTTGAAAAATTCATTTTAATTTTTTAATTAAGAAAACATTAAATTAAATCCTTTCCAAAAAAAAACTTGACTTCAAACGAAAAATCAAAAATATAATTATGAATAAAGATTCTCTCATCGTGAACTATGCCGTTTCCAAAGTATTCGCACTCGTCATTGTTATAGCCCGATGGACCAGTGTACCAGCCATCGGAAGCGAACAATTTTGAATAACAAACGGATTTTTCATCAAAAGTATCTTCATATTTTGCAAGCGAACCGATCCACTCGCGGCCAAGACTCAAGAATTTTCCTTCTTCCTCGAGCAGCACAGAATAAAGCGTGTTTGAGAGAGCAATACTTCTTGCCACTATCATCAAAAGAAATTTATCTACGTCGATCTTTCTTGGGTCAAAAATGAACATGTCTTCAACTTAAAGTTTGCATAGACCCATTCCAGAGGAACCACGTGGACAGGATCAAGTTCTGCTAGTTCCACTGGAAGACGAAAATCGCCCTTTTTCCATCCTTTTTCTAATTCCTCCTGTTTTCGTATTCTGTTCAGAGCGATCGTTGTCGACAACTTAATATAATGATCCCCCAGCTTGATGCTCATCAAGTAAAAAACTCCCTTGAAGCTGATCGATGAAACTTTCCCGCTTATGTGATTGCTGGCTATGTAACCTTGAGCTTCTTCAAAACGATTGAGATTATAATCCGGAGCGTAGAAGAAGCACTTGTCCTCTCGTCCAGTTGGACGGCTTGAAATGGTCAAAATTGTCGCTCGCCCATTCATTGTTTTTTAAGGACCCCCCGGTAATGGATTCTACGGATAAAAAAAAAGATTTCGAGGCTTCATTTTTGGGGGTCTATTTCGACTCCTTCACCCCTAAAATCGCATTTGAAAATTGGACTTTTCGTCGGAAAATGACGAATTTGCCCTAATTTTGCCAAAAATATTGATTTTTCTTGGTCTAAAATTGCTCTTATCAAGTTTTTGAAGCAAGTTAACTCTGAGGACGCAATAAAAACCAAAAATATGGTGTTTTGAAAATTTTCCATTTTTCGAAGAAAAGAGCTGACGGGGGTCCTTAAACAGTCTCATTTTTTTGACCTTTTACAAATGACAATCACTGGAAAAACTTTTCTGTCATTTTGCTTTAATAAAATTTCGATTGAATGAGTCCCGATCGAGGATCCAAAATGGAAAACAAAGAAGCCGCTGTAAATATGGAAGAAAGCTACGAATGATATAATAACCTACAGATTTTTGCGTCGATTGGATATAAATATTGGGGCAGTGCCACGCTCTGTTAATCTGATGAAGTTTCCCAGTGCATCGACTAAATAGTGTTCGCCATTGAGGAAAGTAGCGCCGGTAGACTTTCAAGATTTTTCGAAAAATCAGTTTTTAACCCCAAAATTTTGAATTTTCGAGAAAAACGTTCATAAGGAAATAAATAATCTGAAGCATTATTTTGTTTGGTTTTTCCATAAAAATCGGAAAAGATTATCTGAAACTTTTGTTTTTGTAACAACTCTCGATCTTCCAAGCGGCCAGTTATAAGCTCAATATCACCATTTGAACTAAAGATCTCTTCGTCCGATATTTCCGTGTTTATCGCGCTTTTTCTTAAATCGAAAACGGGAGTCATTTTCTGTCGCGATTCAACCTTCTCGCACACGTAATAAGGACAGGGGCATCCTTTTGGACAATTTTTCTGAAATGGGCAAATTTCTCCAGATCCCTCCGAAGCTCTTGTCAATCGAAAACACATCGACTCACAGGGCGTGATGGGGTAAGTCCTCGTTGATTCCAAAACAAGCGTTTCCGAGCAGAGATGTCGGCAGATTTTTGGTCGTAAAACTGTTTCTTCTGACAGCGTCGGAGATTCACTTCGTTTTCCTCTTCGGAAAAGTCAAGCGGCGCAGGTTTGGCGCGTTCGATCAGAGAAACCGGTTCCGGGAGGATAAATTCTTGAGTTTCAAAGCATAGCTTCATCAAATGCCCGCAGTAGTCCATTTCGGCGATTCGAACGCATTCCTTGTAATTTCGATTGCAAGTCGAAGTCAGAAAAGTCGTCACCGCGCGGGATTTCTTCAGAGAATGCAAATTCGCTTGAAATGTTTTGGATAATGACAAAATAAAAAGATACCTAACAGCATCACAGTTATCCAAAACAGCGAGCCAATACTTAGATAGGAGCCCATTTGAAGCATGGTCGAAAATCCGTGCTTGGCAAAGCTCAATTGCGCGGACACTTTTTTCTTCCATGTCTTCTCTGTTTTCAATTTTTGGATGTGATGCTTTTGAGTGTGAATGCTTCGGGTCGTCAAGACTTTTTCCGGAAACAAGTAAACTTTCTTTCCCCTTTTCCTCAATACGCCGATGCAGTCGCAATCAAGACACTTTTATAAAATAATCTTCTTTTTTAGCAAAAGTTTAGTTACCTGAATTTTTGCTCGAAAACAAAGTTTTTTCTTTCTCTTTTTTGCTTCTTCGATAACCATAGCGAGTTATCTCTTATAGAGAAAAAAGGACTATTTTGAAGGAAAAACGAAAAAGCGCTTGTTGATAAAAGTCCTCGTCAGTGGTACTTGTTTGAGACTTTGACAGTTTGAATTCCGTCTTTCTTCTTTTTGAATGTCAGAAGCTCTGACACAACATAGTGAAATTAAAAAAAATTTCTAGCGAAATCGTCGCAAAAAAAACTCTCGAATCTCTAGTTCCTGGAATAAGCAAAAAGTCTCTAGATGGCGAAGCTTGACCGGCATTATTCTCATTTTGGCCTCACTCGTTTCATATTTTATCCCCGTTTTTTTGCAGTTGAAAAAAGTCGACAAATTTAAAGAGAAAAGAAGCAGTGCCTCAGAAGATGGGTAAAGGGAAGAAAGAAGACGATGCGGATCTCCGAAAGGAGGTCGAAATGACCGAGCACAAGGATTCGATTGAAAAAGTTGCCGAGCAGTTTGAGCTCGATTTGGAAAAAGGACTTACCGAGGAACAAGTTCTAGAGGTAAGAAATGGAAATTCAAAAGAAAAATGATTTTCGATGTTTTAATTTTGAAAGAAATTTCCTTCAAAAGAATTCTAGAGACGACTGCGCGACGGGTACAACGAGCTGACTCCCCCCGAAACGACGCCTGAATGGATCAAGTTCTGCATGAATCTTTTCGGTGGCTTCTCAACCCTTCTCTGGATCGGTTCCATTTTGTGCTTCATCGCTTACGGCTTCGAAGTCAATACTCAAGAAGAGCCTCTTCCCGATAATCTCTACCTTGGTTCTGTTTTGGCCGCTGTTGTTATTATTACTGGCGTTTTTCAGGCACGAGTTTAACTCTATTCAAAACAGACTTTTTCTTAACCTTTTCAAAACTCGAAAAAAGTACATGCAAGAATCTAAATCCGCCGCGATCATGGACAGCTTCAAAAACCTCGTGCCCCAGCAAGCCCTCGCCTTCCGAGACGGTGAAAAAACCTCCATCTCCGCTCGTGAACTCGTCCTTGGCGACATTGTCGAGGTCAAAGGAGGCGATCGAATTCCCGCTGACTTGCGAATCATCTCCGCTTCTTCCATGAAAGTCGACAACTCTTCGCTTACAGGCGAGTCTGAGCCCCAGCCGCGCGATGCTGAAGATTCCGAAGTGGAAGTCCTTGAGTCGAGAAATCTTGCGTTTTTCTCGACCAACTGTATTGAAGGATCCGCCCGGGGAATTGTCATCCGATGTGGTGATAATACTGTTATGGGTAGAATTGCTGCCCTTGCTTCCAACGTCGACTCTGGTGATACTCCCATCGCCCAGGTAACACTTCAAAAAAGACGCCCACACCCAAAGTTTTCAGGAAATCGAGCGATTCATCCACATCATCACCGCCGTCGCTGTCTTCCTCGGCGTCACCTTCTTCATCTTCGCCATGATCCTCGACTACACCGTCATCGAAGCCATCATCTTCCTCATCGGCATCATCGTCGCCAATGTCCCCGAAGGTCTCCTCGCTACTGTCACTGTCTGCCTGACTCTCACCGCCCAGCGAATGGCGAAAAAGAACTGCTTGGTCAAGAACCTCGAAGCTGTCGAAACTCTTGGCTCAACTTCTACCATTTGCTCCGACAAGACCGGAACATTGACGCAAAATCGAATGACAGTCGCTCACATGTGGTTCGATGATGAAATCAAGGAAGCGGATACTACTGAAGATCAAACTGGCGAAAACTGCGACTACAAAGATGCCCCTACTTGGAAATCTCTCGGCCGAACCGCTGCTCTTTGCAATCGAGCTGTCTTCCTTGCTGGCGAAGATGGGCCAATCCTAAAACGAGAAACTGCTGGAGACGCGTCTGAATCTGCCCTTCTCAAATGCTGCGAAATCATGATGGGTTCTGTCGAGGACTACCGAGCTGCGAACCCAAAGGTCTCCGAAATCCCCTTCAACTCTACAAACAAGTGGCAGCTTTCCATCCACGAAATCGAAGGCGAATCTCGACAACTGTTGGTCATGAAGGGAGCTCCAGAGCGAATTCTCTCCCGCTGCTCGAAAATTCTCATCAAAGGCAATGAACAGGCGATGAGCTCTGAGTGGGAGGAAAAATTCACGACTGCTTATGAAACTCTCGGTGGTATGGGTGAACGAGTCTTGGGTTTTGCTCACCTTTGGCTTGACGCTGATGCCTTCCCTAAAGGATTCAACTTCGACACAGACGCCATGAACTTTCCCAACGGAGATTTGGAAAATGATCCCAACAGGTACACACTCAGACTCTGCTACTCAAACTAACCTTTTGCTAGTGGTTTGACTTTTGTTGGTTTGATGTCGATGATCGACCCTCCTCGAGCTGCTGTGCCAGATGCTGTGGCCAAATGCCGATCTGCTGGTATCAAGGTCATCATGGTCACTGGTGATCATCCAATTACAGCAAAGGCGATTGCTGAATCCGTCGGAATCATTTCCGACAATTGTCAGACTGTCGACGACATCGCTGCCGAGCGAGGTTGTGCTGTCGAAGATGTTGATCCATCTGAAGCCCGAGCTAAGGTGAAATAATCAAGGAAGGGAGCTGTTACAAGGAATTTTAGGTTGTTCATGGAACTATGCTGAAAGACATGACAGACGAAGACATTGACAACATTCTCCGAAATCACGACGAAATCGTCTTTGCCCGAACCTCTCCCCAGCAGAAACTCATCATTGTCGACGGATGCCAGCGAGCCGGACAGGTTGTGGCTGTCACTGGTGATGGAGTCAATGATTCACCTGCGCTCAAAAAGGCTGATATCGGTGTTGCCATGGGTATTGCTGGATCAGTAACGGGTTGAAAAATTCGATGGAAAATTCACTTTATCTTCCTTGATTTTCAACCCGATCAAAGACGTTTCAAAACAAGCTGCCGATATGATTCTTCTGGACGACAACTTTGCCTCCATCGTCACTGGTGTCGAGGAAGGCCGACTTATTTTTGACAACTTGAAGAAATCCATCGCTTACACCCTTACTTCCAACATCCCAGAGATCACCCCCTTTTTGGTGTTTATGATGCTCCAGATACCATTGCCCCTTGGAACTGTTACGATCCTCTGCATTGATTTGGGAACTGATCTTCTTCCAGGAACATAGTTTAATTTTGATTGAACGATTCAATCATCAATTCATTATCAGATAGAACTAACATTATCAACATCAAATAAAAACTCCTAAAAGCGATTTCTTTTGCTTACGAAAAGGCAGAGTCTGACATCATGAAGCGAAACCCACGAAACAAGTTCACTGACAGACTTGTCAACGAGCGCCTTATCTCCATGGCATACGGTCAAATCGGTTTCATCCAAGCTCTCGCCGGCTTCGTCTGCTACGTCTGGATCATGCAAGACAACGGCTTCCACCCAACTGACCTCCTCGGCCTCCGATCCTTCTGGGACGACAAACATACTCAGGAAAGTGTTTTAAAAGACTCAACTTCTCAATGATCATTTCTCCAAAACGCTCAAACAGTCGGTCACGGATTCCTACGGCCAGCAATGGGCGTACTCTCAGCGAAAGATCCTCGAGTTCACTTGCCACACCATGTTCTTCACCGCGATCGTCATCGTCCAGTGGGCAGATGTGATCATTTGCAAGACCCGACGACTTTCTCTTTTCAAGCAGGGAATCCTGGAGAACCGCGTTCTCATCTACGGCCTCATCGAAGAAACTATCCTCGCTACTTTCTTGGCCTACACTCCCGGAACTGATGTTCTTCGAATGTATCCTCTTGAGTGGCTTTGGTGGCTCATTCCTATGGTAAACCTGAGTCAACTGACAGGCATAAAGATAACAATTTTCAGCCATTTTCATTGATCATCTTCCTCTACGATGAAATCCGAAAGTTCCTCATCCGAAGAAATCCTGGCGGATGGGTCGAAAACGAAACTTATTATTAAACTAACCGATTAACTGTTTTTATAATTTGTTTTATAATGTTAGAATTTCCTGTGTAAATAAAGATCTTGACGAAAGAAACCAAATGAGAAGAAGAATTTTTGAATCCTTCTTTTTCTTTGTTTTAAGTGAATAGTTACTGTATTGTATTTTGGCATGAGAGATCAGCGCAGTTGAAGAACACCGAAATGGAGTGAGCAGTTTCTGTTTAAAAATAGTGACTGAGGAATGAAAAAATAAGCAGTTCTTATCCTTCTGGGAAGTGAGTATGTACAGCTTGAAAAGAGGAAGGATGAATGATTATTGCTAGGTGGTGGAAATAGAAACTTAGAATAGTATTCGGCTGAGAAGGTAAAACTTGTCGGCTAGACCGGTGATTTTAACCTGTTTACGCGTCACGACCATTTCTAGGGCCGATTTCCTTTTTGGCCATAAATTGGTCGATATGCGCAGACAGGTTAAATTAGATATAAAAAGGCGAGTGAAGAGAGCAAATGTACAAAGTATGGCGTTTTATCAGGATCCTCATTCTACATTTTTAAGGGTCTGAAAGTATATAAATAAAAAGTGTCGATTTGTTCTATTTTTCTTCATGTCAGTTGTCTGCTTTTTGAACAGGCGGGCTCAAGCTTATGCGTTCCTCCGCGTAGACGGTCGAATCGGCGAATTGCTCAACGTCGGGAAGTGCTCCTTCTTGCCTGTTGCCGCGTTGCTTGACACAGTGAAGCACGGAGAGGGTCATGGAAACGAGGATAAGGAGGGGGATGAAGATTGAAGTTGAACGCACGGCTACTTCGGCTTCGTTTCTAAATTTAAATCAATGTCTGGTAATATCTGGTTATCTTACCTGGGTTGTAGGCCTTGAACATGGGTTGTATTGAAATAATAAAATCTTTTCGTTTTCGTCGGAATCGCATGATATCCGAGGAAATTCTTGTGTCTCTTCGTCTCTGGGCAATTTTCGTAGCTGATTTCAGTCGTGGAAGTGTTCTTTGGGCATAGATTTGTGACTTCGATAGGCTTGGAAATTGAAACGCGCCACAGATCGTGCGCCAGGCGATGGGAACACTTGGAGAATTGATCGAGAAGGTCGAATTTTTGGCAGCCGGATTGGGTGCGGCCGCCGTCAGGCCAGATGTCCAAGTGGCCGATGTTTTCGAAGACGCCGAAGCCAAATGCGTTTGTGTGGATCACTGAGGAACGGATGAAAAGCTGCTTCGAAGAATGCTAAAGCAATGAAAAACTTACCAGAAACAAACTTAGCGTCCGTTGGATCGAGTCTGGAATCAACTGGAGCCGCTTGATCCTTGAAAATCTCCACTTGTACCGGCTTGTCTTCATAAAACTGAGCTAAAAACGAAAAATGATCTCATTGCGTCTCTTTGTTTGATTTTACCTTGAAATTCTTTGAACCAAGCTTTGATATCAAAGTTCTCAAATCCTTCGCTCCAGGAAGAAAAGCTCGATGAAGAATCGCTTGAATTGTCTTCTGGCGCGAGGGTGGTTGTAGAAGGCTGAAGCGGCTCAGGCTTACTGTATAATTTGAAGGCTTCGTCGCTGATGAAATATGGACCAGCCGGATCAAGTCCGTCGATTCGGTCGACTTCGAAGCTGCCGTTCGAGATGGTGCGGAGCCAGAAGCCTGCCTGGCCGCAGACGTGGGAGCCAAGGCTGTGGCCGACCAGGTGAATCTTCAGCGAGGGGTTTTTGAGCTTTACGTCGTAGAGAAATTTACCCAAAAGGCGGCCCGCAACTAAATCTACCTCAAAAAGAGCTTTTTAACTAACTTTACCTTGCGTATTTGTCGCAGCTCTTCCATAGTTCCAAAAGTCCTCAGCACCATTACTCCAGTCGAACTCCAAAACGCTCGGAGGTCGAGAAAGGTTGAAGAGATCAGCTCTAGCAGGCTCAGTCCACCGGGTCGTTTCACCGTTGTCCATTGAATCGACGAAACCGTGGGTAAAGACGACCAGTTTCTCGGGAAAGTCCGTTTTTTGAATAAATTTTTCAGTGCCGTTTGTCCAGTAATCGCTTTTTGAAAGGATATTTATAAAGAAAAGAACTGACAGCTGCGCTCGGCGACCTGTGTAGATACCTGAGTCAGGGTTTGTTAAACCTGTAGGACCCAGTCTCAGATCGCCGTGCTCAGACTGACAGTATTCAAGACTGTATCTAAATCCTTTCCTAAGAACTTCATACTTCTGCGTTTCGTTTTGCCTTTCCTTCGTATAATAGAAAAACTTGGGCTGGATCACTTTGGGACTGTCAGGTTCACACTTCCAGAAGCTAGAATCGAACGAGCCGATTCCAAACTCCGAGAAGTCGACTGTCCCATTCCACTCGCAGAATAATCGCTCGGCAGTGTCGAGGACATTTCGCGAAGTGAGACAACTCAGGCAGAGAGCAGGCAGGAGCGAGAACTCGAGCCAGGGACGCATCGTCACGTGAAATTAGGACAAATCATTTCTGAAAAGAAAACAGGGGTTATTTTTAACATTCCAAATTGAAGCTAATAAATAAGCACAGAGAGTGATAATAAAGTCCTAATATCCCGCACTCGAAAATCTCTACTGAAACCTGAGTCAGGGTTCTGAAACGCGATTGTCGATTTTATAAATTATGATTTGACATAAAAAATAATCGCAATTGTTTCTCAAGGTGCGCAATCACAGCTCACAAGTGGGCCTGGTGATTGACGACAGTGTATCATCACGAAATCTATCAAATTTTTGATAAAAGTAACTGCTTTTCGGGGGTGACGGCGGGAGTGAGTCTTTGTAAAGATTGAGTCTTTTTGTAAAGACTCATTCCCGCCGTCACCGCGCGGTATCGGCGGGAGTGTGTCTTTGTTCTAGAAACTTTTTCAACTTGAAAATATAGTCGAAGCGGTAAACGTATAACCCGTTTTATCAATGAATTTTCTCTAAGACAAGCGCGGAGCGCACAAACGGTCAGAAAATGGTTTGAAATGTCATTTTCAAGTTGACTTTTAGGTTATTCCTTCATGTTAAATAAGGAACTGATGAATAGAAATGATTCAGAAGAGACAACAAATTTTTTTCTAGAGACGTAAACAATTGCTCGAAAAAGACTCAGTCTTTTATTTTTCTAAAAAAAAGACTCACTGCCCGAAGAAAAAGACTGAGTCTTTGCGCGAAGACTCAGTCTTTACAAAGACTCACTCCCGCCGTCAACCCTTTTCGGACATCATTATTCTCTATCTATCTTTATGTCTTCTCTATCTTTTTTGCTTCAGTTGAACATTCCTTCCTACACTCTCATACTGTACAAATTAACTTTTACGATCGAATGAAAAAAATCAGACAAAAGCTTGGCTAAACAGATCTTTTTCTCCAAGATAAGTAAAATCATCATGAGTGTGCTTGTAGGAATTACCCTCTAAAAGAAAATGAGTCTGCAAGTTTTTGCAACATCTTTTCTGTTCTCTCAATTTGAAAAGGGTTGACATTGGATTGGCCCTCTCTCTCTCTTTCGATTTGAATGGCAATCACGCCATATCACCTCAAAATGGTGCCACAAAAAGGAATAATCGATTTATTTCGAAAAGCAAAAATATTTCGCAAAAGAACCCATAACGGCTGAAATTGAACAACTCCTGAATCGATGAAAAAAATAAATTCTTTGAAAATTTTCTCTGTTGAAAAAAAATGAATTCAAATGATCCTCGTGGTTGTATTTTTCCTCTCCTAAAAGAGCCCTGTCACTCAAAATAGCCGATTAGGTGGCCACAGATCACTCGGCTTAATCTAATTTTTGTGCTTTGTGTTTTCAACCTCTGTGGTCTCCTACTGCTGTATTTGCCCGGATGGGCTTGAAAACCACATGGGCAAAGGGGATCATCCGCTTGGGAAACGGGATTAAAACAATAGGACAGATTTAATTAAATATTCTTCCCCTGGGAGCACCAAATCAAACGAAATCTCCCGAAATCAAGCTTATTCGGAAATTCGTTGAAAATAAAAAATGCATGAATTTCAAGATAAAGAATATTTTTTATTCTTCTTTTTCCAGCTTTGCCTTCATACTCTCGTAGTACTTTAAGTCGCGATCAGACACCGAGCTCTTTATCCTCTTCAAAGCGCGCTCAAAGTGGCTCATCGTGACGAAAACCTCTTCTTCCTTGTTTTCGCTCTTCTCTACCTCCATCTTTTCCTCTTCAAAAACATGATTTGATGAAAGGAGCAGTTCTTTTGCGGCGATCGGAAATGAGAGTTTAATTTTCAAAAATCGATTTATAACCTCGTTTTTCTCCGGCTCTTGGCGCAGGTTCAGTATCAATGTACTCAACGTTGTAAATTATTTAATGAAGATAATAAAGGACAATTCATTAAGCAACCTCAACTAGAGGATCTCGAGTTACAAGTTAAAGAGCAGCCGCATGCGGCTGGCTTCGATAAACTAGGTGAAAAACCTGACTCAGGGTTCGAAACAGTCAATAAAAAGCCGCACAACGGTATGAACAAAATCGAAGACGCTCCGCGGCTTTTTATTTAACTCTTTTGAATCCTGACTCAGGTTTTTCACCCAGATTGCCGAAGCTAGCCGCATGCGGCTTCGAGAACAAGAATAAAGCCGCGCTTCGCGCGTTTTTGATATTTTAACAGCTCGAAGCCGCAAGCGGCTTCTCGATTTGAATTTTTTAAAACAAGATTTGAGGAAATACTTCTAATATTAATTAAACTCGTATCAGTGCTGCTTCTCTCACAAGCGCAGTTGCATCGGCGCCGGAATAATTGACAGTTTTGTCGATAATCGCATCCAAGTCAACATCACTTCCAAAAGGCGGCTTCACACCGTTTCTCGTTACTTTCAAAATGATTTGCTTGATGTCTTCTTTGGAAGGAAGACCGACGTAGACGGTTTTGTCGAGACGGCCAGGGCGCAACACGGCGGGATCGATGATTTCGTACCGATTTGTTGCGGCGATGATGTAGACGTCTTTTCGGTCTTCTAGGCCGTCGAGTTCTGTTAACAATTGATTCACTTTTGGCGGTTGTTTTATTTTGAAAATAAATGGAAATTAAATACATTTTGATCGGATATGTTAAAAGAGAGAGAGGTTTTGGTTTGTCATTTTATCAATCAACAGATAGAAGGAAGGGTGTTGATAATCTGAATTTCAGAAGATAGAAGTTTTCTAGCACTAAAAAATCTTGATTCAGGTGCATTTTCTATTCTCGATGTGCTTCTTTGATATTCGAGTCTTTCATTTCATTAAAAAAGCTATTCAACTAAAAATTTAAGCGAGCGAGCATTTTCACTTGTAAAAACAGAAGTTTCATTTTGTTCTTTTCGAATCTCAACTGACAATTGCTCCTTTTATACGAAAAATCTCACCTGTTGATCAACCTGATTTTTTATCAGTAAAAATAATCGACCCAGTTCCCAGCTTTATTTCTAGGTCAACCTGATTCTCATCTATTCTCTCCCCCTTTCTGTCACGAAAAGAAACCGTTTTCCTATTCTGGTCGCTCCCGAGTTCGCCCCTTCTGCTCTTCTGGGCGTCAGTGCGTCGATTTCATCAAAGAATATAACACACGGCTTAAAAGTAGCGTAAATTATTAATGAAAATGTATTCTGAGCCGCTTTGAGAAACAAAATTCTCCATCAAAGTCAGAATCTTAGATGTTATAGGTTCGCAAAGATCACTGCCATTTCGCAGCCTTCACTTTTCGAGGCCAAATTGAAAGAAATCGTCAAGGCCGAATTATTACCTTGGAAGACCTGGCGCGGGTGAAAACTGATCGGACCGCGCGTTCTGATTCTCCGACGTACATGTTCAAAAGCTCTGGGCCTTTGACGGAGATGAAGTTTAGGCCGGATTCATTCGCGATTGCTTTTGCTAGAAGAGTCTTTCCGCATCCTAAACAAGTGAAAATTAACGAAAATAATGGTCAATGTACCTGGTGGGCCAGTGAGCAAAACGCCACTCGGTCGACTCAGACCAAGCCTCTCAAATTGCCTTGGATTTCTGATCGGCGCTAGAATCGACATCGACAGCTCTTCTCTAATCTTTTCCAGGGCACCAACATCATCCCAAGTTGTATCAGGGACTGTAGCGAAACCTTCTCGTTTAGCGCTTGGAACGACTTTTTTCAGAGCCTTTTGGAAGTCGCCTAATTCGATTGACATTGACTCTTTTTTGGGATTCGTGAACACCATAATTTCAGTCTTGATTTTAAGATTTTAATAAAAAATTATTCCCGAGCACCTGATTAAATGATACTTAAAGTAAAAGTACTAGGATTACCAAACGGTCTATTAAATCCCCTTCCTAAAACATCGTCCGACAAATCAATCTCTTTCCATCTCTCCCAAGCGCTCTCTCTATTGAACTTTTTCTCTTCTCCAGTTTCATTTTCTGCTTGACAAATTCTATCGATAGCTTCCTGGGCCGCTTCCCGAGCGAGTGCATCTAAATCGGCTGCGACATAGCCGGGCGTCAGGCGCGCCAAGAGACGCAGCTCACAATTTGCTGAAGTAAACGGTTTAAAAAGCGCCGCTTTAATAATTTGATAAGTTCACGACGTCGATTCCTCACCCGATAATTTCAAATCCTTGCACACAACCTGCATCACCGCCAGTCGTTCTTTTTCACTTGGAATTCCAATCGCTATTTCTTGATCGAATCTTCCAGCTCTTCTCAGCGAGCTGTCGATGTTCTCCACTTTACTGGTCGCCCCTAGCACTAGAATTTCATTGCTATCGACGTCGTCCATGCACGTCAGAAGCTGGGCAATGATTCGATTCGACATTTCTTTCGTGTTTTCATCTCTTGACGAGCAAATCGCATCGAGCTCGTCGAGGAAGATTATACAGGGCGCGTTTTCTTTCGCGTTTTCGAACAATTGTCTGATCTGGGCTTGAAAACCTGCGTAGAAACCTGAGTCAGGGCTTTAGAAGCCACCACGCGCGACTTATTTTATCTAGCAAGCGGCTTCTCTAACCATGACACAGGTTTGTTCATGGGTTTTCAAGCCCAGTATCTGATATTCTTCTCTGAGCCGCCACTGACGCCCGAGACGAGTTCTGGCGTACTGACTGAAATCATCTTGACTTGAATCTCGCCCGCAGAACTTTTGCACAAAAGCGTTTTCCCGGCGCCAGGTGCCCCGTGCACTAGAATGCCGCTCGGTGGCCGGACGCCAAGAGTCGCGTAAATTCGCGGCTCGTGGAGGTGCATCATTTGCCGCAGAATCGTTTCTTTTGGTTCTGATAAGCCGCCGACAGATGAGAATGTTTCTTCGGGGACTTCGGCGGAGAATCGGTCGATTTTGTCTTTTCTGAGGCGGCGCAGTTTTGAGATTGGCGCTTGATCCTATAAAAGTCTTAATAGGTATCATCATGATACTATCATGTTATAGACGATCATCTAATAATCACTCATCAAGTCGATATTATTTGATATTTTATCATTTACAAAGACGCGCTTTTTTTAAGGTGGGCCAAGTTATTTCTTCCACTTTTTCATTTTAATACCCGGACCACCATATATAATTCGAATCAGCGAAAAAAATCTCGAAACTTGACCTTTTTATTTTCTCGAAAATCACTTCCGGTTGCGATTCTAGAGCCGGAAGTTGAATAAATTTAGGAGTTACGGTAAAGTGTGACCTATCAAATTGATGCTCAGAAGATTCGGAGTCGTTTCATCATCAATTCACTAGAAAAAACAATCCCAATCTCGATCAAACCGACCGGTAAAACTATGAAAAGAGGCATAAATTGATGATTTTTTTTTCTATTTTTACCGGCTGGTATGACCGCGGTTTGCTAAAATTCCTTCTTTATATGAATAAAGATGTTCTAAGCTTCAATTTGATATGCTAAATATATGCTATTCACATAAATTTCGGCAACTTCCGGCTCTAGAATCGCGACCGGAAGTGATTTTCGAGAAACAAAAAAGGTCAAATTACGAGATTTTTTTCACTGATTCTAAATATATATAGTTATCCGGGTATTAAAATGAAAAAGTGGGAGAAATAACTTGGCCCACCTTAAAAAAAGCGCGTCAAAGGTATATGTCCGGTCGTTGACATAAGCTTTAGTCGAGGTAGAAATTTATATTCGTAGCGAAAGGCTGATTAAATTCGTTTTCTCCAAAAATTTAATCTTGATTTACGGTTTCCAATTGCCGTTACTAAAATGCCACTTCAAGGTTTCAAAATTATCGAAATTCTACTTTTTATCCCGAAAAACAAACCTCAAAATCATCGTCGTCGCTTTTCTCCTTTCTTTTTCGATCCAGACTGACGGGAGTTCCATTTGTCATTTTATTGACCCTAGAAAACTCAATGACCAACGCGATCAACAACCTGATCTTACGCTTTCGGAGTGCCTCGATACTGATTCTGCAGAATTCCATTCATATTCGCCCCAACATCTGCCGACGCTTGAGCTGCTCGAATTTGTGCCATTAGACGGGGCCCGTGTTTACTCCACACTTCTTTGACTTGTTTCCGGAAGACGTTTTCTTTCACGCGCTGAAGTTTTCTGTTGTTGTTTCTGATCGTTTCATGGTCCAAATCGGGCGAGAACTTGCCTTTCTCCGCGAGAATTTCTTCGATTCCAGTCAAAATCTCGCGCTCATGCATTCTTATAGATATAATTTGTTAATTCCACGATTTAGCCGAGAGAAACCCGATTTTAAAGGATGGAAAAGGGGCAGTGATTTACAAGCAGCTTCCTGAGAAATTCTAGCAGTTCTCAGCAAATAAATAATTGTCGCTCTTGTACTTCTTGTATCGCTTCTCAACGAGCCCCTTCATCTTTTCCAGATCTTCTTTTGCAGTCAATTTTACCAAGCAGTTGAAATCCTGATCTTCGCATCTTTGTTCAAACTCTTTATATACCTCTCGCGCTTTCTTGAAGTCATCGAAGTGTTTCCAAGTATACAAGTCCATCAAGTGGTAGCGAATCTTCAGGGAGATGTTGACGAGGAAATGATCGTCTAAGGGGAGGTCGAGGGCGAGTGCGTTTTTCGCGTGCTTGATAAGCTGTTGATTTGGAAGCTTTTTCTTGCCGAAGATAATCACTCGTTGGATGTTAATCAGGAGCTGTCGGTCACGATCGGGGGAAGATTCAAGCTCGGAGAGGACGGTCACGGATTTCTAATTTACAAGGGGTAGATAGAAGGAGAGAATAAAGACAAACCTGTAAGTTTGCTAGATTTTTCGACGCTTTGGCACGTTCGGCAAACTCGACAACTTCTTGAAAGACGTATTCGGGGCCGATGCACTTGGTCAGTCCTGGCGGATGAGCCAAGAAACGGGGGATGAAGTTAGATTCGATGTCTACAATTTCAAGCTGCAAGAAGAGCTCTGAATTCGGCGGGACTTTCGGAGGAACGCCGATCTTTCCAAACGCTTTTTCAGGAGAAATGATCGCGTAGCAAGAGTCGCCGAGGGATAGTTGAAGAAGGCAGGAAACGAGGCCCGGGAGTTCTTGCTGGCCGACTCGATATTTCGAAGGACTAGAATTCTAGTTTACAAAAAGGTAGAATGATACTGGAAAAGTGGCTGGGCTGGGGTCCTACCTTGATGTGAAAGTGGTATCAAAGGGTTTTTTCTCATCAAAATCGCTTTCGAGAAAGAATGAAATGTGGTAAAAAATAGTGATGCACGAGTCTGGAATTATGTCTTCTGGAACACCTCCGAGCGCCTTCGCTTCTGCTTCAAAGATCTCTTTGACAGTGCGTCCTTTTCCATCATTCGCAGGATTTTTTTCCATGAGTACTTCTGGCGCGACTCTTTCGCATCTTTCACGCAGCTTTTCTGATCGCCTCATAGTGTTCTTATAATAGACCTGTCTGTTGGGGATCGAATACATTCAAATCAGAGACTTTTAATTTGATTCTTTGTTGAGATTTATTTCGACGATTTTCTATCCGTAAAGAAGCACATTGCAGGGAACAAAAAATAATTAGAATGTGTACTCGGCTACCTGTGTTGAAAACCTGAGTCAGGGTCTGAGAGAGGGTTATTAAGATCTTTCAGACCCTGACTCAGGTTTTCAACACAGGTTGCCGAGCCCAGATTCGAATGTTCGTAAAATACATATTGATAAAGTGAACATAATTATTAACGGTACGAGGAAAGAGCGGTAAATGTAACTGAACGAGCTGTAGATTTGTAACAAAATGCATAACTGAAAAAGATTCTTGAAAATTTGAAATTCTATGAATTCTTCTTTGGGAAGATGGCGCCGCGGAACTTGAAGATTTCGCCCTTTTTTATTAAGAATAGCTTGTTAGATCGGCGACACTTTCTATCGTCTTTTTCCAGCGGAAGATGTCGCCGAGATCGTCGTAAGTGATCAGGGAGCGGTCGCCTTCGACATACTCGATTCCGCAGATTCGATCCTAAAAGGGTGTCGTAAGCGCCTTCTCTCGTTAGTACCTTGTGTTTTCCCTGTTTCAAATCTTGAAACAATGTTCTATCGCTCAATCTGTAAATCTGCGTTGATCTACTGCCAGTGATACTGAAGAAATCCTTCCCAAGAAGCTTCACTCTTTGTTCGAAGTCGCCCAAGCTGTCTTTTCCCCAGAAACCTGAAAATGAGACTCAATTTATGAAACAGGCCCAATAAAATCGTTCTAAAAATTGTCAGAAAAGTTGCTCACCAAGTTCGATGGAGTCAAATTGTTCAAGCTCGTCCTTGTCGCTTTTCTTTCGGTAAAAGAAGATGTTCGGCGTTTTGGACGCGAATCGCCCTTGAAGTCGAACTCTGGCCCAGGAGTTGCACTCATACTTGCACAAGGAGGTAAAAGAGATGTAGTCGTCCGATGGGCCCCAGAAGATCGAGTTTGGGTACGATGCATCTAGGGGATCATGTAATTTTTTACGAAAAAATTGCCTCTTACCGAGTGAGTCTTCAACTTGTGCAGTATATAAAGGTCTCATGTAGTTCCGTAGATCATAAACGCTCATCGCATTTTGACGCTTTTCATTTTCGTGTGTGATCGCAAAAAGTGCTCCGGATCGAGAAAACTTGACGGAATTGATCTTCGGCGGGTAGACTCGCTGTCGATTTTCCTGTTGCGCTCCGTGGGAAAGATCGATGATGTCGTTTCCAGAACGAAAGTCGAGCGAGTAGACGCCGGCGTAACCGGCTAAGAGGCCGAGGTTTCCGTCGGGCGAGACGGAAGAAGCCATGAAGTTGAGTCGGCATTGAGAGAAAGAGGTGAGATCGATTTTTCTGTTGAAGCAGAGCGCAGTCGGGTCCCAGCGATGGTAGTACAGGTTCGACTGGAAGATAGGGATTTTCAAAAATAAAAAATGGAAATTTAGGTTTTTTTAGTTTTAGTTTTGTTTTGAAAATCCGTGGCAAAGAGTGAAAATAGTCGCCAATCCATTCCATGTTCAAGACGCAGATGCTTCCTTCTTCAGTCGGCGAAATATTGACTCTTGCGCAGAAAGAAGGTTTGTCGAAACGCGTTGTTTTCATCAAATTCAGCCTCCCACAGGTCGTGCCTAAAAAGGATGAAGAAGATGAAATTGAGGAGAGCAAGTACCGATGACGAGGATATCTGATGTCGGCTTCATGGTCGATTGAGTGAAGGAAATTTCTTCAAACATAAGTTGATTCGTTTCATGAGCTTTTTGGAACCTGAAGTTGTGATCGAAAATCTTTTATACGGTCAAAATTATTTATTTGAAACAAATAAGATTTTCGAAAATCGAGAGGCGGGTTCCGCCTCCGAGCAAATCAATGATTATTTTCGTAGATTCGAAGCCCCAAACGCTAGACTCGAGAACCTGTACAGAAACCTGAGTCAGCGTACCGAGAGAGCTTCCATCAAATCTTCATGCTCTTTCCCAACCCTGACTCAGGTTTCTACGCAGATTCTCAAGCACAACTGTGCACTTGCTTGCGGATCGAATCTGAGAAAGAGTTCATATATTTGCGCGAATCTTAGAAAAGAGAATCTTGAAAGTTTTTGCATATTTTTGACCGAATTGCCCATCTGTCATTGTATTTCATTCTTCTTCCGTCATTTTTTCTGTCTCTCAATTTTTCAATAAGAGTGACTTTTCTTGCCCTCTTCTTTTCATTTTTATTCTCCATTCTTTTCTCTCTATTTCCGATTTGCTAGAAGAGAAACCGACTGTAGTTTCATTTCTAGACAGTTTCAAGGTGGTATCTGCCCATTTGAGTCGACCATTATTATCTGAATAAAATATAATTTTTACAACATTTGTATTGATTTTTCTTCGAGAAGATTCTTCTCACTAATGAAAAATTAAACTTTCTGTCTAGAAATAAAAATAGACTCTGAGCGACTTCATTTCCAAACTTCTCTAATCAGCGCAAAAAGACACCACAAAGCTACCTTTCTCAGAAAAATTATGATCGCTGATTGGCCGCGCCCAACATACTGAGCTCTGGCGCGCAGACTCAAATTCATGGCTCAATTCATGCTGAACTTCACTAGATCTGGCCCGGCTGAAGTGAGCCCGGCATCCCGTGGAAAAAACCTGAGTTAGAATATTAACGAATTTCATTACAAATTCCGAGTCGAACTCTTACCTCCTTTCTTATGCTCATTAAAAAGTGCGCAAAAACATATGCAAGAAAATCGGTAGTACGGGGAAAACTTCGAATTTATTACGTCAAAGCACATGACTGAACTTCAAAAAGGACCAAAACTTTTCATTCTGAGCATCTGTCAACCTCTCGAGCTACCGAGGCTGTGACGTAATAAATTCGAAATATTCCCGATATTACCGATTTTTTTCGCGTAAGTTTTATTTCAATATCTTATTTATTGACCAATTTTCAATAATAATTTCTTATTGAAATTGGTCAATATTCTGACTCAGGTTTTTACTCAGGATGCCAGGCCCTTTTCAGTATATTAAGGGACACGGGCGAGCAGCGCGGAGCCGAACTTCACGCGCTCGCCATTATTCTTGAAAATGAGATTTTCAAAATTTCTTTTGCAAATATCATCTACAACTCTTCAGCTTTCTATTCCAGTTCTCAGTTTGTCTCTATCATTACTGACTGACGAGCTAGCGAGAAAAAGACGCGCAACTTAGAAAACGCATCAGGTCCTTCAATCTTTATAATAATTTCATGAAATTAGCACCATTGAAAAGCCCATTAAATTTTGAGCAGATCATACGTATAGCGCTAAGCTGAAAATGCACTACTTGCGCAGGACGCGCTGATAAACCTAGGAACTTAGCGCGCTCCGCACGGCAGGGCGCTCCGATTTAACTATTTTGGGCTCTTTCGACATGATTCCCGCTGGGCGCGCGCTAGGTTACCTTGTTTATCTGATCTTTATCGCCAATTAGTATATTTTCAGCTTAGCGCTATACGTATGATCTGCTCAGAATTTAATGGGCTTTTCAATGGTGCTAATTTCATGAAATTATTATAAAGATTGAAGGACTTGATGCCTTTTGAAGTTGCGCGTCTCTTTTTCTCGCTAGCTCGTCAGTCAGTAATGATAGAGACAAACTGAGAACTGTAATAGAAAGCTGAAGAGTTGTAGATGATATTTGCAAAAAAATTTTGAAAAATCTCATTTTCAAGAATAATGGCGAGCGCGTGAAGTTCGGCTCCGCGCTGCTCGCCCGTGTCCCTTAAAACAACTGTATTTGCCTGAAAACTGAGATCTCTCTCTCTCTCTCTCTTTGTGCATCTTTTCAAGAATTAATATTGCATCTATGAGAAACAATTTTTAAAATTTGTGATCATTTTATGTTTATTAAATCATTTTTCACAGTTTTGAATGGTATCGTAAAACTTTTCAACTATCCACGAAGTAGAGTTATTGGAGTAGATCATTTTAACTTGTTTAATCAGCGTATTTTTATTCACATATTATTGACAATTCTTGTGCAATATGCCTAGATCCATTTCAAGATTTTGTTTCATTTTGGAAAATATTTAAGTAAGTCAGCAGTTCGATTTTGAAGTGAGTCTCTTCATTGATTTCAATCTTCATCGGACCATCTTGAAAATGCCGAAACGGAATGTCAAAATCGCTCCTTCATCCCCCAGGATCTTCGCATAATGCGGAGGTCAAAAAGCGCTGGCTGAGTCAGTGAATCTCCCGCGGCGGTGGTGGTGGTTCACATCGAACCTGCCGCGGGTGGTTTTGAATCTGCAGCAGCACCAATGCGCGCGGGCTTTACCGGTCCGCGCTCCTCGAGCTCCAGGTTAAGCGTAACACACCGTTTTCGCCTTCTTGATTTACGTTCACTAAGCTGGCATCAGAGACAATCAGCTGAATTGAGAAGACAAGATGAGATTTCTCAGTGAGTCAAAATGAAAATCGGCGCTCTTGAATTCTTCAATTCAAAAACGCGATCTAAAAATAGCCGGCGAGCTTGGTGAAAGAAATGATGATGGATAAAGGGTTCTTTTTACGATTATTAGGATTCAAGGGGAGGCGGATTAGTTTGACTTTGAATGAAGTGGAGTTTTGATAGAGACGATTTTGTGGAGTTTATGGTCAGAATTTTAAGTAAGAATGGTTTTTTGACGATAAAAATTCGAAAAAAAAAATAATTTGTGAAATTTTTGATAAAAATTATGAATTCAAATTATGAATCGGGCAAAATTTTTTTCAACAAAGCAAAAACCTAACCCTAACCTTAACCCTAACCCTAAGATTCAGCGTTAGAGCCTCTAACTTTATAGCCCATAAGGGCTGTTTTATGCAAATAAGGTTGGATAAGCATAAATAAGCTTGCTTTTCTATCGAGTTGTTTTTTGACCAGAAGTCCCTTTATCCATTTTAATATTTTTTTCTTGCCGAAAAAGGCTCTTTAAAAATTCTCTCTTTCAGGCTACGTGCTGGTATCCATCACGACACTATGTCTGTACAACCTGTGGCAGAAGATGAAGTACGAAAGGAAAAGGAAGAATCTTGCTATTTCGTTTCCAAAATGGATAATTTTACGCCTATTAAAAAATTCATCCCCGTCAAGATTCAGTATGAGATTAACTGCGAAGAAGCTCATAATTATGGGACTGCTGATTATTGGATTAGGCACCTTCTTTGATTTCGATGCCAATCGGGCTGAGAGGATGTTGGATGATGGGTAATAAAACAACTTTCTGAGGAAAAAAATTTTCAAAATCAAATTCTAGTGACGAGCAATTGGGCGAATACTACGGCTCGATGCGAAGCAAATACATCAAATTCATGGGCTTCGACTACGATCACGTGAAATTTGACGAGATCGGCAAGGATCTCAAAGCTGATCCGGCTCCCAAGGTATTCCTCCTTGATTTCAAGTCCTTTCCATCAAAAATTTTTTAGGAAAAATCTGTTGAGCAGAAAAAAGTCGAGTTGAAAGAAGACATCAAGGATGACGCCCCTAGAGAAGTAAAGGAACTCGTTCCTGAGGAAGAAGAAATTGAGGAAAATGTTAAACAAGATGCTGCAGAACTTGCTGCTGTTGCTGAAAGCATGAATAAGGAACCTCAAGCTGCGGGAGACAGAGCGAATCATGCGGATTTGATGATTTCGGCGAAGAATCAGCCGGATATACCGAAGGACGACCCGAGATTGCCCAAGTTTATTGTTGTTGGCGTGATGAAATGTGGAACAGGAGCGACACAGGTAAGAACATGATCAGAAAAGTTTGATTGCTTCGTGTTTTTGAATGGTTTCCGGCATGTGGGACATGATCCAGATAATTTTGAAATACAGCCAATACAGAACTTCGATGTGGTTCTTTAACTAAGAAGTGAGCTCGTTATACTATCCGAACACTGAATTTTTTTTATTAAACCATCAACTGATGACCGCAAACTATGATGCATCCTCTTTGAATTTTTCCTTTTTTATACTTTTCAAAGCAAACTGGGCATTGAGAAAAGTTATCTTCTTCATCGTGTTCTTGATTTTTGAAGAATTTTCTTATCTCAGAGAACTTATTTTCATTAATTGCTTCGCGTTCTTTGTAAATTTTTTCTAGTTTATCAATATACTCGCCGGAATCTTTAATTTTTTCTTTCAGCATCTCCAGAAGTCTTTTAAATGATTCCCTTTGGTCTACGAGATAAGCGATATATAATCGTAAATCGTCGTTTTTCTCATCCAGATCCTCAAGCTCTTTGCTAAGAATTTTGTATGTTTTCTTTTCAGCGACTACTAGAGAATGAACTTCTTTGATATCCTGAAGGTGTGACTTGATTTTTTCTTGAAAATCCTTGTAACATTCCAGATAAAAGCAATGAAGAAGGGATCCTTTAGTTTCGTAAGAGTGAGGTCTTGTTGCTTCAGATATTTTGTTTTGAAGCCTAAATATTTTTATAACTATACATTGAAGAAAATTTACTCATAGCTATAATGATTATTGATTTTTGCATCCCAGATTATTTTCTGATCTTCGTCGAATTTGAATTGAAAAATAACTGTATAATGATTTTCTCCACAAATTTTGAGCTCAATCATTCCAGTCACATCTTCGATCTGATAAGAAAAGCCGAAACAAACATAAATACATTCTCTTCTTTTCGAAAGATCGTGCACTTTTGAATCCACAAACGAAAATTTGCCTTCAAGTTTTAAGTGTTTTTGAAAGTCCACCAAGGCATTTAAGAATTTAAAACGGCAAAAATTATAGGAAAGTGCGTTTATCGCGTCTTCTTCAGAAAGGAGCCATATTGTTTTGTCTATAAATGTGTATGTTCCAGAATTAACGAAAGTCTGAGAGGGACCAGTGATTCTAATTGAGTGTTCTCCGTTATAGTGGATAGTTATTCTTCTGAAAAAGCTTTCATGTTCTTCTGGAATTGTGTATATCTCAGATATATGCATTCTATCAATTGTGATTTTCGATGAGCCATTATTAATGGCCCATTAAGTATATTTTTCGTCAGATTTTCTCTTTAATGGAGTTGACTTGATGTATTTTCGTCAAGTATCTTCATACATATAAATCTTATCCCAAATTTACTTTTAGCACTTCCTGCACAACCACCCCGACCTGCAACAAGCCAAACAAGAAACATATTTCTTCAACAACGACCACAAATATCTCGAGCTCGGCTACGACTGGTACCTCAACCTCTACCGCTTCCCAACTCACGACGGCCAGATGAACTACGAAAAGACTCCGACTTACTACAAAAGCGTCCGCGCTCAGCCTCGAATCAAAGCAATGAACGAAACCGTCAAACTTGTCAACATCGTTTGCGATAACGTCCGAAGAACTCTTTCTCGATTTTTGCACTTGCAACACGGTGTTGGAATTGAAAAGTTCAAGGAAGACAAGCTTGATGGTTTTGGTCACACTCTTGATGAATTCAACAGGTTGGTCTGTTCAGTTTGAGCGTTATAGGAAATTTTCTTCTAGAAATCTGAAGATCACTCTCAAAAAATTCGGCGATTTCTTGGAAGATGTCAAGCAAAATGAAGGTCATGGAACAATGGAAGGTACAGTTCAACCCCTCTTTTCTTCTTTTTCATCTTTTTAGGTCTTGTGAATGCTCTTCTTGTCCGATTCAAGCGACGAATGCGACCATTCGGAATCCACGCTACTAAGGATCCAATCGAATTGATTCTTTCTGACGGATTCTACGCCGTTTTCCACCAGCGATGGATGGAAGTCTTTCCCAAAGAACAAATGCTTGTGCTTGATGGATCGAAATACTGTAAGTCAAAATATCATAAAGAAAACCATAACGTTTTCTAGTGACTGAGCCGTGGATACCACTCAAGGCAATTCAACAGTACATCGGAGTTCAAGAATACATCACAAAAGACAACTTCATGGTCAATCCTGGAGGACTTCCCTGCTTCATCGAGCCTGGAAAATCAAAAGAGCAAGTGGACTGTCTGGGATCTGGAAAAGGAAGAACGCTGGACAAGCGATTTCATAAAGAGGTCACGCTTGGACTTCACAAGGAATGTGATCGAGACGAAGAATTTTCTTATTTATCGAATTTTAGCGCGAAAAAATCGATGAAACTTTAACTCGTTGAATATCACAAAAAAGCTCTTCCAACCTTTCGACGACTACTTCGCTAAAAAAGTCCTCGGTCGACCCAGTTTCGGATGGGACTTTGGCCTGGACTCGTTATAAAACAAAACTTCTAGATAAATATTATATTACCGTACTTACCCTTACTTTAATCTGTACAAAAAACATTAAGACATATTTTAAAAAATTATTCTGTACACTGCCCAGATTTTTCAATTTTAACATATTATAATTTAAAAAAAACTATACTATCTTTATTCTTGTACTGCGTTCATAAGAAGCGCTTATTATTCAGTTATCAATAAACGAATAAAAAAAAACGAAAAAACTTTCGCTTGTTTCATGCATTTTTCCGAGAAAATTCTAGAACTATTTTTCAGCGTATTTTTCTCACAAAATAAAGGTAGATATTCAAAGAGCTAAAAGATGGTCAGTAAAAATAAAATTCTCCAATATTACTTTGAGGTTGTCTCAGGAACCGACAAAAATTTCGACAAATTTTGCATGGGCGGTTACTCGGCTGCTGATTGGCAAGTAAACCGAACTTAGGCTTCTGATTGGTTCAAGATTTCCACGGAAAAATTGTCGATTTTTTTGTCGGTTCCTGGCATCACCCAATTATTATCTTGAAATAGACCTCTTCCGGTGGCGGTTTATTCCCTTCTGCAAGCATGGTTGTTCACTCAATGTTCTGGCCCCTGTCAAACGATGGCGATGCTCACTGGTACGCATACTTCACGATTCTCATTTCTTTCTACCTTTTCATCGTCGCCAAGATTGTTGGAGCTTCTCGAATTTAGCCCCCTTTTTCTGATTTTTTGCCACTTTTTTCCTGAAATAAATTTATTTTCGTCTTCTGAAATAACCGGAAAAACCTAGAAGCCACCCTTCACGTAAGAAAATGTATCTCAAGAGGCGACATGATTATGGAAAGGCTGAACTAAGTGCCGGATTTACCAACTCGGATTACGCAAGAGCGATAAGGGTGCCTGGCGACATCCAAGAGTGATAAAGTAGATTTCGATACGGTTTCTTTTTTCTTCGCAGAAAATGGCGTCATGAATCTATTTACGTTGATAACGCGCATCAACCTTTCTAGAACACAACAAACGTAATTGGGTTATTAATAGCGTAATGATGCCAATTCCGATTCAGAATTCTGCTCTAGAAAAATCTTCAAGTTGCAAGTTGCAAGAGTCGTGCTCAATTAAAATCGTCACTGCGGTAGTACCGCTAAGCCTCGATTTCCCACACGATTCATTCGTCTTGATCTTCAATTTGTGCCCGCAAATCTTGTTCAATTTGGACTCCAATTATCAGGCTCTATCTTCTGAGAGAGGGTCGATTAACTTGGGTTGTGGAAGGCGGTTTCTTTGATCTCGCAATTTGTGCCTTCTTTCTTCTTGTTTATTTGTAAATGGACACATACTGGAGGAATAATCGATTTCCACAGTCTGTGTTTTACCGATTATTTCAATAAAATTCCGAAAAAAAATGCGAAATTTGCCCTTCTAGCTTTGAAATTTGGGACCAAACCGGGGGTCAAAAGTTGGGTGAAAATCGTTGTTGACACCCTTAAATTTTGACCCATAAATATAAATATTTTTCGATTTTTGAGTACTCGATTTCAGCACTAGAATTCAGCTCAAAATCGTGACGTCACAAGTTAAATTCTGACATCATCGTTCTTCTGACATCACAAGATTCCATTTTCCGACAGAAAACATGATTCGTTATAACGTGAACGAATTTTTCTCGTGAAATGCTTAGTGTGCTTCGTACGAGCGCCCCCACTTTCCTTCGCGTTTATAAGCAACGCGCGGGCCGCCCGGAGAATAGACCTTTCCTGGTGTAATACTACGCTTGGAAGAGAAATATTTTCACAAGTGACATTTGTGATTGAGAAAACTCAACTTTTTCGCTATGGCTTTTAAATTTGCCCTTGCTGCCGTCGTGGCTGGCTCACGAACTGCGCGAGATGCCCAACAAGACCTCGTCAATTGCCGAGTAAGTACAGAGATATACAGTCATTTTTGGAAAGGCAGTCAAATTGTCTTTTGTCCTTTTCTTTATGAATTCCTCAAAGGCTAGGGTTTGAAGGAAATTTTTCTTAAGAAAATATTCAGGACACGAAACCTTGGCTCAGCTGTATCACTGCCTACACCCGAGGCGAGTGCTTCGCCAACATCGGCTGCGATCGAACCTGCGGTCAATGCTCCTCCAGCGCTTGCTACGATCGAATTCCGGTGCCACATGTCAAGCTCTACGAGGATAACGCCCCGGTCCGCGCGATGTGGCCAACAATCGGCAACCAGAACGGCCAGAACTCCTTCCCCGCTCTGAAGGAACTTGAGAGCCGAGAGGGTTTCCCCTTCGAAGAAAGCAGCATTTCGAAGTTTTGCTTGGACGTTTTCAACAACGGCCTTTGCGATTCATGGGATCAGCTGACTCTCCATTACGAAGACGCTAGCATCCTGTTGACTGGCATGCCAAACGAGTACTGCCAGTTCACCTGCGGATACTGCAACGATCAGACGTCCGATGATGTTCACAACTCATGCGTGAATGCTCACAACAATATCATGACACTTCTTGCCGGGGAGAACAAAATCCAGAACGTCTTTGATTACGGACTTGGTGAAGAAACTACCACTGAAGGACCAGCTTCAACAGAATCACCAGCCATTGATGAAGCGGAAGAAGAAGAAGACGAAGGAGAGGAAGAAGAATGTGATTGGTTCTGTCAATTCTTCAGCGGAGGAGATGCAGAACACTCAAACACCTGGTGGAGAAGGCGACGATCGGCCATCCCACTTGAAAAGCGAGAAGTCATCGTTTCCGCGATCGAGTCGATTCTCAAGAACTCCAATGTTCGAAATCGCCGAGAAGCAGAAGAGGTCCTCTTTTCCGAGTTTGGCTGGTTTACGAACGAGTTCAACGCTCCAGAAGCCGTAACAACGAACCACGCCGATGGGTTGGAGAACTGCAACGACAAACTCTTCGCCCAAAACGATGGAGATTTGATCGAGGAAGAAGAAATTGAGGAATTTGAAGAAAACGAAGAGTTGATGAACCCGTTCAGTCAAATTGCCGAACGTCGATGGCCACAAGATAGTGAGGCTATTCAAAGATACTTCAACAAAAAGTGAGTTCCATAGCTAATCATTGAAGACTAACATTTTTCAAGCTCGAATGTTAACCTCGGCGAGTGCCAATGGGTCGAAATCCCGGCGTCAGCAGCTGAAGAACTTGAAGATCTCGCTTCGACTGAACTCACTTATGACTGCTCGATCAGCTGTCCCGAAGGAACAGCACTTTTCATTTCCGACAAGGAAGCCTCCGACGAGGAAATCCGAATGAACTGCAGGAAAGAGGCTTGATAGTATCCACTCTTCTTAGAACAGATAAAGAGACCGAGCTGAAACCGCTAAAGGTATTTCGCGGGCCAAACGCGCCCCAGCTCTGCGGTCAATTTGCGTAAGTTCGAAGATTCTCTTGAATCTTTCGTGAACCGCTTGTCAAAGTTGCGCAAGGTGGTAAATTCAATTTTCCAAATTCTGACAAATTCAATTTCCTCAAATTCTTGAAGTTCAACTATCAAGCCAGGAAAAAGCAAAGATAGTCGATTCGCCACAAACATGCAACGGGATTCTTCTTGCCAAGCTGCCAATTATTGTCCCAACAATATCTGTGAGCGACTCGAATGTCGGGAAGTTGAGGAGGAAGAAGGAGAAGAAGTTGAAACTTTTGAATGGGACTTTTAAATTCACCGAAAATGCCTTCTTTCCTCTGAACTCAAGCAACAAAATACCCATCTTCAATAAATTTACCTATTTTCTGCACGCATACGACTTGCTCTACACTTTTGCTCTTGAAAAATTGGTCTCCGAGTTTTTATGTTATCATGACAACGCATCGTAGGCTAATTGTCCTGCAGTTAAATCAACCGTGATGAGTTCACGCTGACTATCTCATTGTGTCCATCTTTTTATTGTTTTGAAGTCTCGTATTCATAAATTAAGAACCAAGACTCTTGGTTCAAGAGAAATAAAAATGAGCGACTGGCGTGAGGACTTTTTGGAAGATTTTGACTCGGAGTTCGACACCTCGAGAAAAATCATTATCGCGATCAGCAGTACAATTGCAGCAATTGTGTTTTTGACTATTCTTGGGCTTTGCGCTTTTGGATGTTGCGGCTCATTTTTCGCGATTCGACAGCTCCGCGAATACAGAGAACGAAACAGGCGTCCACAACAAAATACACCTGCGTCTACTTTTCATCAATCAAGTAGAGTCTCTGTTGAGCCTAATTTCCAGTAAATTTTTCTTTAGACCCTACTTTCAATCCCTCAGCTCCATATAATCATTGAGCTTCTGCATATCCTCCTCCTTATGGACAATATCCAGTAGCGGGTTCGACAGCTTATAATTCAGGTAAAAAATTTTCGATTCGTTTATGTCAAATTTTCAAAGACTTCAATACAGCGACACCTTATAACCATGGAACAACTGGATATCCTGTAAACTCGCATGCTTTCTGATTCTTCTACCAAATTTTGCTAAGAGAGAGATAAACGTTTATTCGCCCTACGATCGTTTTTCTAAGATACAGAATCACTCGATGAGTATTTACAGTAAAAATCACGTGAGATGAGAGAGGATAGACTACATGTCGTTACAAATCAGGGTAGGAAACTTTACTTCTGGGCGACGGCAGAGATGTCAGAATCGGCGTTCTCGCCAGCCTGGAGTTTCTTCTCGATGGCGATCAGGGTGTTGACACCGTCGACGACCATTTGGACGAGCTCTAGCTCGGAGAAGCCAAGTCGGTCGGCGTTGGAGATGTCGAACATACCGCCCTCGGAGGCAGTGTCGACGCCGCCTGGATCAAGTGTTTTGAAAAGTTCTAGAGCTTGATGACTTACCAGTTCCTCGCTTCTGGAGTCGAAGCTTGCCAAGGAGCTCGTCGAACTTGGAGTGCTCGGAGAGCTTCTCGAGTTTCATGTGGACACCAGCTCGGACACCAGTTCCTAAAAAACTGTCAGCGCAAGTTGAGAAAAAGGGTTTTACCAAGGTTGGATGGGCAGGTAAGAATGTAGCCAAGATGGTCGCTGTGCATGAAGTCCGCTCCCTGCTCCTTGACATAGGTCTCGAACTTGTTGAGTCCGTCGATCCATCGTCGCCAGCAGGACTGCATGTCTCCGTCCTTCTGCATGGAAATGACTCGGAGATGATCTTCCTCGTTGATCCAGACCTAGAAACAGGTAATTTGGGACGAATGAAATTTTCGGGCTTACCAAGAAGTCCTTGTTGTCATTGTGCCAGATTCCTCGGGCATCGGGCCAGTCTCGAGCCATACCAGCGGCGGTGAGAAGGGGAGAGACGGGCTTGTCGAAGAGGAAGTGATCGGCGATGAGCTGCTCCTGGGCGGCGTCGGTCATTTCGTAGAGGGGGAAGTACTTGCCTTAGAAGAATGATTAGAGAGAAAATATAATTTGAGGGGATACCCTTAAGATCGCCGTCGAATCGATCGAGAGCGCCGATAGAAATGCTCTCGACCTTTCTTCGCTCAGCTCGGGAGCACCATGGAGGAAGAGCATATCCTCGGATAGATCGGCCGGTTCGGACTCGGACAGAGAAGACGTACTCGGGATCGAAGGGCTCTTCCATGACGAGGTTGTCGGAGAGATCGGTCTTGTGCATGTCAGTGGGCTTGTATCCACCATGTCGTCCCTCGATAATTTGATCGAAGAATTCAGCAAAGGCATCGTAGGAATCTTCATCGCCAGCAACGCAGCCGACGGTCATGATGAATGGGTGGCCGGGGTTGTCGACGCCAGTCTGGATGGCATCGTCGATGGTGAAGCCGGATTTGGTCTGTCGGGCTCGCATTCGCTTGTAGAGCTCAGGGGTCATGACTTTTGACATCCAGTTGTTGTGCTTTTACAAGGTCGAAAAATGAGCTCTGTTGAGTGAAATCAAGGAAGAAAAATCATTATTTGAGGAGAATGATTTTCAAGCAAAAATGTTGCCTTTATTATACATTTTTTCAAAATTGGCGGAAATTTCTATTTTTATTAAAAAAAGCCTGTCGTTTTGGACCTTTCCTTGGAGAGATCGGGCATCTCCTCATCCCCAGTGTATTTAGCGGTGTTCAGGTTTGGCATCTTTTTTGTTTTGTTTTGTGACTTCTTCTCTCCCTAGAAACGCCAATCTCTGTGAAATGAAATATAAATCTTTCTATTACCCGAGTTGATAAAAGAGTGAGGCCAAAATAAAAAGTACGTTGCGGCCAGGAGTCCCTGGCGTTATCGCCTCCTCACCTTGAGCGAGTGACAAAAAGGGATCAAGAGCGTGAATCAGCTGTGCCATCTTCTTTTTTTAACAAATGATTTTCATCGCGCAAATGTTTCGTTTCCTTGAACTTCATTAATTCGACTCAACAATAGACGCTACCCTTATACTTTCATGGCTAATATGAAGATTTTGATCTGCTCTTCCAAAAAGAAGAATAAATAGAAAGATCTCGAACTGCTGACATTGATCTACCAGCGCAATAATATTTAAAATAAAGACCTGCACTTCACCTTGCCGTCTATTTGAAATCAGTCATGAGCGGGAGCAGAGCAGAATACATTCTGGTTGAAGATGGATCTTGTCAGCGAGAGGCTTGCAAAGAAAAATATCCACGAAAAATCGAAAGAAAGGAAAATATTGCGGATGAAAAAGTCGACGAATCCACCCTATTGTATGAAAATTTAAAAACTGAGCAAGCATTTGAGCTTTTTTAGATCTATTGGACTATGGTTGTGGTTCTTCTTGGTTGTCTCGTCATTAATTTTAGATTTCTTTTCGACCGGTTAAGGATTAACGATCAAGCGAATGATGCGAAAGAAAAATACTTTTAAGAAAATTTACTGTTGTAAATCTTCGTTGAACTATCCTAAAATTACGAATAAAACTTGCATCAAAATATCCGAACCAACGCTTCTTAAAGATTTTCGAGCCCTGGTCAGAAGAGCTCAAGTCCATGAAGAAAGCCAATGTCAAGGAAATTGCACTTCTGAAAAAACATGATAAAACATAGTCAGAGAATCGCGATTATTTTTTCCCTCGGTAGTTGCGTAGCTGAAAAGGATTTCAAATGCTACGAGTGTTCTTCAATCACGTACAACGGTGTCAATACATGCGGCTCCATTGAGAAACTTGAAGATATTTCTTCGTGTGAAAGCGATATCGGATGCTATACGAAAGATTTTATATATTTTTCCGAAAACTACGACGGCGGATATTGTAAAAAAAATAGCATTCACTCATGGAGTCTAATGATTCTTATTTTTAGTGGAAACTATCACAAAAGGTTGTCTTACGAGTAATGATCAAACAAAAACTGGATGCTCGTTTTATCAGGAAGGAGACACAGTCAGAGATGAAGATGGTGCCCCTCAGAGAATAGATTTTGATCATGAGCTGTGCAATTTAAATTGTTTCAATGACTTTTGCAACCGTAAATCATTTATTGAGCCTGATCTGCAACTATCTCTAAAACTCTCTAATTCCAATAAAATGCGATGAAGTGAGCAAGAGGTTAAAAAAAGCTGACTTTTTTAACTGAGTAGTGGGGTTTGAGAGTAGTTCATGAGTCTCGTATAACGTTTTATATTGCTCATCCTTCTTTTCGCTTCAATAACGCGTTACATAATTCTAGCGCCAAGTGCAGTAGATGCAGGGTGCGGTACATTTTACGGAACAACGTGACGGAATGACGTCAATCGGAGGATGCGAATTCGGGAGGACCCCGGTCAGGTAAAAGTGTACCGCGAAACCGGGCGATTCAAAAGAGATTCATCTTTTTTAGAACTTCTATTTAACAGTAATTCAGAGAGAGCAGGAAAAAATTATTTGTGTACAAAGCAAGCTTGGGTTTTAGTCGCGTTAAACATCGACTGGAATTGAATTTGTCGAATTTAACGAGATTTTCACCTTGAGATTTTATCTTATTAGCTGATGATTAGTCACGTGGTTGGAGTTACTCCTCTTCGTCAGAATCTTGCATTTCAGCTTCTTGAGTGGCTTCAAGAGCGACGACTTTGCGGCGGAGAATTTCGCGTAGGGCGATAAGGCAGAACTAAAATGATAAGCTTAATTTCTAAAATTTTAAATTTCCAAAAATTTTTTTGAATATTTTTTTTTCTTGAAAATACGGTTAGGGGCTTACCTGGTATTGAGCGTGAGTCTGGACGGAGAACGCGCGCTGCTCTCGTATCCTTCTAATAGTCGCGTACAAGTCGATTTCTACGTCAACATCGAGCCAGGCTCGGCAGATATCAATTCCCAAATATGTTCCTAGGAAAAACCAATTACTTCTCTGTTCAAAAAACCGTTTCCAGAAAGCGCCAGAACGCAAATTCTGGAGTGAAACAAACCAGTTCTGCCAATTCCAGCGCTGCAGTGTACAACAATAGGGGATATTTCGAAGGCGTCTTCGTCGGGAGGAGTTGGCGGGCCGTAGGGCGAAATCAGCTGGCTTCTGATTCTAGCGTGGCACTCGTTTACTTGGTCCTGGAAGTCGAGGAGCATTTCCGGGCATTCGGGCACATCGAAATCGGGCCACTAGAATCGATAGTTAGGGCATTATAATTGCTTTCAAATGAAAAAAAAGCCGCTCGCGGCTTTCGGAAGAAAAAAGTCGAAGAAAAAGCCGCATGAAATCGAAAAAAATTTGCTTAAATTTGATTTTTTTCATACCTTTTTGAAGGCAAAGTGATAAATTGTCCTGGTCTGGCACTCGAATTCAATCTGGATGGTTGTCCTCGTAAAATGCTCTTCTTCCACCGTTTCGTCTTGATTGTAAAGCACGAAGTGCCCGGCAATCTTCCGCTCACCCTCGAGCGGCCAGTACAAATCGCACTTTTTCTTGTCGTTTTCAAAGAGCTTCGTGGTCATGACAATCACCCTCGAGTTCGACTCCCAAACCATTTGCCAAAAGTGCGCCATCGTGTTTTCTTTTGGGCCTTGAGTGCAGATGTACTTTTTCTTCATTTCAAAGCCGTCACAGTGACTAGCATTTATATAGTCATTTTCGTCTAAAAACAGGTTGAATTTCTCGAAAAAAATGAAAATATTGAAAAAAAAATTCTTGATTTTTTCGATAAAGAAAGTTGTTTTTCACGAATTCTACCAGAAAGTCGAGTGTCTTCCAGTCTGACGCGAGTGTGATCGTAGCAGGGGACATCGGAGTAGCGATTCCGCACTTGATTTGGCCGCGCCCGGGAGAAGGCGAAACAACCAGCTGGCTTTGCGGTTCGAATCTCTTCGTATTGACGGCGTAAACAGCCACTAGACGCCTGAATTCTGAGTGAATGTTGATAAAAGATGATGTTTTTCATCAACAAAATTTTTCTCATTCTACTAGTTTCAATTGTAGACAAAAATTATTGAAAAGAGACTTAAGGGATTCCCCTCCCCCGATTTCGTCAACTTTGACTTCGAACTACTTTCTTTAGGGCTGAGTTTTTTTACAAGTATGAGGGCTCATTTTGAAGCCCGTTTCTTAATGAACAAACTCTAGTACAGAAATTAATTTTCATAAGGGGAAACACCTTGAAAAGACGGACTGAAAACATTGATTCTCGCGAAAAACCCCATTTTGGGCCATTTTTAAGGGTGTCTGCGGAGAAGCTCCTTGCTAAAGATCCTAAGTGGGGGGTCCCTTAACTAAGAATTAGGGGTTGTTTTTATATTAAGTTATTATTATAATTATTATTAATAAATTAATTAATAAATTATAAATATCAATTAATTATTATGAGAGCTACCCCTTATTCTTGATAAAGGGACCGCCCAACTTAAGACTTAAAGCAGGGGTAATAATTTATTATTAATAACAATAAATTATTATTATAACTTCAAATTACGATGCTAAGAAATGTCTTTCAGACATATTTATGATGAAAAACATGCGATTGTAATTGTAAATGTAATTAAATTACCTTGTACCAAGTTTTGTTTCCACCATTGTATCTGTTATGCACTGATCTTAGGGTTACATCATTTTGCTCACTATCCTCGCTATCGTAAGAATCATGACTAAAAATATCGTTATTTTCCAAAAAAACGGAATTATTTCATGTTTTTTATAAATAATTGATCAATGTGAAACGAGATTAACTTTTGTGAGTCCAGGCGGGTTCATTCTAGCGCTTGTTTCGGCGAAAACACGCGCTAGACCGTTCGATTTTGTAATGGCTATTGAAAAAAGGGTTATTTGGGGCTTTTGCTTACCTGGGAAAACGATTGGTGTTATGATGAATTGGATCGGCGGCGAGCTTGGCGAGAATTCGCGACTTGCTTTTGCTGATTTGACGTGCGGAGTTATCGCTCTCTGCAAGTTCGACACCCGAGTCGTTCCAGCACCTGAATTTGAGCTTGAAAAAGTGAACAGGATTACGCGCGAAATTGAAAGCACAGCACAAAAAAACAGGCTTTCAGGATGAAAAAAAAAAGATATTTTCCGTTTCACTTCTACTTAAAAACAATAACAAAAAAAAATAAAATATTTTTTCCCAAAAATAAAAATAATTAATAAAAAATCAATAATCTTCGCCCCTTCAACCAATAAAAAATCATTAGATTTCTCAAAAAGACAACCCTTACCCCCTAACCCTAATCCCTATGCCCTACCCTTGTCTTTATCCGTTTCCTACCCTTATTTCGTAACCCAATCCCGTACCCTTAATCAAATTCTTCAAAAAGAAATGTCTCAAATAAACTTTGTCTCGCTTTTAACCAAGTCAAAGTGTTCATTCTTTCTTGTTTAACCTAATAAGATACCCTTTATTTACCCTTTTCTTCAGCTTACAAGATAACAAAACAGATAAAACATCGTTGCCTATATTTACCTCGCTCGTTTCGGCGAATGAGTCGGGCTGATTTCATCCTCTTCGCTCGAGTCTGTGTCGAATTTTTTCGCCAAAATCTCTTCGGCGAATTTTCTTATGTCACAATTTTCGAGGTCTATCTCTGTCGGCACACATGGCACTTCAAAGGAAATATTCTCCATTTTTTTCTCTTTATTTGATTTTTTAATTTGTTAAAAAAAATGTTGGTTGTTAGTGGATTTGAAGAGCGAATTTGAAAATCGAAAAATTTTCGACTTTTCTTTTCTTTTTTTTAGATTTTAGCTTTCTAATAGAAATGAGCATGGCCATGAAGCAGGAAGAGCCGAGCTCAACGTGGGTGAAAGTTTGGCCGAACGCGGCGTCTATACGGACTCCTCGGCACCACACCAGCGCGCACAGCACCACCACACCGGAGCTGCGCCGATTCAATTCTACTGAGCAATTTTCCTATGGCGCAATTTTCGACCTACTATTAGTCAATTTGCAGGCGTAAGCACAATTCGCACTTTTTGCTTAAAAACGAGAATTTTTGTACTTCTTCAGTCTTGATCCTTTTTTGTCACAAATAGAATTTTTTTCCTTTTTCCTTTATAAAAGAATCTCACAGATTTTGATCTGAAAGACAAACCGCGTTTTCGTAACAATAAATGAGAAACTGAGAAGGACCATAAATTGCATCAGTCCGATGATTTTCAGAAAATTTTGATCAATATGATTTAGAAGAATGATTTTCTTTATTTCCTGCCCTGCAAGTGTTTCCCTGGCGATTTACATATGTTATGTTTTTTGAAAATTCCCGAAATTCGTCAACATTTCAAACATCGTTTTTAACCACAGACCCTTACTATCAATGATAGTTTATCATTGACATTTTTAGAGTTATTCAACGGTTAAAGTTGTGGAAATCGAAGGTAGTACCCTTAATAAAAATTATATTCAAAGCTTAGAATATTTAACTATTGTATGTTATTTCTTTTGCACCACAAGAGAGTTTAAAAATTGTAAAGCACTTTGGCAAAACAAGATTTCTGATTGAATCTGTTGCGTTAGAATCTCACTTCTTCCGGGAAAATGAGGAAATGTGAATTTCTTCTTGCGCTGGACCGCGGAGGAGCGTAGGAGTGTTGGCCACCCACGCACTTTTGCACCACCACACCGCGCACCAACACCACACTCAGGAAGGAATACGCGCGCCGCGCATTTCTTCTTCGTCAGGAAATGCTCGACTCACTCAACCGTTCACCTACTTATTCAAATTCGACCAAGAATCGAAAAAAAGAAAATGATAAGAAATAATTATCCGTAAATTTTCCAGTATTTTTTCAAGCCGCTGATTTTCGTGATTTCGTTGCTAATTGAGTTCCGCCTACAATGCGACCTTTTTATTATGAAAATCAACAAGGACTTTCGATTCGAAAAGTTCATCAAAACTGCATGAGAAAATTGAATTTCCGGCTCGTTTAATTCATCAATTAGCTTGAAAGCAAATTGCGTCAAAAAAATAAAAAGAAACTGCAAAAGCATTAACTTCAATAAATAATGCGGACTTTGCCTCGAACAAAGCTAAAACATTTTTTAAAAAAGTCGAAAAAATGAAGTTTTTTATTTTAGGATTATTTTTTATCGGGGCTTTTGCCCTTTCTCCGTTCTCGGTGAACAATCAGATACAGAGAATTTGGAGGGCTTATGAAAAATCAAAGGCTTGTCGAAGAGGTGAAAATAATCTTTTTAGAAATTTCGTGAATAACAAATTTTGCAAAGCAAGAAGGCAGGCGCTTGGAAGACTTCCAACTCGATATGAGAAATTGAAAATACGCCGAGAATGCGACTATTCGTAACGAAAAATCTGACCTTATAAGCCGAATATATTTAATAAATTTTTCCGCAGAGATTTTTCTTAAACCATAGTTAAAAATTGTTTCTCACGCCATTGCAAATTATTTATTTTAGTGTCTTTAATTTCTGGACCAGACGGGTGTAGGGCGGCTACGTTCGAAATTTCGAACGCCGTTCGAGATTTTTCGAACGCCGTTCGAAAAATTTCTGAATTTGCTTATAAAAATGAGCTCGTATGCGCTCCGCGCCTGTAAGTCAACTTCATCTACTTACACGATGACATTGATTTAAGCTCATTCTTAGGTCAAGATTTTTCGGAAATTTCGAACGCTGTTCGAAAAATGGGCCCAAAAACCGATTTCGAATGGGGCCGCCCGCCACCCGACCAGACCGTCTGGTAGTCACTTGAAATGCAGTAAAAATGATAAATATGCTGCATGGTAACTGCAGCTACTTTAGGATCAAAATGCTTCGTTTCGACGAATTTAAGGGTAAAGTCATCGCTGAGCCCTACTTTGAGCTTGAATTCCTCGGTATCTGTAAATGGTAACGAAGTCCTTGAAATTCATTGGCATTATGCCTTTGTTGAAGATCTATCCTTGTTTTTACTATTCACAAGAGCTTTCTTCAAAATTTAAAGTAAAAATATTGTTTCTAGTCCGTCAAATTTGACCAAAATTTTCAATATTTTCAGGGATCCTTATTTGCACTATGACTACGAGTTCTTGAGGAGAATTTTATAAAAGCTCTTGTTATTTTTCTCTTTTTCCCCTGAAGGAAATTTTGAGTTATAACAGTTAACTCTGCGCTAATTCAAGCCTCAAACTGTTACTACAACCTTATAAATTATAAGGTATATGCGAGTTACGAACATACATTTTGTCTTTAATTGTTTTTTTATTATCGAAAAAATAAATCAATTGTTTTTTTATTATCGAAAAAATAAATCAATTGTTTTTTTATTATCGAAAAAATAAATCAAGCACAGTAACCTGAAGAGACTTGAAATAAAACGGGACCTGACTCGCCTGTACTATGACTTCCAATAATTTCCGAGCTTTTTATTTGATCTCCTTCTACTTCAAGACGTTGGAGTGGATTGCCATAGTTATAACCAGCCACAAGAAAGATAGAATCATTAATTTTGAGCGAAGAATGTTGCGAAACAGCCTGAAAAATTTTGAAATTTGAATAATATTATTAATAATAATTATAATTGAAGATAAATAACGGCAATACTATTTATGATGATAAATCTTTGAGCAAACAATTTTTCCGATATATAACTCAATTTAAACAAGCCTAAATAGAGAAAATAATAACGTACGCTTTTAAGTGATCCAGATCGTGACCATGAGTCTTCAGAAAGGAGCCAAATGTGATTAAGAACTGTGCTTCCGTTTGCGATCCCACCAAGCAAAAGAAGGTTTCCGCTTTCAAGTCCAACCAAAACATGTGCACGAATATCGCTTATGAAAAATTATTATAAAAAATAATTTTCAAGACGTTTTTAAATTTCAGTAACCTTATTGGAGGGTCTCCAATAACACTCCATCCACTTTGTGTGAGTGTCTCGACTTTTCTGAGGTCTCCAAAACCATGAGAACCAACTGTTGTCGGTTGATTTTTGTAGATGCCCAGCTTCCCAGATTTATGTCCACATATCGTTGAAGAAGCGGGAGAAGAACTCGAACCATCAAAAATTTCGCAATGTCTTTTGTCGGTTCCGTCAGAAAAACAGATGAGAGCTTTAATAAAAATGACGACTTTGTTCAACGGTTTTTTATATTGATCTTTACCTCGAGAATCATTTTCAATCGGAAGTGCAGCACTCGAATAATCGATGTCATTGAGAAGTCTGACGGATGATTCAACAAATTGACATCCATCAAGAACGGCAATCTTTGTAAATTGATTACAATTTTTCGCTCAATCAAACCTTTTTCTTGTCAGAATCACCACCAAAAATAAAAAATTGATTTTCAATAACCGCATGTTGTGCATTTTTAGCATAATTATCCGCAGGAGCTGAGATTTTGCGGAAAGTTGTGAGCTTCCGTCTCCCGAGATAACGTATGAGTCTGTGATCGAGTAGCGTACAACAAGAATGAACATTCCGTTCTTCAAAATATACTTTATTTAAGAAGAAATAGTTACAAACTACCGGATCAGACGGATGTTGAGTAGTTGGAGAGACAGTCGAGGTCCCTGATCCCTAGAAGCCAATTGCGAAAAATTCATTCCGATTTAGAGAAACCTGAGACTGAAAGCAAGGACAAGAAGCCATTCTTTCTTGATGTCCAGAACAGCAAGTTTCATGACAAAGTCCCGTCGGTTCACAAATTTTCATGCAGGAAGTCTTAATGCAAATCAGCTCACTGATAACTTTAAATCAAACCAGCTCATCAAGAGAGTCATTGAGACATGATTTGTACTCGGCATTGTTTTGCTCCGCATCTTCGCATTGTCCGAGACATAAGGGGTGCTCACCGCATTCCACGCATCCAGTTTGGCAGTCACCTCCGCAAGGACACGAGTTATCGCAAGCTTAAAGACTTTCTTGCCTTTTTATTGTACAAATCGGCTTTACCGGAAAAACTGCTTAGGCAATTCGAGTGACATAAGGAAGAGTCGCATGAGGATAAACAGTCCAGGTATGATACTCTGCAACTTGCCAAGCATTCCTCATAGAGAGGCCGATCGCTATAAATTATATATTATAGCCTATAATATATTTTTAAAATAAGTGTGAACAGTTTTTTCCATCTTTAGAGGCCCCAACTGAAGAGGACTTAATTATAATAATAATAATTAATAATTATAAAAATTTACAAGCATTTAATTAACAAGCATTAATATCAAGACCTCATATTAAGGACCCCCCCGTCAACAATTTTCGAAAAATCTATTTTCGGAATTTCAAAATTTTGACCCCGGAAATGGATTCTACGGGTAAAAAAACGATTTTGAGGCTTCATTTTTTGGGGGTCTATCTCGACTCTAACACCCTCAAAATCGCCTTTGAAAATTGGAGTTTTTGACGAAAAATGATGAAAATGGTCTATTTTCGCTAGAAAATCAGTTTTTCTTGGGCAAAAATTGCTCCGAACAAGTTTATCTGATGTATTAAACTTCCAGGTACACTCAGAAGCCAAAATATGGCTGTTCTAAAATTTTCGAGTTTTTGAGGAAAATTGTTGACGGGGGTCCTTAAATCGCTCTTTTGCATACTCACATGCATAACTCATCTCTTTGTCCAAGCAGTCGGGAAAAAACCGTCGTTCCATAAACTGGATCACTCGGAAGAATACACAAAAGTGCAAAAAACCAAGTAAAAAACATACTTCTGCTCGAATGACGGTCTTACGAGAGAATCTGCCTGTTTTATCTTGAATATAAACTTTTAAAATGCAAAGTAAATACTATTGCTCGCCGGTTCCGTGATTAAGGACAGAAAAAATTGACATTTGACACAAGAATCTAAACGAGGAACGATGATATTTATCGTTGATTTTCGCAATTCTGCTCGGAATTTAATTTTATTTAAATTTTAGTTATCATGCGAATTAAAGCAAAATTCGTAAAGAAATTCTTCTTCAAGGAAAATGAGGGAAACTTGTTCGCCAGACTGAATTTATGATCAGCAAATATCAAGCCAACTTACATATTTCTACGCTGTTTTTCTCTCATAAATAAGGGTCAGCTAAGAAAATGGACGGCAAAGAGAACGCAGCTTTTGACCTAGAAGCGCAATATATTCCAAAAGCGGGGGAAGAACTCGCCGCTGATTCCATATCCATAAATTGCTCCAAGGAACAAGTCGGAAACTTCGATGCAGAGATAAATGCACGAGTTTCGAGACGGCGATTGATGAAATCAACGAGGAAGACGAGGAGGGCGCTTTTGATGAGGACAATCGACGATTATTCTTGGTTCAAGTCTGCTTAATCGGTAAATTTTTATAAAGTAAAGCAATCTAAAAATAAGTTTTTATCCAAATGGGAACTCTTGCCAATAGAGAATGGTGGCTCTATTGGGTTCTCATAACTTCTTGTCTTCTACTTCTCTGGTTCGTTTCTGGATATTTTTGCTGCTGCGAGCATGTCATGAGAAGAAAGCCTGCACCTGTTATTCTCCATCCAATCGTCACTTAAATCGTGACAGTCCTTTTTGTTTCGATCGCATTGCTTTCATCTGGAATTTTTCTTGGTATGATCGACGATTCGACCGAGTGCGAGGTCAAAACTTATTGCGAGTATGATTTTTGAGAAAATATTCATGAGCTTAAAAATTTAAGAGCGGCGAAATACGATTGCTCGAGCGGAAAATATACGTCAGATGAAATGGAAAAATGGTGCGAAAAGGCGAATTCCTGCGTTCAAAATACTTTCAGTAAATGAAGCTTCAAGCTCACATAAAATTGGACGAAATTCAGCGATCATGGTTTTTGCTGAAGCTGGAGTGGCTCTGAATTTGATCATAAGTGTCATTTTGATGATGTTCCTTAATTTTGATATCATTAAAAAGAAGAATATCACCTTGATCATCTATCTTGTTCTCTCAGTCCCCGTTGGATTTATCGGATTTGCAATTTTTCCGGTAAATGTTGAGTACTCCATCATCTGGTAATGCTCGGATATTTTACTGATAACGACAATTTCTAGTGTAATTACAATTTTCCTGTCGACAGTGATCATTTACTGCAATTTCTACTGGATTGTTACAAACAAATACGATTTTACCCCGGAAGACTGGATTTATATCGGATCCCATCTTTACACACAGGAAAGATTTCAAACTTTGTTTTCATAATCAAGTTTGATTGGATTTTTCATATCATTTGTAGATTGGGTCATACTTCTGTTTCTGCTACAAAGCAAACTGCGTCAACGGTCACAGGAAAAAGAAACATGGAAGCGGTGAAGCAGCAAAAAGAGGGGTGGAAAGAAGAGTGAGTAGAAGGCAAAATCGGAGACGACGAAGAAGAGGACGAAGATAAAACAGAATATTTTATGATATTTAATTTATGAGCTCTAATTAAAATCTTATCGCCAACCTGCGTTCGAAGCTGAATAAAATATATACAAAAATGAAAATTGGTTTATTTGCTCAAATAAATCATCCTTGCAGTTATCCGTTAATTTGAGGAATAAGAACTTATTTATAAATTGGCACAAAGGGGACAAAAACCGGTACTTTCTCACAGTACTGCTGGTATTCCAACGTTTCTCCCCACTTTCTTCTTCCATTTTCCTCCAACATCGGGATTCCGGAAACGAATCGTAGAAGTCCATAAATGAAGAAAATAGACAAGCCGGAAAGAAATTCAGGCCAGTAGGTGAACGACCCAGCAGCGGAAACGTAGAGGCCACTCCAAAGCAGGACTTCACCAAAGTAGTTCGGGTGGCGGGAGATGCTCCATAAGCCGGTTTTGATGAATTGACCTGAATTAAAATTTATGTCCTTCAGAAAACCTAGGATTCTGAAGGCCCTAGCCTTAGGCCCCTAGGGAGGGGGGGGTTTGATCCTGGGATACGCAACCTGTCAGAAAACCTGAGTCAGGGCCTTCTTCAAAACCCTGACTCAGGTTTCTTTTGCCAAGCCCAGTTTTTCTCGCCATATTTTACCTCGTTTAGATTCGTCATTCAGAAATCTCGCCTTCTGAAAATCGGAAACAGCTTCGAAAATGAACCCAACAAGAAAAATCGCCCATCCAACGTAAGAATACGGAGTTACTTCCGTTTGCGGAGTCCGATTAGCCAAATACGTCGGGCAGGACATGACGAAGACCCATATGATTTGAAGAATAAAAGGGACAAGAAAAGCGATTGGTGCGTTGTCGTACTTTTCCATTCTAGCGTCGCCGCGTTTGATTGCTCTGTAGAACAAATACGAGCCGAGGCGGAATGCCCAGAGCATGATACAGCTGCTCTGGAATTTTATTCACAAAGCGTTTTCTTGACTTGGAATACCTGGACGATGTTCATAACCGTCAAGTCGGAGTGATAAAGCGAAAGAGCACAGCAAGTCAAGTAAGCGATCGATCCAACGAGATCGTAGGTCTTGTGTGTTTTAGCCACAGCGGACACTGCCCAACCAGCGATGTTGATATAACAATCCAGCAGAAATAATCTCAGCAAAATATCGAGCGATTGGTATCCGCCCTCCATGATTTCTCGAGTCACGCTAACTTCCCCAAGACGCTAACTTCCCCAGACGCTAACTTCCCAAAACGCTAACTTCCCCAACATTGTGCAAGTTAGCGTCTGGGGAAGTTAGCGTCAAAGTTGCCGGTTGCAAAAAATATTTTTTTTCTCGAAATTTTTATATCGAACACTGAATACAGTATTCAGAAATTAAATGAGCCATTATTTCTAAGTAATTTAGACAGAGGTTTGAGAATTCAGGCATTTTTTGGGATGAATGTTCTAATAATGACGCTTCGAAATAATCAAAAATATTTTATTATAAATAATAAGAGCTTAGAAATTTTGAAATCGACTGTCAAAATGAGTGTACTCTCGGAGTACAAAAAATATTATTTCAAAACGTTAAACTAAATTTGCTCAAAAGAAATGGAAAATATGACCGCTTTTCACACGGAAAGGTCGAGGTTAGATTCTAAGAGGGAACTGACTGTCTACTAGACTAAGACATGCTCAGCATTCAGTAAAAGAGCCATTCAACGCTCCACGGATCGCCCACGCACTTTCGACGCTAACTTGCCCAAGACGCTAACTTGCCCAAAACGCTAATTTGCACAACCTTGGGGAAGTTAGCGTCTGGGGAAGTCAGCGTCTGGGGAAGTAAGCGTCTTGGGGAAGTTAGCGTGACTCTGATTTCTCTTCTTTCTCTTTCTTTTGCCGTGATTTTTATGTGTTTCTGCTATTTGAATAGACAAAAGTGGGCGCACCGTTACGTCATCAAGGTATAACTGACAGTATAATGAGAAAATGAATTTTAAACACAAAGATTCTAGAAGAAATATTAGAGATAAATTATTTCAAATAATTATTTTTTCTTAATAAATTTTTTGAAGTTTTTTTTATTTATATAATATTATATTATTAAAAAATCAGGGGGTCCCCTAGTTCATCCTTGACTTTTAACGTGTGGTGCCCAAGTTCATCAAAGTCAAGGATGAACAACGGGATCCCCTATTTTATTAATTATAAGTATCCATGAATTTCTCGTTTCAGACTTGTTAAGGGGTCCCCAACGATTTTTCCGAAATAAGCCATTTTCAAACGGCGCTCACGGCGTCACGGACTTAGATTTTTCAAAAATTTTCTTTCGTACAACTAGATCATTCTTAGATCTAGTGAAGCGTGTCTCAAGTTTTTTTAAATCCAACCACATTCGGCGCTAAAGAGCCGAGAAGGTAACCATCTCGCGCAAAATCGCGTTTTTGGGTACTTTTTGACCGAGATTTACTCCAAAAATTTAGGAAACAAATATTTTTTTTCCTGTGGTTTCTGAAAGGTCTAACGCTTATCTAGTGAAGCGTATCTCAGATTTTTCAAATTCCAAAAAATGATAATGTAACGAAGACGATCAAAATAATGTACGATTTTTGAAATTTCAACCATGTGAATTGCCTTCCGGGCATTACCCAAACCCATATTTTCTGGCATAAATAGAAAGTTGAGCTCATAGCCTTTCTAAAAATATGCCATATACGACCCTTTCACAACTGTAAATATGTAAATATGGTAAATATTATTTTTAACGCATAATTTAAGATAAAAAGTCAATGACGGGCATTCTAACGCGATTAAAAGAAAAATTTATCAAATATGTTAATACTTTGTCTCCAGGGTGGATAAACTAGAAATGGCTGTTGGCGAGCGCGAGTGAGCGGGAGCGGCAGCCCGGAATTTTATGGTGAGCGAGTGAGCATGAGCGCTCGCTCACTCGCTCGCGCTCGCTCGTGGCTCGCGCTCACCATTTTTTCAAACTTTGGTTGGCGGCAAGAATTGACAAAATAATTGAAAGAATTTCGGTCAAATAACGCAAAATATTGAACAATTTAAAATATATTTATCATGATGTCTTGATGGCTAACGAGCCTTGTAAACTCCGCTTGGATGATCAAACAGTTTCACCGTCACTGGACCCGTGTGTTCGAAGAACGAATCCCTTTAAAAAATGGAAAGGAAAATAATTATTTTACTTTTTGTTTCGTTTTTCATCGGCGTTGGCCTCTCGATCTACCCGCTAATTATCGCATTTCGCAAAGAACAAAAAGAAGTTCAAGAAAATGGCCATCTAGGTGATGCAAAACCGATCGGCGCATGGACTCCTACCGAAGAGCGCCTTCATGACAATCTAATTGAAAAAAGAAGCAGCAGAATTTTTCGAAGTCAAAGCTTTTTATCGCGGAAAATTAACTGATGCAATTATTTCGCCAACACTTCTCCGTAAGTCTATCTTCACCAAAATATCAAATTAATTTTTGTAATAAAAATATTTAATAACTAATTTGAACATTATTTAATTTTAAATTAATAATTTATTGAATAAAATGATTATTTAATTATTTATTATCTTATAATGATAAATAAATTATTTAATAATAACAATATAATTATTTATTAAATTTTATTATTTAATTTTATTAATTAAAGAATACGAGGCTGCACAAGCGTTTTGCTTGGAAAAGAACAGTTCCATGCTAGAGATGAAAATCGACACATTCATGCCCATTCCCGACCATATTCATCGACTAACCTTTCTTTATTGGATAAAAGCTGAGTTCTCTCAAGATCTCGATGGTCTTGAAATCAACGAAGAGTACCGCGAAAAAATTCAAAATGAGCTTGACCGCAGTAAAGCAAGGCCTGGATACATCTTCTTTATGTATACAGTTTGCAATCTGCCCAACAAATGCTCATTTTGCTTGTATAATGAACCAACGAACGGCTCAAAATTATATTTGAAAATGATCGTCAGACCACGGAGATTTCAAAGATATAAAAGAATCTCTCGGGAGCGGATCCCTCCAATTTGAGCATTTTTAAAGCATAGAAACAAATAGTAGGGAATTTGAATTCGTCTGCGCTGATAGAGTTTACGAAGATGGAAAAATCCTGGTTCAAGTTGAAGCTGAACCCGATTGTGATGTCTTACAGGTACGAAACAACGGGGGGTACTGAATTGTGCCGCCCTGCGCCGCCCTGCGCCGCCTTGCGCCGCCCTGCGCCGCCCTGCGCCGCCCAGCGTCGCCCGGTCCGGAACCAATCGACTCTCATTCGACCAAACCATGACCTAGGAAAGAGTTCTGAACAAGAGCGACAGAGAGCGAGTTCTCTACCAGAAAATGCACGCGTAAGGGCCTTTGGCCCGTCGCGTGCTCAATAAATTAGTGATTTTATGCAAGATCTGAATTTGATTGAGAACTACGAACCTGGCACCCTACATTATAGGTTTTACAAATTTTAACTGTTTGACAATATAAATAAGTGAGAATAACTAAGTTGACATAAAAAACTTAAATTATGGCCTTTGAAAGACCAAATATCTTCAAACCCGGTGAGGCAGGGCGGCACAGGGCGGCGCAGGGCGGCGCAGGGCGGCGCAGGGCGGCGCAAGGCGGCGCAGGGCGGCACAATTCAGTGTCTCCCGAAACAACTTGTCATCCTTGCGCAAAGAAATCTATGAGTTATGAACCGTGAACAATTTTACAATGTTCTTGATAGCTGAACACAACATTTGTGGAGAAGAACAATCTTTTTCTTGGCCCTGATAATAACCCTTTTTGGAAGCGAGTCGACAACATCAAAGGAACGACTTCCAGGAAAATTCTTTCTGGATACTTCGAAAAAGGTAATCTTCCAAAAACCGAATAAACATTTTGGTCAATTTATAATACAAAGGCGGTGAAACTGGCGATATTCCATGGTGCGAAAACAATCCAAATCGTCTCCAGGGTGCATATATTTACGAAAACGAAGTCTATCTCGGAAACAAAGCGAAAAAGTAAGAATTCGTTTGTTTAATTATTTTATTAAATATTTTCTAAAAGAGCATTTGCAGTTTGTCTTCGCTGATGCTCCTTGCTGGCTTCAATTATCTTCATCTTCGCGTTTTTTCTGAATCATTTTCGTCACTAAAAATCTTTAAAAAAAAACGAAGCCTTTTTTTCCTACAAAAGCAGAAAATGAGCGTTGCAAGGAAAAAGACAACAGCGCCAAACAACATAACCATTTTTCTCGCTTCTTTGAAATTCTCGATGTCGACTCTCATAAAGCATCCGTCGATAAAATCGCCGTTGAGGGGATCGAAAACGCTGTCAACATAAGAAAATTCTTCACCAAGTTCATCACAAAAACTTAAAAATTTTTTGAAAAACAAGTTCCAACTTTTTGACAAAACGTTTTATTCAGAAGCCAAATATTGATTCTCAAAGCTCTTTCATCTAGGCTCGGCAACCTGTGTAGAAAACCTGAGTCAGGATTTGAAGGAGCTCTTGACTCAGGTTTTCTACACAGGTTGCCGAGTCTAGACCGTCAGCTTGCAAGAAAAAAGCATTTTTATTTTCCATTTTTTCTATTTTAAATCCAAAAGAATGAGACCTTTAAACCTTCTCCCAATTTTTCTTCAACAAAAACCATTGTTGACAAATTGACATTTTTGCATCCAGAAAGAAAAGAAAGCATCAGTTCTCGCTAATTAACGATCATCGCGGATGTCAAGCGATAAATCGTCAAGCAAGAAATTTATTTTTCGCGTTTCTGCCCGCGGCTGATCCAAGCCCGCGTGGGTGATACGCGCCCTAGAAAAAAAATCGGCCAAAAATAGGCGGTCAAAAAGAGTGCAATAAAAATGACCGAGCCTCTTCTCGCGGAAAATCTGAATGACAAAGAGATTGAGGAAATTTCGGAAAAGGAAGAGGAAGAGTTGCTGAAAGAAGAAAACGAGCAGGAAAATGAGACTTCCGGAGAACCGACGAATATTTTGGCTGTGTTTAATATTCCGCTGGAGATTGATGATGATTCTTTGAAGGGAAGGGCTTTTTCTACGGGGTCTCTTTTTCAACCCTTCCTGAAAATTTAGGAAATCTTTTCGGGAAAGCCCAAAAAAGACACATTTCCAAAAATGGGGAAAACTAACCGACGCTAGAATCGTCAAAGCAGGAAAGAAATCAAAATCCCGTGGTTTCGCCTTCATCACATTTGCTGATCTAGAATCCGCAAAGAAAGCGAAAGAGGAAGCTCATGAAAGCTCATGGAACGACAAAATGTACGCGAATCTACCAAAAAACTAAATTAAAAAGCAATTTCAGAATTCGAGTTGACTATTCGGTCACGAAACGCGGTCACAGTCCAACGCCGGGGGTTTACAAAGGCCATGCAACTGAAAAACTTGCTGTTTCGAAAAAAGTAGTGAATTTGGAACCAGGTCGTCCAGAAACCATCATCAGGGAACGATCCATTTCGCCAGGTCGCCCGGAAGTTGCTGGAAGACCAAAAACGCCGGAGAAGGAAGAAAAGAAGAAACGAAATAGCGAATCAGAATTGCCAGTCAAGCCGGATGTTATTCGCGGCAGAGCGAGGCGAAAATCAAGGTCCCGATCGAGGGAGAGATATCGAAGGAAATCGAGAAGCAGATCGAGGGATAGAAGAAGATCCAGATCAAGAGACCGAAGAAGACGATCATCTCGCTCAAGATCAAGGTTTGCGGCAAATCTTTTTCCTTCTCATCCTCATTTCTTTCTTAGATCTCGAGACAGAAGAAGATCCAGATCCCGCTCCCGGTCCCGCGATCGTCGAGACCGAAAACGCTCGCGCTCAAGATCGAGAGAGCGCGAACGAGACCGAAGATATAGAAGATATTGAAGATTATTCTTCATGAAAAATAATTTTTGATTTTTTGCATTCACCAAGTGCCTTGAGACCAAATACCAATAAAATAAGAAACTGCCAATTATGTTTTCTCAATTTCTAGAGCACTTTTGTAGATTTTGTCTTAGATTGGAAACCTTGATCAGTTTAAATTTTATGAGAGAAAATTTCTTTGAAAAATGGCAATTATTTTGGTGACGATTCTAGCGATTGGCAGGGGCTATGATTTTATAATTTTGAAAAAAGAAAAATTGAAAAAATCGGCAATTTAAAATCTATCAAAAGTTGTGACATCATCGTTGATTTTCAAATGCAAACTAGTCCAAGACTATCTCGGCCGTTTTTCCCGCAAATGGGAGCAGAAAAGGATCCTCCAGACGCCTATCAACACGATTCTAGAGTGGGTCCTCGCGGCTCGCTGCTCTCGACTCGCCTACATTCCACACGAGGAGTTCAAAAAGATCATCGACGAATGCGGCGATTTCGAAAGCTCTTCTTGCAATTTGACCAAAAAATCGAAGCGAAAAACCGGCCAAATAAAAAACGTTCTGTTTCAATTTGAAAAGCGGACGTTCGAGTACATCAATGACAAGAAAGAAGACACAGATGTTTATGTCTTTTGCAACAAGCACTTTTTGGTTATTGCGTTTCGAGGGACGGCGTTTACGATGGTCGATGGATTCAGCTTCAAAGATGTGATGCAGGATCTGAAAATCAAGAAAGTTCCGTTTTTCGGAGGCTTGGTTCATTCGGGCTTTTACAAGCAGTACTCAGGATCGGTTTCGAGAACCCTTCGAATAAATAAATTCCTCGCTTCTTCAAACCCTTATCAAGCCATTCGCGATAAACTCTTCTCAAAGACCCTCTTCAACCTGGCCGAATACAACCCTCCAAAAATCCTCATCACTGGCCACTCACTTGGTGGCGCTCTAGCGTCTCTTTGTGCAGTAGATTTTTCAATCTCCCTGGACCAAGTTTTCAGCGACAGAATCAGATGCATAACTCTCGGGGCGCCAAAAACTGGAAACTCGAAATTCTGCAGAGTTTTCAGAAAAAATGTGAAAAATGCGCATCGGCTGGTCTTGCCCTTTGATCCCATTCCAAAGGTAAGCGAGTCAATTTTTCCTCCAAGAATATCGATACCGCCGTAGATTCCGCCAAATATTCCTGGAATGCAGTACAAACATCCCATCAAAAAAACGCTGCTCCGGAACTACAAAAACAAAGTCCTCCAAACGATCCCGACGGAAAGTCATCACTACGAGAACTATCTTCAGTCACTTGAACAGACCAAGAAGGAAGTTTACCGTCTGCTTTCTCTCTCCCCTTAAAATTGATTTCTCTTTAGAAATGCCGCAAAGAAGGTCATGAAATTGAAGAAAATCAACAAGGAAAACTGTCCTCTTTGAGTCGAAAATTTGTCAAATTGCCGAAATTTATGAAAAATAATTTAAATATTTATTTCCTTTTTTTACAAAAATCACCATCCAAAAGGCTCTTCTTCCGACTCTTCCGAATCATCATCGCTTTCTCGTACAATCGGCATAATCGGAGCTTGCTGAGCTCTGACGCTAAATAAGCTCATATTGCTTGGCATTTTCTTCATAATCGATTGTTTTCGTCTTTGATGTTCTGTTGCGTTCATGATTCCGGCGCTGTAGCTTCTTCTTTCCACTTTGTGAAGTTGACCAGCGTTGGCGTACGGGTCGACTGGGTGAACTGGTGCAAAGTCCATTTCAGAGGTGGTCATGGTGAGAGTTGGTGCTTCTTCTGGTTTTGGCAGGTCTTTCGCGAGCTCTTCGTATTTGTCTCCGAGGCGTTGTTTGGCGACTTCAAGGAGTCGAGCTTGTTCGCGAGGGTATGATTCGGCAATTTGCTTGTGGTCGGGATCAACTTGATTTTCCATAAAAAGGGGAAGCCAAAGTTATCTTGTTAATAAATCCCTGTCCTGAAAATCATCGTAGCAAAGTGAATAGACATACAGTTCACCCATCGCTGTAATCGTCGCCTGGCGCTTGACAGTAGGCATCAACAATGAAATTTCACCAAAGAAGTCTCCCTCCTTCAAAACTAAGAAAATGACTCTCTTATTTCTGAATAGAACTTACTGAATGGCTTGAAGTCTTCGGTATCCGGCATTTCCACCAAGACAGATCCCTGAGTGATAAAATACATGCTTCGGCCAACCTGGCCGATTTTTACGATGGCATCGTCTTTCATGTACATTTCCAGCTTCATAAACGGAAGGACCTCGTCAACGAAGTTTTTCGGCGCGTCCTTGAGGAAGGGAACTCCGTTGATTAACGGCGCGCAGTTGTGGCGAATAATCTCCATTCGCAGCTTTGGATTGAGGATCTTCAGTACTTTCGTTTCATCAAACATCTTTCCGGCGTATCGTTTCTCGTAGTAGTCCAAAACTCTTTGAGAAAGCTCCTTTGGAACTCTTTTCGTCTCCAAGTAGCCCATTACAGAGGCGATCTTCTCGTTGTAGAGGCGTTTTGATGCGGCCATCATGTGCATCATCGACGAAGCGATACCGATGAAAGCTGCTTTGAGCAAGTTCCCGATGAAAGCGGAAGAAAAAGCGGCCCAAAGATCGTGGTAGTTCTGGGGAACGATGCTTCCGTAGCCGATGAACATGTGACTCAGCGATCGAAAAACACTGTTTCTAAAGAAAAATATGTTTCTCGAATAAGGATGAGAGGATTCTTCTTACATGTACTGGAAGCTAAATGATGTCCCGTCCAGATGAAGCTGCTGAATTGTCGTCCAAGAGCTTTTATGAGGAAAAGCCGGATGAAAAGTCGTCACGGCAAACTAAGAAAAATCGGTCGGACTAGAAAAGGGAAATCGGTTACCTGAAAACAAGCAGAAATATGAATCCAAGTAAGAAGGACGAAAACAAAGAGGAAAATCTTCAAAAGCCCTTTTGCAACATCAGCATTGAAAACCTTCTCCATGTAAATCGTCAGATTGCGAAACAGTCGAGTCAGTCGCATGAGTCGGAGAACACCAGTGATTTTCGTCAAACGGATGAATTTGAGGTATCGAATGATGTCACTTGCAGCCACTCTTGAAAGATAATGAGAAAACGGGAGTCATGAAATTGGTTACTTTTGAGTTCCGGCAATGTCAGTTTCTGCTGCGTAAATATCCGTGTCGTTGAAGAACACGGCCACAATCTGGTCCAACGGAAGCGTCGCCAGTAAATCGAGCCAGAACCAGCCTCGCATGTATCGCTTCCGGATCAACTTTGTGTTTAAAACTGCGACATCGGCTTCTTCGTAGCCCGTTCGGAAGTTGCACATCATTTCGAAGGTGAACCAGAGGTCCGAGACGAGGGTCGAGTAGAAGGCGAAATAGGGATGAATCGTGTCGGGACGGACCATGGCGTAGATGCTCTCGAACTTTGGATAAGCGATGAACATCGGGATCGTATAGATGTTGAGAAAGAGGATCAAGGCTTTTTAGATCTTCACAATTGGCCTCAGATTTTGGGGATGGTGTCTGGAAGCGTCAAAAATTTCGATAAATTTTCGTGGGGGGCTACTCGGCTGCTGATTGGCCGATTTGCCGAATCCAGGCTTCTGATTGGTTGAAAATATCTACGCAAAATTTGTCGAAATTTTTGTCGGTTCCAGACACTTTCCCAAATTTTAAAGAAGAAAGAAAACAAGGAAGACCTTCCTGAAGTCAAGTCCAAAAAAATCCTGAAAAACGAGTAGGGATGAATCACAAATGGAAGTTTCTCGATAACTTCATTCTCCGCCTCCAACTTCTCGTCGCAGCCAAATTTGTCCGCATGAAAATCGGCGATGCTGAAGATCGACTTTCTTGTATTCGCCTTTTTTGTACTGAGAAGGCTTTCTTGCTGCTCCACCGATTTCTTCTTCTCGTCATTTTGATCTTGTGTGATTCCGAATTCAGCAAGAGGCGAATTGAAAGTTGATTTTTTTCTCGATTTGAAGGCGGTTTTCCGCGCTCCCATGACGGAGACTCTCCGGGGTTCTAGCGTCGCCATCAGACCAAGAAAAATTCCAAAACTGATTTTTCGCGTTTATTTATTTTTTTACAGGAAAGGGTTTCTAGAGAAAAGAGTCTTCATGCACCAATCTTTAGTCTGAACCACCAATGATGGCGATTAGGTAGATGAAAATTCTTCCTATCTTTTTATTGGATCTTAAATTTGGAAAGCGAAAGGAGGAATTTGAAAAGTCACGTGATCCGAGTCCTGCATGAAAATGTACATTGATGCTCGAACCCACTCATCGGGCGAAAAGTCGTACTTGTTGTTGACAATCAGCGAGAGTGTAAAAAGAATTCCAACGCTCCCGCAGAAGATAACGAAGACACTGGAAATCAGAGAGCTATTTTCAAATGAAAACCTACCAAAGCATTGCCCAGTAAATTTCAATCGGGAAGAGGAACCATCCGAGAAGACCGATTGGCCAGGAAAGAACGAAATAGATGATGATGACGATTTTCATATGATTGAAGATGTCTTGATAAACGCTTTAAATAGTGAAAAGGAATTTTTTCTTACCAAAGCCGCAAACGGTTAAAATCAAGCTGACAAAGAAAATTGACGCGGTTCCGATTCCAGCAGGCACGATTACGGCTAAAATTAAGATTAAACTGATGAAAGAAGATTTGTACTTACAGAATGCATCTTGAACGCAAGTTTCTACGGCTTCACATTTGGAACTACTACTTCCATATGAGCAACCATATTCATCAGCTCTTAAATAAATTCATAAATTTTAACATATAGAGCTAAACTCACTTGCAAAATACATCGTAGCTACAGTTACTTCCAGCGGTCGACCACATTCCGGCAAGAAATGCGAACATAAACGCCATCAAAACGCTGAAAACGACCAACGAAATTATATTTAATGGCGATGTCCGCATGAGCTTATCACTTTTCTCCAGTTTTTGAGCCGAAAAAATTAATGAAGTGCCTTGATTATCCAAAAACGATCCTGCAAGCCATAATACAGGCCACGATGGGAAAGACAAGAATAACGACCCAGTACAACCACCAGTTCTCGGAAATATAACAAGCAGTCCCATAATCAAACAAGATCCAGCACGTCATCGCCCCAAGAAGGCACATTTGCAAGCAAACTTTTCAAATGAATTTAACGTTTCATTTGCTTATCTAACCTGTTAGCGAAACTTTGATAAGAAAGGGCCTTCGATTGACCTCATCAAATCCTTCAGACTCGATATTTATGTCGCCTTGTGGGACATAAGCCGTGGAAGGGGAAATTCTTCGTTCTGAAATTCTGCTCCCGCTTTTGGAATATCACTGAATAAATAATTCTTTATTCTCTTCGCCGGAAAAGTTCCCTACCCAAGTTCGACATCATCAAATGCTTCATTCTCTTTTCCCATTTTTCTATTTTTGGGCGAAGAAAGCTGGTAATAATCCAAGCTTCCTCACGAGTGTGCATTCAATCCTGTTTGCCTTTCTCATATTATTTGAGTAAATACCAAAAAGCTCGTTATTACCTCCAAAATTCTCTTGAGCATTAACTTTTCCGACGAGGTTTTTTCCGAGACATTTTCCTCACATAGAGTGAGAGGACATATAATAATCCACTTCTTCAATCGTTCAGTGGCTCAGTTGATGTCTCAGTCGTTGTCTCCGTTGAGGAGTCAAGTTGTGGGAGAGTCGGTTTGCTCGGTTGGTGGCTTAGTCGTTGGCTCAGTTGTGTGATCAATTGGAGGCTTAGTTGGGGACTCAGTCGGTGGGTCAGTTGAGGGCTCAGACGGTTGGTCAGTGTCGCATTTCGGCTTGGAAAAGTCGAGGGAAACTTGGTCGCCCCGGCGAGTTATTCTACTTATTCTAAATGAGAGTGCAGTCACTCAAAATGAAATCGCGGTATTAAGAAATTCACCATTATCAAGTGCCAGTTGCGTAAGTTTCTAAAAAAGAAAAGATGATTTTTAGCGAACAACCTGAGTTAGGCAACGACGGCAACAACGGCAACAAAGGCAACAACGGCAACAGGGCCAAATAAAAATAATTCATATTTTCGCATAGCCTGAGTTAGGCAAGAACGGCAACATTCTAGAAGCAAACTTGTCTTTAAAACCCCTTGAGTTTCCTAAAATCAGGCGCGAAGCGCATACTCACTCTTTGACTTTTGATTTTGTTTGCTAAAACGGTGAATTTATAATTAGTTCAAGTTGGCTAATTACAATTCGCAAACTGGTCAATCTATGAAGTTTAACAACGAACAAAGAGCCGTGGAAAAAAAATTTGATTATTTAACAAAAAGTACTTTTCTTTTATAATATTGTAGTTACACAGATATTGAGCCTTATAATGAGTTCCATACTTCCATTTTCAATACTGCCATTTTAAATCTGACAAGCATTTGCAAAAAAATAACATCTAAAGCTGCGCTCTAGAGAAAAAATGCAAAAAAAAGAACAAGAAAAACATCGCGCAAAATTCATCAGAACCTGAGAATGGCAACATGTTGCCGTTGTTGCCTTTGTTGCCTTTGTTGCCATTGTTGCCGTTGTTGCCATTCTCAGGTCGAACCATTTTTAGGCATGTTTTTTTTCACCAACTTCTTTTATAAGACTCAATTTACCTCTATCTCTTCTGAGCTTCCCGCATTTTGCTGGTCAATCGGGACTGCATTTAGTTTTGCAAAAGATAAAATTTTGAGAATTTTCATTTTAAAAGGATCAATAAGAAATTTTTCGACATACAAATGAATTTTAAAGCACAACCGATGGGGAGCAAGAGCCACAGTTTATGCATGATTTTACGTCATATTCGGTTTTTTATCGCCTTATTTAGGCGATTTTTGATGAAACTTCGGATTAACGTGGCCTTAAATTCACGCATTGCGGTCTACTCAGTCGTGTTCAGGAGGATGACCTTGCTGTCTGGAATCATATGAACAGTACCGTTAAAGACTGAATTTGATCAGGAACGGTTGAAGTACCGTAATTCCGAGTGTGAACGGTGGTGGCGCTATGAGTGCTCTTATTTTCGTGAAATCGTCGAATGAAGCATGAAAGGTCAGCCGACCAAGGACTCTCTATTCGCTGTTTTTACTCTTTCTAGCTCGGACAAAACTTGCCCTTCTCCTTTCCGTCAACCTTTTGCCAACGTGCGTCTAACTCAAAATCGCAAACTCGCCACTACATAGTTCTTCTTTTTCATTTTCAGGCAGAGAGTTTAGTTTGAGAGAGAAAAAAGGAAAGAGAAAGGAAAATGAAGATGATACGAAGATTGCTGCTTTTTCAGGAAAAAATTACAAAATTTCATTAAAAATTATAAAAAGCGGAAATTTTTCAAAAATTTTTCGAAAAATTTTTGGAAAAAAATTTTAATAAATTTCAAAAATTATCGAATTTTTCAAAAGACAGTCGTTCTTGCTCAATTCAACGAGCTCGATCTGTACAATCGACCGCGAAAGCCCCGGCCCAATGCGCCGAGAATTTACGATGCAAGTGATGCACCTCTTGAAGACTTCTCCATGCTTGATGATGCCCAAGTGATTCAATACGAAGACGAAGGGGAAGAAGAAACGATGGACGCTCCAGCGTTGATGAGTGGTATCAGACCGCCCGTAAATATCATGGTCAGAGGTGCCAGGCAGCGAAAGCTTGGGTTTTGCAATTTTTTATTTGAATAACTGCATATAAAGTTATTTAACTATGACTCATACTGTGTGACTTTCATCATACTATTCTTTATTTACAAAACTCTTGACTATTTTGTTAATCCAATCGCGCAAATGAGAAAAAAAAATATAAAAATTTTTAAGAAAATAATTTTTCTGATTTTAACGCGACTTGAAAATTCTCGAAATTAAAAATCCCGAATAGAAAAGAAAGCAAGCGGCAAAAACAACTGCTGCTCCAAGCACAACAACCCTTCAAATCAACGAAGAAAATAATGAGAAGATGCCAAAATTTGCTAGGTTTTTGCTTCAATTTTCCCTTTTTCAAATGTTTTTTTAAAGAACCGCGGCAGAAGACGAAGTTGAAAACATTCAGTTTCGGATGGAAGCGATTGTTCAGGAGGCGAAAAAGTGGGTGTTCAATAATATTGGGCGAAATTCGCAAAGAGATCAGCTGAAGGCGAAACGACTTGTGCAGAGGCTGGATGCTCTTCCGGATCGATATGCTAAAGGAATGTTTGTCAGAGACAATAAAGAGAGGATAAAATTGACAAATTTATAAAAAAAAAGCGAGGTCAGTTTTGATCCCCTTTCAAAAAAATAGAAATAAATGACAATTCGTTGGCCATGAATCATGTGATAAACCAGAAAAAAAGTTTTCGAGCGCTGCCGAAGTCCAGAAGACGCAGCTCTGATTGCCGAGCGCAAGAAGCAGCGCGAACTGGAAGGCGGCGAAAAAGGTGAGAGAATGGACAAGGACGAGAAAGAGCTCATCAAGGAAGAAAGAAAAGCAGCAAATGCGATCAAAAAGGAAGCACGGCTCAAGAAAAAGGCCGAACGACTCGAAAAACAAAGCTCAAATGGGGCTGAGAATGAACTGACAACTGTAAGAAAAGTCGGTTGTTTGCAATCTACATTATGATGATTCTAGAGACGAACGGATGACTTGGAATTCCTGGCGCTAGAACGAGAATATGAAGATTACACCTGGGTCCGAAAACGACGAGAAGCGGAACCTCCGAAAAAGGGAGGAAAATTTCGACCTGGAAGAGTATCTCGGCGGCCAGAAAAATACTTTCACTTTTTGCAGAATCAAATCAAAGACAGAAAGTAAGGAAGAAAGCTGTTAATTCTTCTATTGTTTTTCTAGGCTCCAGCGAAACGAGTTGAAGTGCGATAACGAGCTGTACCCCGACTGTAAGAAAAAAGGCAAAGCAGGCGCTGATGCTCGTCGAAAATTCAGACCAAATGCACAGGAAGCTATGTGGACCAAAATTGTCAGGGCGATGCGACTCGCTCCACTTGAGGTAGCAAAATCTTTGTTTTCAGTTTTTGATGTTTCGCTTTCAGATCGCGGAAAATTGCCACATATGGGAACGACTAGAAAAGAAAACGTCGAAATTAAAAGAAAAGGCATGGAAGTGGTTCTTGGAGACTGAATCTGGCCAAGTGAAGGGTCGTGAATTGAGAATACTCATTCGCGAGGAGAGAAATTGATGGAGATCGTGAAATCGCGAGCTCTAGCAACTCACTGGCGCCATTAATTTTACAGGTTTTTGTTCTGATATTGAGCTCAATAGCAGAAAATCAACTTTGAAAAAGCCTTTTGAAACCAATGGGCTATTCAATTAACCATCAAGAGAGGTTTTTCTCTAAGCCAATAAGAAATCCCAATTTTTTCCCAATCACAGGCGAGCAAAACCCCATGGCCCATAACGCCCCCACCTTTGAGCCTATAAAAAACGACCACTTTTATCTTCTACCAATTTGAGTCGAGCAAAGCCCCCTTGCCCTCCCCCCTCGATTTTTACCCACCCCTCGCCGCTAATTCTTATGAAAACTCAGTCTGGGTAAGGTTTCCGACCCAACAAAAGAACGAGTGAACGCTAGAATGATCAAAACGACGAAAGAAAGATTCCACTACACTGAATAAACCCGAGATCTGATGCCTTGCCAATCTCAAAAAAAAAACATAAAAAACTGTATATTCATTTGTTTACTCGTGTTTTAGTCCCATAAACTTTACAAAAAGGTGATGATCAAGTCTCCGGAGAAAATCGTGAACTCAAAAACCGGCAACTTTAAAAAGAAGAAGAAAAAATCGAAAAAGCAAATTTTAAAAGAACAACAACAAAGAGGATGAGAAATTGGCAAAAGAAAATCTCGCGCGATGAAGCTTTTGCGACTTCAATCCTCTTTTTTTCTGTAAATATTGAATTTTTAAAAGACTGAAAACTAAAAAAATAGACGCCATTTTCATCGAAGCTGGGGAGCAGAGAATGGACGATCTATTTTTTATTCCGAGAAAAATGAAGCTGTCCAAAATTTTATGGTGAATAAAATTGATCCAGTTTTACGCCAACTCAATTGTTTAATTTTAAATTGGTGTAATTCTTTTGAAGGATGACGGTTCAATTCAAGCGTAATTGAAAATGTGTCAAGATTGAATTAAATTTGCGAATACCGAGATAATTTGGAAGGCTTTTGGAAGGTTCCCTATTCGACTTTTTATGCACGATTAAGAGATTCTGCTCCATTCTTGAAGATTAGAGCTACGCACCTGAATTATTAACGGTATGCAAGATGGAATAGACAGTCGTTTATTTAGTCGATTTCAGCAAAATTATCATCGGCCATGAATCATTTATTTATCCATAATGTATAGACTTAGAGATTTTCATGCGTAATTTTACAGTTTCAAAGGAGGATGTGCTTTAACAAGGTCTATTATCATCTCTCGAATTTCGGCTCTTGAAACAAATTGTGGCGCAAAAACATGAGAAGCGCCAATTCCGAGAACTAATTAAAATATTTCCAATGTTTCGAGAAAAAACCTCAATTCTGAATAATGAAGCCTTTGGCTACAAAAGTCCTGAATTAGGAAGTTGAATAATAAATTCAGAAAATGTACTGTATCTACTGGTATACTGGATTGGTGTTCGAGACCTTTCCTAGAGGCTCATTGTCCATTCTGTATCGCTTTTCGTCGGTTCAATCGTAAAATACACAGAACAGCAGTTGACACTAATCGAGTCAAAATGCCGCTGAATTTAAAAAATTAATCGGGTTGAACCGTTCCTTTGAATTGCTGCGGCTGATCCGCTGAATCGTCCGCTCATGTCTTACTGTACTTGGTTCTCCGATAATTAATTGAATTTATCAATGGGTAATCGAAACGACAGGTCTGCAGGAAAATGACCTTTGCTTATCAGTGCTGAGCTGGGAGACCGTTTCTGATCTTTTCGAGAGACGCCATTTTGCGAAACCGAACCGTGGTGGCGGTGGCACGTAGTCAAATTGCGGTAAAGGCAATTCTTTATGAACTCGTTTTGATCCTAGAAAGCTTAATAATTTGTTTCTCTATATTCTTGGCTAAACTAACCGCCAATTCCCATAAGAGCTCTTTTGATAGTTTTCTATCTCTCTCTTTTTTAGAGCAAAAAAAGAGCATATTTGCAGAAAGTCATTCAATCGGTAAAAAATGAATAGAGAAATTTTTTTCTTCGTTAAATAAAAAAAAAACTCTTTCATCATTGAAACAAGGTTTGTTATTTTTTGATGATTATTGGTCAGAAAAAATAATTAACAGCAAATTTGCTTCAGGAGATTTTTCTGATCTTGTCGGACAAATTAAACATCTTGGATTAAGGATCCCCCTCAACAATTTTCGAGAAACTGAAAATCGGGTGTTCGATATTTTGACCCAGGAAATGGATTCTTAGGGGGTCTATTTCGACTCTTTCAACCCGAAAATCGCTTTTGAAAATTGCAATTCTGCCCGGAAATAAAGGAAAAATCGAAATTTTCGCGATAAAACCCATATTTTTTCTGAAATAATCATACAGGAAAAGGAAACCCGAATCATTCTAAGGACCTGCCAATCGATTAAGGACCCCCCCCCCCTCCGTCAACAATTTTCCTCGAAAAATCGAAAATCGAAAAAAGCCATATTTTGGCTTCTCAGCGTGCCTAGAAGTTCAATTTATCTTAAAAACTTGTTCGGAGCACTTTTTGAACAATAAATCTGAAATTTTGGCATAATTGGCACTTTTTCGTCATTTTTCGTCAAAAAGTCCGATTTTCAAACGCGATTTTGAGGGTGTTAAAGTCGAGATAGACCCCCAAAAAATGAAGCCTCAAAATCGTTTTTTGGCCCGTAGAATCCATTTTCGGGGTCAAAATTCTGAAATAGATTTTTCGAAAATTATTGACGGGGGTCCTTAAAATCATTATCAGAAATATGGGTGGTCCTTAACTTCGCAAAATAGAAGAGTAAAGCATCATTATTCCAGTTCAAAATTTAGGTCAAGGAAGAAGAGACGATAGAATGACATATTTTCATTAAGAGTACCTTCTGCATATCTGTTTCTTTCGTAGATTACAGTAAATCTGACCAAAGCCCATTATGACGCCCCTTGTGTGCTGGGTCACGCTTTTTGGGCGAGCTATCATTTTAAAAATTGAAAAAAGCAGCTTTCAAAGAAGATTCTTCCATTTGTTGATTTACCTTGTCATTTTTTAGAAGAAAGATATTCATTAGATTACTTGCTAATTCGTGTGCTAAGGTGATCAAGAAGCCGCCCTTCTGAATATTGAGAGAGCTGACGAGCGCCAGTCCATCTTCCCGTTTACTGGAAGTTGATTATGAACGATTATTTTCCGTCTTCTCTCAGGAAATTTTCAGTTTTTTTTTGTTTTTCAAAGAGAATAATTTATCGAGAGAAAATGCTCAGTTCGATTATTGCCTTTGTCTACAGGAGTGGTACGAGATTTTTGTTGAAAAATTTGGACTAGAAAAAATTAGTTTTTTTTTTTAATTTTTAATTTGGGTTATTCAGATTGGAGTTGAGTAAAGGTAAGGACTTAGGATTTTCAAGTAAAAATTAGGTTAGTGGTTAGATTTTTCAATCGAATTTGTGAACTTGTTTTTGTAGTAAAACCATTTTATCCGAAGAAAAAGATAATGCTTGAAATTTTTTTCGTTGAAAAATAAATAACCCTAACCTTAGCCAGGGTTTGAAAAGTCACAAATTTTGACTGAGCATAGGCACGGTTGAGCATTGGCGTGCTCAGATTTCGCTGAGCCTGAGCATGTTTGAGCATCCGTCGGCTCAAATTTCGCTGAGCACTCGAATGCTCAGATTTTATTGAGCTTGAGTACGACTTAGCTCGACAAGCTGAAATTACCGTTGAGTTTGAGCACACTGAGCATGCTCATGCTCAGACTTTTCAAACCCTGACCTTAGCACTCCTTCATTTCGATTAAAATAATAGAAATTATCCTGAAATAATTCTGATTTCAAATAATTCTGAACTCTTAAATCTAATCCGCTACTCTTACTAATATAGTGCGAAGTAGAAACACTCAAATCTATACCCTCCCCAAATATGCTAATCTCGAGCCACGAGCAAGTTTAAGTATCAATATTAAATCGAGCAAGATGTTTTATTTCATTTTCAGCCTTCTTTTTCGGCAGTTTCGCAAATCTGATTGTTTTCTTTGCACTTGTTTCCATGAAGAACAAATCTCCCAGGCAGGAGTCAATGATTTTAAAAGCAAAATTAACTGAAACGATCAAAAATTGATGCATTCCTTTTCAAACGATCGACTCCATTGAAGCGAGGTCTATATTCTTCATCTGGTACGTCGAGTTCAAATATTTGATTCATACATTGCATGACAATTAAGACACTAACGGACATCTTATATGTCTGTTCACTGCCGCTTTTCGCCATTAGCGCCTATCTCGAATTTACTTGGATCTTTGGCGCGTTTCTTTGCCGCCTCAATGCGTTTTTATTCTACGTGGGCATGTTTGACAGGAGTTTAAAAAGACGCGTTTATTTGCAAGTTTCAAAATTAATCGAAGAAAAGTCAAGTGAACTCAATGAAAGCCATGTCATTTTTTATCTCAAGTTTATCACTGGAAAGATGTTCAACTCTTCGAAATTCATTCGTTAGAAAATCAAAAACGAGCCTAGTCCATCAGACTGGAAAAAAGTCGCACAAAATTATCATCTTCTTTTTATGGCTTTTGGCGATCATAGGCTAGGGTGGGCATAATTTTGTCCGTCGGAGTACCTTGGCCAATCAAAATCAAGTATTTTTTCTATCAGCGAATCAAAATCGAGCATTTCTACTGTCAGCCAATCAAAATCGAGGATTTCTTCTTTAAACAAATCAAAATCGAGGATCTCTTCTGTAAGCCAATAAAATCGACAATTTTTTCTTTCGACCAATCAGACGCCAGAAAGCTACCTTGAAAGGGTGTCCTTTGTCTTGAAAACCCCCGATCCTCCGAACATTTGCCCACCCAAGATCTTAGGAGCCCTGCCGATATATTGGTATACAGGTTCTCCAAAGTTACTCCATTCATGTCAAAAGATCATTCAGACACTATTTCTACGTCGCGTGAAAAATGCATCGACGGCACTTGCAGAAATGTGACCATCACGAGAGTAAGAATACATTTTCAATTTCTCCAGAATTTACCCCTCGATAAGTGCATACCAAATTTCGACGAGAACCTGACCGCGTTGACAACCTTTTCGGCCATCAGAATTATTGGTGGTTTTCTCATTCCGTTTGTTGTGTTAATTGTCGCCAATTCATTATTGATAACCATCGGTAAATGGACGAAACTGACCAAGCTATTGAGAATTTTATTTATCTAGTGCTCCAGCTCAAGTCAGAGGTATCGGCCCAATCTGTTGTCGCCAAACGAAAAGGTGAGATCTTATTCTCTTAAAATCGGCAAATACAGTAATAACATTAATTCAAATCTAAGCAATATTGGTCTGCCTTTTGATAGTTGCTGTTTTCTTCGTCACGTGGTGCCCAAACCAAGGATCGGTTACCAGGCCTTCTTCAATCAACCTTTGATTGAGTCCCTTGTAAGAAACGTCTTGTTAACTGGATTCAGTAACATACACGCTAATAACAATTCCTGTGATCTACAACTTCATCGTTCCAGAAGAAAACATGATCGGCCTGCCTTCCATCATCCCCTTCATGCACATCATATCGACCTGCTTCCTAATCTTCGGCTCCTGCATTAACCCCTTTCTCTACGCCCTCTACGGCCGGAAGATCAAACGCGCAGTGATAGTCGTCTTGGCCAAAATCGGCTTCAGGTCGAGAATACAAAGAGACGTCAAAGTTCTTGTTCTTCAAAAAGAAGAAGCGATTTCCAAAGGAAACTCGAATTTTGCCCTGGTCAAAAGTCAATCATCAGCTTCTGTATAAATTTTGCACAGTGTATATTTTTTAAAATTTTGCAAGTTTAGTAATGAACTTTTGAACAAAGAATTTCAAATTGGTCGTTTTTTATTTTCATTTCTTCAGAGAAGACAGTCGTTCGTGGAAGAGTTTTTCGATGAGAGAGTAGATTTCCATTTCGTATTTCTTAAAATATTGTCTGAATATTCCGAAAACCGTTAAAAAGAATAGAATTTCCCGGTTTTTAGTCAAAGAAAATCAAATTCTCGAACAAATAGTCTGAATTTTCCGAACTAAACCAATTAATGAAAGTGGACCAATAAAATTGCTCTATTTGGCCTACCGGCCAATCAAAACCCTTATCCATAAAATCACTTCGATAAATTGGTTTCACCCAATTTCTTCTTCAACTTACAAGAATTCCATGTTCCAAAGCTTCTCTCGTCTCATTTGAGTAAACCGCCTTGATCTTCGACTTAGATTTGCTTCTCTTCTTCTCAATCGCCGGATTTTTCATCATCTCCCTCGCTCCATCAAAATACCCAGGAAGAATATTTTCCAGGATTTCGAGCGTTTCGTCAAATTTTTCCAAAAGGCCGACGAAGAAAAATTCACGGAGAATGTTTTTCTTTGCGATTTCCGCCGAAATTGCCACCTTGCTCCATTTCGTCTTGCCATGAGAAGAGTGCTTGTTGCATTCGTCGGACGTTCCGCAGAAGTATTTCACCATCACTTGGAGAGCGTCTGTGCATTCAGGAACGGATTGTTTGACGCAATCGTCGAGGGACCGGTCGAGATCTTCTGCCGAACCGTGGAAGTTTGTCCTACTGCCGGATTTTCCCATGCTCCAACTTAAAAAGGGCTCAAAATTGGGGATGGAAAAGCGCGGCTAGTTTGGTAAGGGATACCCTTATTTTTATCTTTTTTGAAGTTATTCTGTAATATTTATTGACAATTTGAGACTATCCATTATTATTTAAAGCGGGTAATTAATGAGCCCTTCCCCGAATCGCTGGAAATAATATCTTGACGCGAAGCGAGTGACTGGATTTCTCGCTACGTTTATAAACGTCGGCATAGGCAGATCGAACTCCGTAAAATTAAACCAATGATGATGCTTCAGCAAAATATATTTTCTTCCTTTATTCTTCTCCAGCGTCTTTCGCATGTAATTTGCGAAATCGCGCCGACCATTCGGCCCATCGTCGCGGTAAGGCTCGTAGCAGTCGTCTTTGTGGATGCAGAATCGTTGGTGGTCCAGTTTGAAGTTGTTTCGTTTTTGTAGATGGCTCATCAGCCATTTCATCGTTGTTGAACCCGACTTTGGCAGTTTGTTGTGGAAGACGAACATTCCATTTGGCGGCCTATAAAGGAAATTAGTTGGATTCGTTCTGGATTCTTTCATTATTATCAGACAATACCTCGATAAGCCTGGAAATCGAAAGCTTAGTTCTTCATCGTCCTTTTTCTCTCCATCAAAATTAATCTCGAAATTCTCCGCCAGCACATCATCCCCCGAAAATTCTTCCGAAAACTCCAGCTCATCATTTCTCTCCTCATTTTCGCCCCTAACATCGCCTTCTCGCTTGAAAAGATAAAATTGCAAGAATAAAAGAAGAACAACGGAAGCTAGAATTCTTTGCGGAAGAGGCCTCATTGAGTGCTTTCATTAGTAATTCAAGTGAGAATGCCGCATGTTTTTATCGAAACATTTCAGTGCATTTTTTATGTGAAAGGGCCGGGGGCGGAACCTGCGGATTACGGCAAAGCAAGTGTCGCTAGAATTCCTCATCGCGGCTTTTCAGATGAAATTTGAAATATGAGAATTTTTTTTGTTGATTTCTCGACAAAAAGAGCATATTTATTCATCTCATTTACAGTGAAGAAAAAGATAGAAAAGAAATGAAAAAGAGCTGATAAGTATGAATTTATCTTGAAAAAGCCCAGGAGCTTCAGGACCTGAGCTTTGTTCATCGATAAATGTAGAAATTTCTAGCAGGAAAAAGCGAGGGAAAAAAGAGAGAAGAAATCATCAAGCTTTTGATTTTTCTTCTGAGTCACATTGTTTGTACAAAGAGTTTTACTTGTATTTTCATTCGTTCGTGTTAGATGATTTGGAGACTTAGAGCAGGCAGCCCATGGCGTGGAACTTCTTGTCGGTCAAAAACTTCTTTTGTCGATGAAGCATTTTAACGGCCACGCTTGGCCGCTTCATTTTTCTTGCTCGTCGTTCTTTCTTTGTTTCTCCAGGGACTTTGTCCGCTAGCGAAATGCCGTCCATGCAGACGTACGCGTAGTGGAAGGTCCTGATCGAGTCGACAAAGTTTCCAAGGGCGGCGCAAGGGTCGGAAAAGTCGGTTGTTGGTTGCATGAAATCATCGCCGGTTCCGGGCATCGCCTTTTTTGTGCACGGTGGGTCGACGGAGCTGTGGTCCTTCATCCAGACGAATCGTTCCATGATTTTTTGCATGTGGGCTGACTGAAAGAGAGGGTTAAAATGAACTTTATTGGAAGAAGCAGATCGTTAATGACAAAAATAAGTTGGAAAAGGTACCTTTTTGTTCTGGATATGATCTTGTCGATGACCATGGCCGTTGAAGACCTCAGTCTTCAAGTTTTCAAACGCGTTGTTGATCATATTCCAAGCGAGCACATTTTCCGGCAGGTCGATGAGAGTGAAGGTAGCAGTGAAGCCCCGGTGGACGACGGTGTTTTCGTTTGTTTTGAAAACGAGCGTCATGTCCTCGCGAGTCCCGAAAACAGGCTCAACTTCGATCGAGTTCGACTTGGGATCGTTTCCGCAGTATCTGGCGAGCTCGGCGTTTCCGTCAGGGCCGTTGATGATGATGGCCGCGTCCAAGTTGCACTCGCCGTTGACGTCGGCTTCTTCAACGTCGAAATTTGCGAAAGAGACGGAGATTGACTTCTTTTCCGGGACGGTGACGTAGATTCGGTAGTACTTGTTAGGCAAGTATCGATCGTAACCGCTCGCATCGGGGAAGACGGGAACGGACCAGGAGGCGGTGGGATTGTCGGCGTCGAGGGTGAAGGCCTGGTAGTCAGTGACATCAGCGGTCCAGATTCGATCCTCAGAGAGGGCTGTTTCGTCGCCCAGACGGGCTGAGGCAAGAGCAGCAAATGACCAGGCAAGCTAGATTCAAAATTATTTCTCTACTCAACGATGTTTATTTTCCTGACACTTTTGAACAGGAAAAAATTACGAATAAAAATACGACTCTATGATGAAAAATGTCAAAAACATTATTTTCAAAACATTTCTTCATATTTTTACATGTATCTCTTGATCTGCTTGTAGAATACGAAAAATTAGCGTGGGAAAAACACGAAGGAAATCGATCTTACCTTCATTTTCTGGAAGTCTCTTCAAAAAATCAATTTTCCGAACGAAGAAAAAGTATGATGACAAAAAGCGGACGCAAATGCATTTAAATAGAGCGCTACGTGTTTTTAATAAAAACTACAAGGCGCCCGAACAAATTTACGCGGTTTTTAGCAATAACAGACCTTAATGTTCACGATCACAATAATTGCTAATTCTCGTGAATGCTCAGTTTACATTTGAGACAACGTGTGGCGCTTCCTGGCGAGTTTCTTTTTTAATTGAAGCGCTTTTTTCAAATTCAATTAGTAATCATGCTCTTTAAGACTTATTGCTTCGAGTTTATAACGGTCTAGATTTGATAATTCGATACCACCGTAGATAACGGATATTACAAAGTAGTTTTCTGCTTTGGTAAAATTTATTTACTTTGATTGAAAGAAGAAAAGTGCTCTCAGTAGTAAGCATTATCTGTTTTCATTTTTAATTGAAGATAATTTACAGTTTTTCGCTCGAAAGAATACCAACTCGTCTTCCCGATTCCAAAAGACCTCGACCGGCAAGGCAGATGAAAAGGGGAGGAAAAGCGGGTTTAACGGATTCAAGAGCTTTAACGTAGTTCTGTTTCGGAAAGTTGGAGAACTTAAGTTTTGGGTTCGAAAAGAAAGGGGTTGGTTATGGAGGGTATGTACAAATTTAAGGTATATTCTGCAGATTTATGATGAAATAACAAGCTTTATCTCTAAAAGGAAGGAGGTTCTGAGGGGATCAGGTGACTTTTTTCCGGGCTCAGGACTCTTCTCTGAGTCAGGAGCCTATGAACTACAGATTCTGAGAAACCTGAGTTATTGACCCTGAGTCTGGGTTCCATAAAAGAAGTCCCCTTTAGGAGCCTGATTCTTTTAGAAAAAGAGCTTGTTTTTTCTACGAGGTGTTTATAGTGCTTCGGGAAATGCAATTCGGATACACAAACGCTCGGATTTACGAGTGTTTGTGACGAAAACATTTCCGTATTGTCGAATTTACGAAAAGAAATAAAGAAAAAAATAGTCATGGTAAAAAAGCTAAATAAATTATGAAGCAGCAGTTGGGGTCACGATCGAGTCGCTTGTCGGCAGTGAAGTGGACTCGTGCAAAGATCCGTTTTCGGAGCATTTCTTTCTTCTGAACAGCTCTCGCCAGAGTGCCGCTGCGAGCAGAAAAGCAAGGAGCTTGACGCCGATCGTCAAGCCGAAGTAGATGTAGCGGAAAATATCGGGACTGGAAAATCAATCATTATCAGTTTTGCGAGCAAAGAATACCTGTAAATTGCGCACGCGCCTGTATCGTCGTCGCATTCAGAAGCAGTATTGTCCCAAAGAATGCAAGCCATATCAATAGCGGCGCCAAAATACATGGGGGCCTACAAAATATCATTATTTTGGTAATGAAATGCGAACTTACGGGAATATAAGCAAGCAGTCGCATGATGAGGAACTGGACACCCATCGCCAGCGGTCTTTCATCATCTGCGCAGCAACGGAGGGTAATCATAATCGCAGGAGTCTGGGCACTAGCAGTAACGCATGTTACGACAAAGACGAAGACGAGGAATGGCGCCATCATGTGGAAACAGTCCTTTTCACAAGCGCCTGAAAGGATGATCAGTTTTATCATATCGAAAGAGGCGTACCAGTGGGTATCGATGGCGCAGCGGGATTGCCAAGACAGGCGCAATCAGCAAAGGAGCCATTGACTGACATCTGGCAGCCGGCAAGACAGGGGTTGACGAAAGTCACGTGCTCGTAGCACAGCGGTTGATAAACGCCGCTACAATCGCAGTTTTGATTGCATTCGGCGAGCGGCAGCTCCCCATGATCGCTAATCGTATCGCTCTCTATTCGAATCGGTAAAAAAGCGGTAAAGAAGAGTCCTTTCTACCTGTAGGATAGTCGATCGTGACGCCTGCGATAGGGGCGCTTCCGCATTTCAGAAAGAAAACAGGAATGATCAGGCAAATCGAGAGGATCGAAGTGAAAGTGGCCATTTTCGCACAGCCGACCATGTCCAGATCGAAGCGACGGATCAAATACCCGCCCAAGACGATGCCAAGTCCGGCGGCTGAAAAATAGAAATAAGCAACTTTCGTAACTAATGAATCCAAAGAGAAAAAAAAATTACAGGACTTCTTACCTGGCAAAAGAACGCCACCACAGAGCAAAGCAGAAATTGAAGAATCGATGGAGAACTGTTCTTGAAGATATTTCGGCATAAAAGTAAGGAATGAAACGACGATTGTAAACTCGCAGCACATTGTGAGAGTCACCAGGGTGAAGGCTTTGTTTGACAGTTGTTTGATTAGGTTTCGAGGCAGATCTACCAAGAGGGGTTCAGAACGAAAGGAATAAGATTGAAAATTACCTTTTATAGAATTCCCAAAGCTCATCTGTGAGCTTGTTGTCGATTGATTGATGAGTTCTTCGTTCAATTCAGAATTCTCCGACGAGTTGAGCTCGACGATATTGCTAGGGTGGGTTTTGAATTTAATCGGGCAATCTTGGTCCTGCTCTCTCCCTGATCTTGAAAACATAAACCAAACATATCATACATGTATGGATAGAGCTTTTCAAGATCTAGCAACTCTGCATTGGAATTCCAAAAATATCAAATATAATCAGTTTTATCGGAGTTTTTCCTTCAAAACTGGGTTGCATTTTTGAAAATTGAACAGTGCGAGACATGAATTCAGATTAGATTTCAACATTTTTAACGCCTGAAAACCGGTAATTTTTGGCTGATTTGTTATTCAAATGCAGAGTTTATCAACCTGTGGGAGATCGAAAAGGATCTGATTGTTAATTTTGGTGAAAACCGGCAATTCAGATAAAAATCCGTATGCAAAAACCGGGAATTTCTATAGATTTCGGAAATTCCAATGCAGAGTTTGTAGAGCTCAAAAAGCTCTTTCCAACCATGTGTCATATGTTGGAGGTTTATTAGAAAAGTTCGGAGCTACAGCCAAAGAAAGATTGCCCGATTAAATTCAAAACCCACCTAGGCGGCTGCTTTTTGAACAGAAACATGGGAAGCAAGCTGAGGAAAACGAAAACAGCGGCGATAAAGTATCCAAGCCACCACTGACCGACCCATCTTGTATCGGCTGGGCTGACGGAAGGCTCTTGAAACGGATCTACCCAGCGGTTTTCGACTAAATAGAAGATAGAAAGGCTGGTTTGATTGTAAAAATGCAGTAACTTGAACTACTCGGTCTTAATTGTGGAGTGTTTATGCAACAATTTCAATTGTTTCTAATTCAAGCGTTATCTTGATTTCGGGAAATTGTCGGAATAAAGTCTGCCGAGCCGTTAAAAATAATCGAATTCCAGTTTGTTGAATAGAAAAATTTGAGTAAACTGTTAACTCATTTTCAAGTAGACTATTTCTCCTGGGTTAACGAAGCTATCACACTATTTTTGGTAAATAATCGATTGTTATGCATTAAATATTTGTTACTCTCTTTCTTACGAAATCGAGACGAAGTTATTAAAGAGAATCTCGTAATTCAGTTCGATTTGCATACCCCCCCCCCATTACCTTGTGAAGCAAGAACATAACCAGCTGCTGGTCCAATCGCTCCAACAAGATAGACCACCGAAACATAAACAGGCGCAGATCTCACTGGAGCAGCGTCGTGGACATAAGTCGTCCCTAAAATCCAATAACAGTCGGGGCCTTCGCCGTTCTTTTACCTAAAGTGTAAATGGGACTTCCACCCATGCCAATGATCAAATTAGCGAGCAGAAAAATGAACATGTAAAGCGAGTTCTTTGGGCCGACGTTAAGACAGTCGTCTGGATTGAAAACCGAGTAGTTTGACTGGCACAGGTCGCCGTCGATGCTGTTTGGGTCCGACCCGCTGGGCTGGTACAGACCCGAAATCAGCTGCGGAAGGGTGAAGAGGAGGGAACCCAGGACGACGAGGAAGCCGCCTCCTGCCACCTAAAGAATGCGTTTTTAGGAAAATGTTCAAAAAAGAAGGAAACGAACCCATCTGGGACGATTGCCGCTCCCACCAAACCAAGAGACGAAAACGACGGTGCTTAAACTTCCAATATCGCCGGCGGAGATAATCGTCCCGATTTCAGAAGATCTGAGGGAGTATCTTTGTTCTATCGAAGTTGAGACTCCAGCTGTGTAGCCAGAGCTAACCATCGACTGAAAAGAGAGTTGTCAAAACCCTAGAGGAATTTGAAGATTCTTACCTGGAAGAAAATATACATCGAAAAGCAAACCAAAAAGCCCTTCGCCGTAAAGAATATCCTCCTCAGCTTCTTGAAGGGAGCAAAACATCTGCAGCAAAGAAATCGTCGCCATTTTGATTCGCCTTTGCCGATATCTGACAGCATAACGCTCTGAAAACGAAAATATGAGAAACAGTTCAGTCACTGAACTTCAGTGGAAAATGATTCTAAAGACAGAGGGGTGGCTAAAGCCTGTTTTTAATGCATTTAGACAGTCTCGGTCTCATTTTTCTGAAGGTCTCGGTAAATATTCTTGAGGCGGTTTACTGTCTTGTTAAAATTTCAAAGATTCTCGAAGAAAAAAAAGAATCATCATTCATGAAGCTTCTTTTTGACTGGGCTCGGTAATCTGTGAAGCAAACCTGAGTCAGGGTATGAAAGATCCTTGATGAAACGCCGGGAATGATTTCTGATCCTGACTCAGGTTTTCAACGCAGGTTGCCGCCCTCTGCTTTCAGGACCCAAACTCAGGCTTGTTTCTCTCTCTCCGAAATTCCTCTTTCCAAATAGCTACGCCGTAACTCATCGAAAATAACATTATTTTTACGAGCTCGATTCACCTTTTTTACAACTGTTAGATTCGGAGAAATTATCCTCGGAAAATCGAAAGATAGATGTTTTTCTTTAAATTTGAGAGATTGATTTCTTCTCTTGGTCGATGGAATTAGCAAAGATCGATCTCCCAAGCTCTCGCGGTTTTTTAGAGAATTCAAACGCAACTTTTGTCGAATCTTTTCGATTCTTTGAAAGTGGGAAACGGGCTAGGAATGACACACCCAGCTTATGTAAGCTTGAGCTTGAATGTGAACTCGAAAAGATCGAAGGTGAAGGTCATGTTATTACATAATATTCAATAATTTGGTTGTAAATAGGAGGGAAAAGGCCTCAGACTCAGGGTCGGTACCCTTACTCAGGTTTTCAATACAGGTTTCTGATTTTCGGTTCACAGACTCCTGTGTGGAAACCTGAGTCAGGAATACGAAAGAGCTTGTTATACCAAAAATCTTGAAAAAGGACTGAAAAAATCATTTTACCGACCCTGACTCAGGTTTCTACACAGATTGCCGGACCCGGCGATTTCTTCACAGAGAAGTCAAAACGGTGAGGGAATAAATCTTTTGTAGACAGCCAATAAAATCGATAAATGTACCCTTGCCAATTCTTAGAGATTCTTTTATATTCACAAAATCATTAATAAAAACGGGTCTTATTTTGAGGCTCTCTTGGGAAAAGGCAGTTTTATCCACGGTCAGAAGAGTGATTCTCCAGTGGAGAATGGCGGTGAATAAAGCATGAATTCAGCGGCTTTTCGTTTTTCAAAATCGAAAGCGAAAATAATCAAATATTTAAAATTGAGAAACTTGACTTGCCAAAACATCTCATTTTTTCAAACCTTCTATTTGTTAACTTTCTCTTTTTATGTTTTCTTGGAAAAAAGAAACGGCGCAAAAAAGAGCTTTGCTCGTTAAAAATGCTCTCAGATCTTGAAATAACTGCTCATCAATTTGCTGCTTTTGACCTTTCTTTTCCATTCAAAATTGGAGAAAAAAGATGTTTCTTTTTTAAATAAAAAAGATATAAGAAAGTGATTAATTGGCAATCGACGCGGCTGGAAGATGGGTCTGACGGAAACTCAACCTCATCACCTTAGTTTGGTCATTTCCGGTTCCAACTGGAACAGAAAAGTGCTTTTTTGGCCGCTTTTTTTTTGAAAATTTTGCCATTTCAAATTTCAAAAGTTATCAAAAATAAAAATTTGGACCAAATTTTTGGTCAATTTTTCGCAATAATTCTGAATTTTCAATTTTTTGGCCAATATTTTGATTACAAGCAAAATTTCTAGATTTTCTTTGACTCCAAAATTCGACCAAAAAATTGACCATTTTTCGGTCGAATTCAAATTGTTCCAAATTGACCTAGATTTTCACTTACGTCGCGATAAATTTTCTCTTCGTAACTTCTATTTAGATTCAGCTTTTTCTCTTTATAACTGTTTTGAGAGACAGTATTGTCGAAGTAAAAAGCACACAAATGAGAAGCGAAAAAAAGTGATTGTTGTGTTTAGAGCTAGTTTCTCGTGGAAAGAGTATGAGCCCCTATACGGGGGCGAAAATGACGCGAAGAAGGTTGCTACTTGACATGGCCCCAGGGGAGAGAACGAGAGAGCCACTCGCTCAATAGAAATGACAGTAAGGTGTCAAAGGAGAAATTGCGACTAATTAAAGTTTTAGGAAGGCAATCGCAAATTAGAATGTTTCAGATTTTTAAAAAGTCATTCTGGAATTATACTTTTTCCAGAATAAAAAAAATTAATGAGAAAAAATTAGATTTTCACAAAAAAAAGTTTTTAGGAAGATTTGCAGTTTATTATAAAATTTATTAAAAAATCATTTTTAATAAAAATTATTAATAAATTAACAGAAAAATAAAAATTATCAAATAAAAAATTACCTGTTCGGAACTTTCTGACTCTTCTCTAGAATCCCCCATTTCGGTCGATTTCTAGATTTTTTTTCGTTTATTTTTTTATCCTCTCATTATTCCGTTTTTTGGACAAAAGAGAATTTCTCGGATTTCGTTTTTTCTCGCTCCGGCGATTTCTCAAGTCTTTTTTCAAATTTAGCCGATTTTTGGAAAGTCGCCAAAATGCGCTCCGGGGCCAATGAGGTGCACTGCGCTGAAGATTTGAATTTCCGAAGATCGAGATTTTAGGGCAACTTGGGCGATGTAGAGCGGAAAATTGAAATTTCTTGAACTAAAGTGTGATTCGCCCGGTTTGGTTTTATTGGAAGAGGATGATGATGAGGTCGATCTGATTGACATTGACTCGCAATCGGAATAATTTCATTTGTAGCTTTTGTGATCTGCTGATTATTTTTCGGAAATTTTATTAACCAAAATGCGCTACAAAATTTTCTATATTCTATTTCAGGTCTCAAATCTGCAAGAATAGTGAAGTTGATCGTAGCAAACAAAATCAGCAAGATGTCCGGGGAGCCCATAATTGATGAAAACACATGGGTGTGCAGGATCGTTTGGTTCGTATCCATACCATTTCAAAAATGGACTTCGATTGCCAGTCACAGTTGAGTATTGCTTCGCATTTGACCCTTCTCGCACTCCTTATTTCCAATTCAAATGTTATTATTCTTCAGGGTACTCTAACCTCATCAACCTGCGAAGAAAACCTGACTCAGGGTCTGAAAAATCTGACGAAATTTTTCCATGAAGATTTTTCAGGCCCTGACTCAGGTTTTCTTCGCAGGTTTTCGAGCCAAGAGTGAAACCCTACCTATATATTCAAAGCCTCTTTGTGGTAGCTTCATAAATTCGTTCCACTCTTCTTCGTTATCGAAAAATACCAAGTTTCCTCCTTGTTGATTGCACTAAAATCCCCTCTCTCGATTTTTTAGGAAACAAACTTCACCTTGAATTCGGCGAGTTCCATCGTCGACAATCCATCCTGTTGAACGAAAGTTACTTTTTTCGGTCGTTTTGTCGGTTCAATTTGAGCGTCGAAATTCTCTTCGAAGCGACAGGTGAATTTTCTCAAAGTATAACTTCTCAATTAGAAAACCGTGGGATAATTAAAGTTTACCAATAATATGCCGCCCATTGCTTTGAAGATGCATACCAGTAGTTTAAAATGCAGGGAGCATAGTAGACATTTGGCTGACCAACACCGAATTGAAGAAATGTCGTGTTGGAGCCGTCCGTGTTTCGATAAAAATACTCCGAAGATGACTTCCAAGTTACTTGGCGATAACCCAGGTGCTCCCATCTTGGTGAAAATTGATCGACATAGACGTCATACTCTTCTTTGGTTCGAAAGAAGGCCAAATGGCCGCCTCGGTCCTGGCAAAACAATTCAGCTCCTTCCATCGTCAAAGAAGGATCTTCCTGAGTTCGTTCGAACCAAACTCGGGCTTTGCGTGTTGTTTCAAGAGTTGTTGTGGTTGTGACGATGATGGTTGTTGTTATTTTTGTTTTCAAAAAGCTTGGTGTTGTCGAAATCATTGCAGGTGTTGGAGGCATCATTGTTGTTGTCGGAATCATCATATTTCTTGTGCTAAAAGTTATCGTCGCATTTGCAGTCGAAATGCTGGTTGTTGCGCCTATCGATTGGCTGGTTGCCATAGGGTCGGTTGTTGAAATAATTGTTGAGAACAAAGTGTTTTGCGGTTCGACTGTTGTCATGGAATTAACCTCTGGTCTTGCTACAGTCGAAGAATGGTGGTCGTCTGATCCTGGTGAATTAGATCCATCTTGTAGGAAGACCTCTCTTTTGCTTAGAAAAGTAGGATTCAAGAGATTCAACGAAATCCCGAAAAATATAATTACAAAGAGAGCAATCTTCAGAAGTCTTACAGTTCGTTTTTTCATTCGATAAAAGTGGCATTTTTGAGAAACAGTGCCGCGAATAAAAACCGGTAGGAGATTGTTTAAAAATCTGATTTAACACTGATAGACTCGATAAATACTTCACATGTTTTTCGACTACCTGTCAAAGAGGGGAAAGATAACAGTTTTGAGAAGTTATATAAAAAAATAAACAGCTACTCTGAAATTTCCAAATTCGAAGGTCTTCTCTCTTTTTAACGGTTTTCTTTTTTTACGAAGTCCTCCCGAAGGCACAGTCTATTTTCCCAACGGGTTAAAAAGGTCCACCTCTGGCGTATCATGATGGCTTTTAAACAAAACCCAGATATTTATGATAAAAAGTTGTCATGTTATTCAACTGCCTGTCTGATAGAAAACAACCAAAGTCAAGCTTTCAAGAAACTCTCTGTTTATTTGTTTCAAAATACGAGAAGACAGTTGATGATTTCAAACTAAAGTAAAGTTTTACTTACTTTTAAATAACGATGCATAAGAAGAAGAAAAGATGAAGATAATTGAAGGCGGCGGCGATCGTTAACGAAGACAGACTGCATAAGCTCTTTATAAATAATTAATAAAAAAGAACATTTCAGTCACAAAATTCTTACTTTTTCGCTCTGTTCCCTAGAAAAACTTCGCCTTTGTAAATATATGCGCCCTGAAGATAATTCGGATTGTTTCGGCACCATGGAATATCGCCAGTTTCACCGCCTTTGTATTATAAATTGACAAAAATGTTTATTTGGTTTTTGGACGATAACCTTTTTCGAAGTATCCAGAAAGAATTGGCCTGGAAGTCGTTCCTTTGATGTTGTCGACTCGTTTCCAATACGGATTTTTATCATTGCCGAGAAAGAGCTTGTTCTTCTCCACAAACGTCGTGTTCAGCTATCGAGTACAAATGTATCGCGCAAGAATGACACTGTGTTGTACCTGTAGGATGTCACAGTCGGGTTCAGAAGCAACTTGAACAAGGACTTTTCCGTCGTCGTAAACTTTATCAGCGCAGACGAACTCAAATTCTCGCCATTTCGAGCCGCTCGAAAGGTCATTATACAAGCAAAATGAACACCTGTCTTGCGAGATGCATTCTTTGTACATAAAAAAGATATACCCGGGTTTTGTTTTGGCAAGATCGAGCTTATTTTGGATATTTTCGCGGAACTCTTCGTTGATTTCAAGACCTTCGAGATCGAGAGAGTACTCTGCTTTTATCCAGTAAAGAAAAGTCTGTCGATGAATGTGGTCAGGAATCGGCATGAAAGTGTCGATTTTCATTTCTAGCATGGTACCGTTGTGTTCCAAGCAGAAGGTTTTTGCTTCTTCGTATGCTTTTGTTATTTTTTATTGCCCCGATATTTTACCCAGAAATCCCTCTTACGTAAAGAAGTTGGCGATATAATTGCATCCATCAATTTTCCCCAATAAAATGCTCTGACTTCAAAAAGCTCTACGGCTTCTGTTTTTTCCAGGTGTTTGTCTTGAAGGTGCTCTTCGTTAGGATCCCACGCGCCGATCGTTTTTAGCGGTTTTGAATGGCTAATTTGTTTGACATCTTCGTCTTTTTTTCGAAATGCGATAATAAATGGATAAATCGGGAGACCAATGCCGATGAAAAATGAAACAAAAAGTAAAATTATTAATTTCTTTTCCATTTCGTATTTTACATTGATTTTTTTTCTTCTTACACACTCGTTCTTAGTCGGCGAACGAAGTTGTAGCCGTGTGATCATCCAAGCGGAGTTTATAGCAGTAGAGAACGAACAATTTATATCTAATCTAATGAAAAGATATTGAGTGTAGTTCTGCCCTCCTATATTTTATTCGATGAAAACTCTGGGCAAAACACGCGACAAGCTTCAATAGTCACCAATAAATCGTTAGAATCTTTATGCATGATTGACTAAAGATGCTTATTAGGATATAAGGACACAATATAAATCCGTTTTGATTTTTTAATAAGAAAATATATTTTTAAACAGACATGTGTTGGCTTCAATAGCCAGGGAAACTTGTATTGTGAGGGTTAACTTGCGGTGTCTTCACTTCCATTCGCTGGTAATTTGGCTGAGCTGAGAAGAGTTTCTCGATTTTCTAGAGTGAAAAAAAATCCGAGAAAAAAACAATAAACTTAAATTTTAAAAGTGAAGTATGGATTTGCCTCGTTTTATCATTTTCAACGATAAGTATTTAACAGTAATCATAAATTTGGTATTAGGAGTAGAATCAAATCTCATATTTTTATCTCAAAAACTTATCCTTGTTGGGGATACATCCATCCGCCCTGGCCCCCTGTTGTGCCAACGGGTGCCATAGCAGCATTCGCATTCCACTGGGCCGAGCTTGTTGGTTTGTAATTCATCGACTGGGGCCGAGCCGGTTGCGAGTAAGTGGGAAAGCTGAAATCGGCAAAGTCCGTTTCTGCAAAATTCGACGCGTTGACTGCTGATTCTAGTTGTTCAATCGCCTTTTGTTGATCTTGAAAACAATTTTTCAAGAGTCTGGAGAATGTTTGCTTACTTTGGATGTAGGAAAGGATACTTTTGACCTTGAAACTGTTCGGATCGTAGTGGCCATGGCGCTTGATTCTGTTCAAATCGCGAATCAGCATGTTTTGCTCGTTTTTGAGCTTGGTCAGATGCTGCTGCAAAACAGCTAAAATTCAGAAAATAACACAGTTATAAGGCTACTTTTTGACAAACCAGAAGTCATATTGTCTGTCTGAGAGGGCTGGAATCCAGCAATATTGTCAAAATCCGGATAAACAGGAGCCGCAGGAGTGACAGGGACATGAACAGGGACCTGCACGGGCACTGGAACTTGAACGACTTGGGGCTGTTGGGGAGGCGGTTGGATCATCTGGATGGGGGGCTGCTGTGGAGGAGGAGGGAGAGCTTGGCGGTTCTGATTAGCTGCGATGGCGATGATGATCTTGTGAATTTGCTCGTTTGTTTGGCTTTGAAGTTGAATGTTCTGCTCGATCAACGAGATTTTGTCCGACAAGTCTTCGAGAGAAACGCCCATTGTAGACGGCATCTGGTAGTATTCTTGCTGCGGATGAGCTTGAACGGGAGGGGACGGGAGAGGAGCTTGTGGCTGGGGTTGCTGCTGGACTGATTCTGGTTGTGGCGCTGGTGGTGGAGGCTCTTGCTGAACTGGAGCGGGCGGTTGCTGGACGATAACTGTCACTGGTTCTTTTGCTTGGCTTAGAAAATCAGCTTCTTTTTTTAGAAATTTTTCATTTGAATTTGCAAGCCCTTTCCTGCTGTTTTTGGCGGCGGTGGAGTTTTTTCTTTCTTTGGCTCTTCCTTCTTCTCTTCTTTTGGAACCGTCACATTGATTGTTGTTGACTGTGGCTGTTCCTTAGATTTCTTCTTCTTCTTTTTCTTCGATTTCTTGCTTTTCTTTTTCTTCTTCTTCTCGGCTTTTTTCTCTTTTCTCTCCCGACGCCGCTTTTCTCGGCGTCTTTCTTCCTGGATTTCTTCTTCTACGACTTCCTAGAAAGAACAGAGGGGCTAGAAATGCTTTTTCGATTACCTTAGAAGCACCACAACCCATTTTTCAGATCTTTCTCTTCAGATCGATTTCGCTGAGTTTCTTCTCTGAAGTCCCTTTTTAATCAGTTTCTCGTGCTCGCAGTCAGCTTCCTTGTTTGCCCCGCTGTCAGGACTTATTTGCCTCTTAACATTTTGAAACCACTACTATCGGGTTCCTATTTTTCCTCTGCTGATTTTCTTTCTTTTAGTTTGCAAGCAAGGTAACGTCGATCATGTTTTATCGCAGTTGAATAAACAGAATCTTGAATCAAGATTCGAATTTGAGGCTATAAAGGAGATATGACCTTTTTGTTATTGACTTTTGGGTTGGCGAAATTTGGAGTCGCTAATTTTCCCCGATAATTTGTTGATCAGCAGATCATGGGACGAAAAAAATGGAAGAATCCTAAAAAAGCAGGTGGCATTTACGATAGGGCAAATTTTATCTCCTGACAAAAGATTTTAACTACGACGATGATTCTCAACAATTTGTTTCTACTCAGAACTTACTTCCTATCGTTCATAATTATTGTCTTTGGGAAAAGAGAGAATGAGCAAATACTCGTCGACTGATTCGGTTTTCAGGAAAATTTTTCAGAGAGTATTTATGATAAATAATTTATCGACTAAAACCAAGTTTTTCTTATGGCCAAAATTTTATTTGAAAATCATCATTTTAAATTTTTAAATGTAAACTTGAGCAAACGTCATTCACAAAAATATTTTACGAGGCATCCACGTCTCCTCGCTGACCAATTGTCCGTGTTTCTTAACGATCCTATTGTTGCGTTTTCGGTTCCCACAAATATTATTTTCAAACCACTCAAAAATGAAAAATGTATACAGAACGACTGGTTCTGTGCCATTGCCAGAGAGAGCCGACCGGAACCGCCCGTTTCAATTTGTTCCTCAATCATCTGCCTCGTTGATTCAAAAAGCTTACGAGAAAAAACAGCGCATTCATGGCAACACAATCAAAAGAGAGCAAATTCTCAATGATGGACTTCGAAAACAGTTGGAAGAACAAGTTCCAGTGATGAATCATGAAATCAACGAAGAGAACCAGTACCAAACGCCTCATGTGCATTTTCCGGAGTATGATACCAATCACGAATACCAAAATCTTCCGATGATTTTGGACTCCGAGAAGTCTTCAATGATTACTCCACCTCCAGGTTAGATAGAATTTTGGCGATCAAGGGAGTTTTGCAAATGAAGATTTGAAAAACTATTTCTGGGGTGGCGTCAGGAACCGACAAAAAAATTTCAACAAATTTTGCGTGGGCGGCTACTCGGCTGCTGATTGGCCGGTTTGCCGAATCCAGGCTTCTGATTGGTTAAAAATTAACACGCAAAATTTGTCGAAATTTTTGTCGATTCCAGACACCTCCCCTATTTCTACGTAAAATCTCTTTTTTCAAAGTTTAACTGCCATTCTAGCATTCCATATCAATCAAGAATATTTGAGCCCAAATCAAGGACCTCCATCACCAGACCCTGAGCTTGAAGAACTCAAAGCTCTTCTTCTTTCGAAGAAAAGACGACTTCAAGATGCCGAAACCCTCCTCGGCGAAGCGGAAGAACTCATCATTACTAGGTCTCTTTTTCAACGAAACACTCCTTTACGTTCTTTTTTAGGGATCGGCAAAAGACCAAGATCGAAAATCTCAACTTGACGTACAAGGAAATCGAAAATGCGAAGAAGAATCTCGATGGAATTCGAAATATGACTTTGACGGTGAAAAAGGAGCGGCTCGACGCGCAGCTTGAGAACGAAGAACTCGCTGAATATTACAACTCTTTGGTTGACAAGAAATATGAAGCGGATAAGAAGATCAAGACATTGAGAAGAGCAACTGTGGCGGGGCCGGAAATGACAGAAGATACGGAGTCTGAGTTCAAGAAGCTTTTAAAAGAGAGAAAAGTGAGCTTTCTTTTATTAATTTTGGGAAACCATAAACATAGCTTTTGGCGGTCAAAATAAGGTTTTTTGGTGTAGAAAACCATGAAAAAACATAGTGATTGAAATCGTTTGGTGTCTTTCAATTCGTTGAACTTAAATTCCTAGGCAGAAAATGAAAAACTTCGCGAACGAATAAACCGCCGAAAAAAGGAGCTCACCCGTCGAAACCACAAGCTCGAAATCGCGAAGCAACAAAACGAAACTGCTCATAAGACGCACGACGAAATCAAGGACCAAGATGCGAAAATTACCGCTGAGAAAACCGAGCAGATCCGAAAACTTGAGAATGAAGCAAACGCGCTGAGAACAAAAATTGATGGAATTGTGAACAATGATCAGGCGTTGATCAATTTGAACACGAGAAAAGCGCAGTTGGAAGAAAATCATCGAGTCTTGATGGGAAGATTTGAGGAGGCTAATAAAGCCATCGGTAGGTCCATTTTTAAAAAATATTATTCAGGAAAAGTTCAGATAAGCGACTGGAAGAAGGACCAAAAGTCGTCATCAATGATCCTTATTATAATGTGAGTGGGTAAATAACAACCTTTTTACTCTTACTCTCTTATGATATTCGATCGACCTTCCTTTAGAAATTCAATATTGATATTCAGAAATCTAATAATTATCCTTTTTTATATTCTTATCTAGAATCTTCGGTTGCAAAAACAACTCAAAGACAAAGAAATCGCCAAGCTGGAAAAAGCAAAGCGGGAAATCAAATGGAAGGTAAGCCATTTTCTATCTCCTTTTACTCGTCAAATTTCTAGTACCACCAAGTTTGGTGCCAACTCAACGACGTGGACGAGTCGGATGATGAGCAAGATGTCGCCGTTGATCCTTCCGTCCTCATTGTTCCGGAATCCGTCGCTTCTCATCGCCTCGGCTCATTCAAATCTACCGCCCGATTTTGATGCTCTCGAAATGACATTGATTGAATCAACCCTTCTTTGAACCTAACGACCTTTCGATCCCTTCCACTAACAAATTGTTCTTTCCTGTGACGTTTGTTTTTCTTTAAACAATAAAAACAGGCAAATATAGAAGGATGTTGACTGTTTACTGAACTCATCCGCTCATTCTTCTTTCTCAAAAAAGGGTTGTAATTTTTCAAAAAAAAAAAATGAGAGTTATCGCGTTTTCGTTGCTTTTCGCTGCTTATGCCCGGGTTATTCGAGAAATTGAAGGGTCAGGAGAAGAGCAGGAAGCTAGAGTTTCCTACCATTCAAAGATACACATTAAAACTCCAGGTGAAATTCTAGTGATAAAAATCGAGGATGAATACAAGGCATGAATTCTAGAGCAGATTAACGCCGCATTCATGCAATCTTTGGAGCGAACTAGAATCAACCACGAGCGTCTTATGGGTACGATAAGCTCAGATTTTCTCATGTTAATCCTTTATTGTAGCGAAAACGAGAACGGATTATGAAAAGTTTCAGGAAAAGATGAAAAATCTCCGAAGCAACGAAAGTGTTAAAGGTACTTGTTTCCTAGGCACGAAAATCTAATTTGAAATCAAGCGATTGAAGAAGGAATCAAGGCAGATCTCAAAACCGGTCTTAGGACAGCCCAAGAGAAGATGCAAATCGAGTCTGAGGGCCTCGAACCGTCAAATCCTTTCGAACCGATTGCTAGAACCGGAATTGACCTTTTCTCTGGACTGATTGACGACGTTATCGTCTCGATCAATAGAGATGATTGAAGAACTGCTACCGACTGTCTACTCTCTTTTAGTTTAGTTCTGGCTTCCTCGAAATACAATGTTACTCGGAAAAACTTCTCAAATAGTCATAAAATCAATGCTTCGATAAAGAATGTTCTTCTGCAATATGGAACCGTAAACGAGGAGAATTCGGAACCCTAGGCCCAGGCATATAAATTCGCTTGGCGATTTTCGCCAAAAGCGAGTTTCGCGAAGCGAAAGCGAATCGAAAATTTCGCTTTCGCCCCCCGAAAATGACACTCATGATGTTCGCTTCGCTTTCGCTTTTTGTCCCCGATTTTCGCCAAAAATTCGCTTTCGCCGAGGCCTCGCTTTCGCCAAATTTTCGCCTAGGCCTTCGGAAATATTTGCTTTGGCCAATTTGAATTTCGCGCCCTCGCCCAATGAGATTCAGTGAAAAGTTCGCAGAGAAAGAGAAGTTTACGAAGTCCTGAATTTGTTCTTTTTTAGTTTAGTCTGTTTATTTGCTGCAGATCGTTTTCTTTCCGTTTTAGTTCAGAGAAATGGCGAGTAAACTCTTTCGACCGGGCTATTTCGCTGGAAAGGTGAACATCGTTACCGGCGGTGGCAGTGGAATCGGGCTCGGCATCGCCGAAGGTCTTGTTGAACTCGGATCCAAAGTCGTTATCGCCTCTAGAAATCCAGAACGCATCGAAGAAGCGACTCAACTTCTATGTAAGGTCCATTCTTTTGATTCGAATTAAATTTTCTCCAATAGCCGCGAAATGCCAGGACGGAGGAGAAGTGCTCGGTCTCCAGTGCAATATCCGCTCCCGCGACAGCGTGAAACAAATGATCTCCGACACTCTCGATCATTTCGGCCGTCTAGACGGGCTGGTCAACAATGGCGGCGGCCAATTCCACTCTCCTGCTGAAAATATTTCGCCGAATGGATTCCACGCCGTCGTGGAAACGAATTTGTATGGAACTTATCACTGTATGATGGAAGCGTTCGAGCAGCATATGAAGGAGAATGGAGGAAAGATTGTCAACATCGTCACGATTAACAGAATGGGAATGGCCGGCATGGCGCACTCTGGTGCGGCCAGAGCCGGTGTCAAGAATCTTTCAATGTCTCTAGGTAAGGAGAAGTGCTCAGCTTTCCTTTTTATATATTCCCCTCCTTTTTAGGAGCCGAATGGGCAAAATACGGAATCGTCATCAACAACGTCGCCCCGGGAACCATCCATTCCGACACAGCTCAAGCCAATTACGGCCCTCTCGGAGAACTACTCTTCGACGGTGCGGTACAGACGATTCCGATGGGACGTTTGGGAAGCACGACAGATGATTTGGCGCCGTCAGTGATTTTCATGCTTTCTGAGGGGGCGAAATACACGACTGGGCAGACGCTAGATGTTTGTGGCGGACAGAGCTTGCACAATAACTACAGACAGGGGCTTGTCTTGCTGGAGGAGTTCCTGAAGAAGCAACAGTCGTGAAAGAAGAAAGATCTGTCGTTCAACTTTTTAGAGAAAATCTCGTTCTGATTCAAGCCTGATTCATAAATTATTTATTCCTAACTGTCTAAAGTTTCAATTCTTCAGAATGAACAAGGTCTTCTCCCCCGCTCTTTTCGCCGGCCGAGTTAATATCGTCACTGGTGGCGGGACCGGAATTGGCTTTGGAATCGCAAAGGGACTTCTTCAATCTGGCAGTAATGTGGTCATCGCTTCTCGATCGAAAGAAAAGATTGAAAACGCGGCGAAAGAATTGAAGGAATACTCGACGAACGGGGCAGAGATTCTAGGGCTCAGCTGCGATATTCGAAATAGAGAGAACTGCGCGGAAATGGTAGAAGAAACTATCAAGCATTTCGGTCGGCTGGGTAAGAATTCTGCTGACTTAGTGTCTCTTTCTATTTCTTTCTTAGATGGATTGTGTAACAACGGGGGCGGACAATTCCAAGCCAAAGCTCATACAATTTCTGAAAACGGATTCGACGCTGTTGTGAAGACGAATCTCTACGGCCCGTGGAATATGATGCAGGAAGCGTATGATCAATACATGAGCGAGAATGGAGGCCATATTGTCAACATCGTGACGACGAATCGAACTGGAATGGCTGGATTGAGCCATACTTCTGCTGCTCGAGCTGGGGTCAAGTCGCTTTCTCAAAGCATAGGTAGATCTACACTCCTGAACGATTGAATCGAGCACTTCTAGGTCTGGAATGGGCGAGAAAAGGAATAACAATCAACAACATCGGCCCTGGTGTCGTTACTTCACCGACGGCCATGGCAAACTACGGTCCTCTTGGAGAAATGATGTTTGGCAACACAGAGAAGATCATTCCAGCTGGAATGCTCGGCCAAGTTGATGAGCATCTCGTCGCTCCGACCATGTTCTTTCTTTCTCCTGCTTGTAAATATGTTACAGGTGCGTCTTACTGAAAGTTTCCCTCCTCTAGCAGAATTTCAGGCCAAACGATAGATGTCTGCGGAGGACTTTCTTTGTTCAACAATCATGCCTTGCAATACATGGAAATAACTGGACAACTGGATGCTGACGAAGCCACTGATTAAAACACCCAGCTTATTTATGCCAATTTACTCTTCAATTCACTCTGATAAATTCGAGTTTTGTAAAAATAAATAATTTATTTTCGATTATACGACCAGAAAAATGCTTTTTTCGAGGATTTTATTTGTGTGAAGACAGCAGGTTGGCGATTCATTTCCCGAATCATTTAAACCCCAGAGGGAAAAGTTTTCTTGAAGGATTTCGATTGTTTTGAACTAATTTAACGTCTCCAAAAATTGAACTATAAGAATTTATAAGAACTAGAAGAATGTGGACGTTTTCCTTAAAAAATGATCGTAGCTTCCAAAATGGAGTTCAGGTTTGTAGCCAAACTCTTTCATCAACGGCGCCATCTTCTCAACATTGTCAAGTTCTTCATCTGAGACTTTGCCCTCCCAACTGCTCAACGCTAGAACCAATTTATAAAATGTCAGATTGGCAAATATCAGTGCCAAAAAGCTCTTTCTCAGCTCGTTTATCGAAAAAGAATGAAAAGCAAACCTGAAGTATAAGTTGCTTTGACAACTTGATCAGTACTTCTTTCCATGTTTGAAAGGCTTATGTCCGTGCCGATGTGCTCTTCGTGATGGATCAAGGCGTCGTTCCATTTCAGTCCGAGAAACTTGACTAAACTCACTGTTAACTTCAAGAATGACGCTGGAATTTTACCAATTTTTCGAAGAACCGGTTCTTTTTCCAAAACCAAGTGTTCGTAATGAACGGGCATGCAGAACTTCGGCCCCAGATCCTGACATTGTTTCCACATTTTTTGATGCTCAATGTCCCACTTGTGAACGAGATCTGTAAAGTTTTTGATGTCGTAGCCACTGATTGTGACTTCTCTCGAGAAAATCGAATGGGCAACTGAGCGGGCATCTCGAATCATATAAATGAATTTGCTGTTCGGGTACCAGCCGCTCAGCTCGGACATGAATTTCAAAGCAAAGGGGTCCTTGTTGCAGAGTCGTCTCGACACGGGCCCGTGTTTTTCGATGACTTGAAGGATAAATCGCTTCGTGACGTCGTCAACTGCTTCTTTGCTCTCTCCGAAAAGTCCGTTTGCGGAAGAAAACTCTCCTATAAATACTTTTTATTTTTTAAAGATTTTCATTGCCAACCGTCGTAAAATACTATTTGCATATCTTTGCGGGCCTCCAACATCCTCGGAACAACTCTTGTTTCTTCGCCACATCTCACATCCGGATGAACATCTTTCAAAAGAGACTGTAAATTCAATAAAGAAATATCTTCTTACCCAAAATGGCTCGCATCAAAGTCGTCCCAGATCGAGGCATTCCGCCCACCCAAATGATCGGATGTTGATCGTCGACTCGAGGCCATTCGATTTTCTTGTACTTTTTGGCAGTGCAGTTTCCAGACCGGCAAGGTTCCTGCTGAACTCGTACTTTTTTGATTTCCGCATCGGTAAGATCCTCGATGTTTTTCAGACGAATTGGTCCTTTTTTGAATGGTGATTTTGAGCAGCCATTATTTGAGAAATCTTAGAAGAAAATGTAACTGCATGAATTTATCTTGAGGAAAATAAACTTACTTTTGCCGAGATAATACGCAAAGAGAAGGCTCAAAAAATAATTAAATAATGACGCGATTCGCGATCTGCCTCTTATCCGAATGCACTCCGACGACATTCTCTTTTTGCCGCTGGATTCTATCCGGTAAAGTCAGGTTGAAAAAATTGTTACCGTAGAATATGCCCTTAGCGAATTTCTATTGCTTGTCTATTTTCTATTATTTTCGGTAGCAAGAGCCCCGGGCACTATCAAAGATACGCTTTCGATCGTACACGCATCTCTTAAATTTTGAGCATCACGCAGAAGAAATTTTAACGAGGAGATTTTGATAAACAAAAGTTCATTTCATTTAGCACTGCTTAATTTTAGCAGCAGAAAATAAGGAGGGAAATAGGGGAAAAAGAGGATTTCGAAGAGGGAAAGAGTGTTACTTTGGAGTAGACTTTTTGTGCTTGTAATTGGAGTAAGCGGAAAGAGTGTCACGGAAAGAGCAGCAGATTCAGAAGCTTTAATAAAAAGCCGCATCGTGGCTTTTTTTAATTACAAATGTATAATTCGGAATTTCGAATCTCCATTTTTTTACACTTTTGTCTTGAGACTTTCAGACATGGATTCAGATTTTGATTGGGTTATATAATATATCGAAATGAGCATGACCAGGACGAGGTCTATCAAATTTACCTTTGGAAGGAAAAAAGAGTTTCTGATAATAATGAAATTATTAACGCCAAATTTTATTTTTTCATTTGCAATTAGCAGCTAAAAAACATATGACACTGAGTAAAATAACATCATTAAAAAAATGAGAATTGATTTGTTGGAATCTATAAATGTATGATATACAGTGTTTATTGAATGCTAACTGGCTTATTGTGGGCTTTTTAGATGCTTCACATGAGAAAAATTTTCGATGCTTACAACAATGTTTTAGTCAGAAAAACGTTCACAAGAATTCTACAATTTCTTTTCGCTTGATATTGTATTTCTTGTGATTTTTGTGATAAAGAAAATAGGAAATCGAATTTAACCTTGCGACGACAAACCCAAATTTCACCCGCCGACGAAAATTGTGCCATATTTGGCACATGGACTTTAACGCCATCTTTTAATAATAACCTGAATCATAACCTTGATAATCAATAACCTGCCAAAACTGGACGAAAAATGACGGGCTGAAAATCAAAGTTTCCATATTTAAGCGATGAGTCTGATTTCAGATTCTTGAAGGCGATTAAGCCATGCCGACCATGATTATTCTTGATGATAAAATTAAGCTTTTTCCGGTGGGCTCCGATTTTGATTAATTTTATGGACACTCCATCAGATTAGTGTGTTTTATTGATTTTTATAAGAAGCCGACTAATTTGAACTTTTATGGTCAGATTCTGAAATACCGTGGTTTTCCATTTTAAGAGCGTTTTTTGGATGATAGGCCTCGCTCAAATCGCTCTTAGATTGGAAATTTTTCAATCAAGGTAGGATGACAGTGGGATTTTTAATTTTTTGTGACAACCTTGCGTTCTGCAATTACAAAAAAAGATCCGATGTTTTCTGGACGATTTCATCGTCGATGATGATCATCTGAACATCAACGAAGAAGATCTAGTGATTCACTAGTAGTGAACAAAGCGAACGAAATCTTCATGAACATAAATCCAACAATCTTCAAGCGCTCTTGGATCAATACTGGGCTGATCAAGGAGGAAGAATTCGAAGGAGCTGTTGAAGATTTTGAAGACTTGGATGTTTTGGAAAGTGTGCTGGAGAAAGAAGACGAGGAAGAGCTGGTCGAGCATTTTCTGGCGCTTCAAATCGATGAAACACGAGCCGCGACTCCGATGAAGATTGAACAGGAACCTCAAGTTCAAGAGATAGAGACACTGCAAAGCCTTCGACTTCAAAATGGCCCGAAAAGCAGTCAAAGATTACAAAATTTTTTAATAAATGATTCACTGTAAGTCTGAAAATTTTTTGATTTTTAATAAAGATCTTCGAAACCGCTCTTAAACTGGAATTTTGGCGGATGACAACATTTTCAAAAAATAGGCAAAAACGCTCTTAAAGTGGGCGCTCTTAAAATGGAAAACCACGGTAGTGAGAATTTATCCGGGATTAAAATGTTGACCATCAGGGCTGGGAAATCGCCATTTAAGTTTCATCTCTGTAATGTTACTGACAGCGCTAGGCGCCATTGGTCTGAGATGTTATTTGAGTTTTGATTTTTTCTTGTTCTCAGTTGATTTCATTTCGAATCAATTTTTAAACCGACTATCAATATGGAAAGTGATTCGGAACTCTGGGCGACAGAATTAAACACCCCAGAGAATTTGTATTCTCGAAAATATGACCATTTTCACTGGTCAATTTGGGAGTTTTCAGGGAAATTGGCCGAAAAAAACCTCCCAAATTGACCACACCTACTGTAGGTATATTTTTCCTATAAGGCTATTATATGACATATAATATATGTATTTGATGAATTTGAAATTTACGTTCCAAAATTGGTGAAATGCATCAATTATCATCACTACCATATAACGTCAAAAATAAAATTTCCATGTATAGGAACTGATGGACACAGATCTTGAATGCGTATTCGACAACTACCCGGCTGGCTTGGGTGTTGACCACTGTCGTCTTTTTTCTTATCAGCTGGTGCGAGCGATCAATTTCATCCACACGGCGCGCATCATTCACCAAGACATCAACCCCTCCAATATTCTCGTCAACCCTGACACGCTATTTGTAAAGGTGCCAAGACCGTTAATTTTGAAGGAGAAGCGTTTTAACGCGTTCTATCTTTAGCTTGGCGACTTCGGATCGGCGAGGATTTTGGACGTTTGTTTCGGCAAGCGCTGCCTCTCCATTCCCGCTTATGCGCGGTATTATCACTCGCCTGAAGTCTTAGCTGGAACTGGCATCTATGACCTGAGGTTAGTCACACGTCACCATCTTTATCTTGAATTCTTTTGTAGCTCGGACATGTTCTCCCTTGGCTGCGTTCTGTACATTATGGCAACTGGTACGATTCCAATCAAGCACGAGTCCGGAGCTGCCCCTGACCTTCTCAAAGAATGGAAGTCTTTTAACTTCACGAAAAAAGCATCTCCCGACGCCATATTCTCCAATTTGATCGAAAAGTGCCTTTCAACCGAGCCACTTAACCGTCCAACAGCAAGCACCCCCTGTAGCTCGTCATTTTTTGCCGAATTGAGCAACGGCGCGGTGCACCAGGTGCCCAAGTCCAAGTTTTCTGTTGAAGAGGAAGTCTTCGATTACGAACATATTTACGATGGTTAGCTAAATATCAAAGTTTGTATTCATGAAGCGTTGAATTAAGGACCCCCCCGTCAACTTTTTTCGAAAAATCGATTTTCGGAATTTCAAAATTTTGACCCCGGAAATGGATTTTACAGGTCAAAAAACGATTTTGAGGCTTCATTTTTTGGGGGTCTATCTCGACTCTAACACCCTCAAAATCGCGTTTGAAAATTGGACTTTTCGCGGAAAAATGACGAAAAAGTCCAAATTTTGATTTTTTTGAGAAAAAGTTGACCGGGGGGTCCTTAAGCATTGGAATTGGCAGTGAAAGATTGTAAACCAGACATGGAACTGTCAAAATCTGGCCCAGCAAAACCGAATTCAATTCGCTCTATCGCAGATTGGTAAGATTTTTCCATTGCTACTTCCACTGTCTCTGGTATGTCCATGCATTATTTCAGCGTCAATTATCCTTGATAGAACATGAGGCGCGCATTGCCCAGACCGATTTCGCTTTTGGAATTCAAATCCACGATTGCTCCGACAAAAAGACCGGATGTTTTACGAAGACCACGTTGCGGAATCAGGCTCTGTTTACGATCCATACAAGTGGGATCGTAAAGAGGCGCCAAAGCCGATTATAAAGTCCAACTACACGATCAGCGATTGTGGCTATTAATCTGATCCGTCGAGATGAGTTTAAACTTTGAGTCTTCGAACTGCGTTTTGAATCTTTCCGATCGAGAGAAAATTACGTTTATTGGCGACATTCCTTTGAAACCAGAAGGAAACCTTCTTGCGAAGACAAAAGGGTACAAAACATTTAAAATATCGGTCGAAGTTTTCTGGTCGCCTTCGCATCCATCCTGCTTCAAGAATTTATTGTACATGAGTGCAGGAGTTCCTTATGGATAGGGTTTATATCAGAAATTGTTTCTACAAGGAAAATTATGGTATAAAACCAAATGATAGACATTTTGGGGAACGATATTTCTGTATCTGGGAGTGTCCGAAAAACTCAAATATTCACGTTGCCTACTGCGCAACTGGTGATAAACGCTGGAGTGGTTGGGATTTTCCAGCGAAAAACAACGAATGGAATAAAGTTGTTTTCTACCAAAAAAGGATGAATGACGGACAACTAATGCAGATTTTTACATTGAATGGGACAGTTGTCGCAAAAAATGAGCTAAAAGAGAGCGACGCTTGGGTTGGTGGACTTATTGTCAAAATCGGGAAGGGCGCACAAAAATAAAATTGTTATATGCCTATTTTTGTGTTCCCAAAATAAAGGACAAGAAGATAAACAGGGTAATCCAGAAGATATGCGACTGCGAAACTTGATTTATGAACGAGACTCTGATTCAGAGCCGTCCGAATATGTTTAAAATGCATTTTTGTACATATTTATCTTGATCTTTTACAGAATAAAGGATGAGTCGTCAGAAAACATAGTTGATACGAGCTCAAGTGAATCTGTTAAACAAATAACAAAAGAAGCTCAGGCTCAGCTGCTGAGCACGTTTATCTTACTTAGAACACCTCCCCACCGGTTCATATGAACGTCGACACATGTAGCTTACCCAAGCGAAATTAGAGGTAACATACCCCCTCCCTAAATTCGCCCGCTTTTCGTGGTACATTTCCCAAAATTCGCTCTCCCTAATTTTTTTAATCTGCCCCCAATTTCGCTTCTCCTGATTTTTCACCGGGCCCCCAAATTCGCTCTGCAGATTGTCTAAAAACGCCTAAACACAATTGAATATGGATAAATTGCAAAAAAAATCTATTATCAGGCTAGTATTTCTCTCCACCGAGACAACGACGCGTGCTAATCCTTCAATTTTAGTTTTGAGAGCGAATTTGTGGGCCCGGTAAAAAGTTAGGAGAAGCGAAATTGGGGGCAGATGAAAAAATTAGATGGAGCGAATTTTGGGAAATGTACCACGAAAAGCGGGCGAATTTTGGGAGGGGGTACGTTATTGACTGGCATAAGCGGTAGTTAAGGATATCCGACATGTAATAAAAGTTAACACTGAAATGTGGAGAGAATACTTTGGGTAGGTCAGAGGACAAAATGACTTATTTTGTGAAAGTCAGATTCTTTGTCTCAAGAATTCTTCCTCCCTTTTCATCTGGCGACTACGCTAATTCCCCTAACCGATTTTTATTTTACCAAGGAACTTATTTTTTCGGCGATGAATCTTCATGAAATAACCATATCGTAGCTGGAATACGAAAAGTTTCAAAATGATACCAATTATAAATTGGTAATATATTAAATGAAGAACAGCTATATGATATAGCCTATATCATATAGGGCCTATATGATATGAGCCTATATCCTTAAAGCAAAATCTTCGAGAACCGATGTTTTTTCTTTGCAAAAGTGTTTATTTTAAATCATTCTGCAATAAATCTTGCCGATATAAAGAATCAATATTCCTTTGCCAGAAAAACAGCGTTAAAAGGTCGAAGTGGGTTTTTTAAATACAGGAACCTTAAAAAAAGCACGTCATAGGTGACGACACGTGATTCTGAAATTCTTAAGTGTTAGAGATATCTACATATCATTTTGTTCTTTGGAGCGAGCTGATTTCATAAATGCAAAAGAAAAATTTTTTCGGTCACTTGTTTGGGCTCTGGGTCCCCAAAATCACCTTTTTGGCTTGTTTTTGAAAAATTATGCATTATTTGCAAGCTCCCCAGCAAAAACGAGTACCACCATCAGAAAGAGCAGGTCTTTTAACACTAGAAACCACCTTTAAACCTAATGCCATCGCTCAGGATGGATCAGGATGGTCAATTCATAACTTATGCATAACTTATGCTTAACAAATATTATCAACTAAGAAGCCTTTGATTTTCAAAAAATCATGGGTTAATACAAAATTGATCAAAGAAGACGAATTTGAATAAGAAATCGCCGATGAATCATCGGCGATGATGATGACTACAATGTTGCCGACGCAGTTCTGGAAAAAGAAGAGGAAGAAGCTTTGGTTGAGAAATTCGTTGCTTCTGAAATATAGGTTGGCCCAGCTATAACTCCGAAGGCAGCTCCTGAACCAACTCATGGAAATCAAGCGAAAGAACCAGAAAATGGTCCTATGAAGCAGTCGAGCAGTTTTTTTCAATGACGTCCATTTTTGTGTCAGAAATATATCTCATAGAAAAAACTGCCTTATTTTGGATATTTTTTTGAAGACGATATTTGCGATTTTTCGAAGAAAACTGCCTTATTTTGGACTGCCTTATTTTAGACTGCCTTATTTTGGAAAACTACTGTATCAGATTTTGAAGCTGATTCTTTAACCGCAATAAAAATCAAAATTAGAGCATTGGGTGGTGGTGCAAGCGTGGAGGCGCGTGCGCCTCAGGAGCTTTTGGAGTAAATCATCAAAATCAATGTTATTTTAAAGAAATTTTTTATCTCTAGGTATTTTAATATGGAGATAAATAATTTATTATTTATTTTATCCGTTCAAATAATATTATATTCAATTTCATAAGAAACAAGTATTTTTCGACATCAACAACTGTCAATTTCATTATTTACTTGACATGAATGAGATTTATTCCGGAAATCCCTGGATTTATGTATCGAACCACTTGTCACCTTATTCAGAAAGGTTCGAACCTAACACGGGGCGTGATTTCCTGCCGCGCTGTTACTCTCAGTCAGAGGGGTTGCAAAAGAAAGCTCAGCCTCTGAGCTTTCAGTAGAGCTCATAACATCGGGCTGCCCTTTTGTCTAGCGCCCTCAAGTGGCGCTAAAAGATGACCTTGAAGATCGGAAAAGTCGGAAACTTCCGGTTTTGAATTTTAAACTCACTAGTTGTATTTTTAAAACAATAATAAACAATTATCAAAGTCAAAAAAGACTGAACCGCGGTTGAACCGAGTGGTCAACCGGGTGGTCTATCGCGGTTGGACTCAAGAAATCTTCTAGAACATAGAAATATGGGTATTTTTTGACGGGAAATTGAATAAACCATGAAAAAAAGGATGGACCATAACTAATGGTATACATCGGCGCGGTGCTGCTTCCTCGATCAACGCGTCGCCAGAACCTATTTTTTACAACGGCAGAAAATCTGAACGGAGCAAGATTTTGTCTAGGTTCAAAAAGATTACAAATCCTTGAAGTTTTTTATATTTCTTATTGCGAATATCAAAAAAATGTAATCGAGGAGTTATCTTGGAATCGCCAGTTTTCTTCTTGTGACATGTTCTCCTTCATTTTTCATCCAAAATTTTATGAAACTTGAATGCTCTTGTCGACAATGCTCTGCTTTTCAATTCCTCTTATACAGATTTTTCGTTAAGGGGGTCCCCAACGATTTTTCTGAAAATGGCCATTTATATATACGGGTGGCGGGCGGCTTCGTTCGCAAAGGCCATTTTGCGAACGGCGTTCGCAAATTACGAGCGGTGTTCGCAAAATCGAAAAAATTTTGGCCGAAAATCGTTCACGCCTTTTTTCAAAATGTGTCCCAGCGGTAAAGAAAGACTGCTCCTGCCAAGCCGATGAGTAGGTACCCGCTGAAAAAAATAGGTGGTCGATATGTTATCCCTTTTTGAACGAAACTCTGTGACTATAGTAAATAAGTATCTAGAAGTTCAATTCCGAGGTCAAAAGTTCGAAAAAAGTTCATCTTGGGGTCACCCGAGGTCATCAAAGTTCGAAAAATTGAGATTTTCTAATAATACTATTTGTGTATTAAAAGAATGTTTAATGATAGTTTCATTCCCAAAAAATTTTTAGGCTCTATTAGGCTTACAAATTACAGTCGAAAAACGTCAATTTACAATGAAAATTCGATCACGTGCAAAATTTTCTCGATAAAAATCTTTTTTCTTTGCTCAAAAGTTAGTGTCAACTATCATTTGCTAGATTTGCAACTTGAAAGTGCTTAATTAAAGGGGTTGAAAATGGCCCTTTTGACTTCAGCGGGTACCTAGCCAATGAGTTCTCTACCAGAAAATGCGCGAAACGCACACTCACGGGAAGTTTTTATTTCATTCCGAACGGCGTTCGCAAATTGCGAACGAAGCCGCCCTACACCCGCCGATACAGACTTATATTTTTCACTAATTTTTTTACGTGCAAGTAGATCAAATCTAGATCTAGTGAAGCCTGTCTCAGATTTTTTTAAAACCAACCATATCTCGCGCAAAGGCGCCGAGAAGGAGAGCATCTCACAGAAAATCGCGTTTTTGGCCATTTTTTTCACCTGAGATTACTCCAAAAATTTAGATTACAAAAAATTTTTTCCTGCTGTTTCTGAATGCTCTAGCACTAATCTAGTGAAGCGGTTCTTCGTTTTTTCGATTTCCCAAAAATGATTATGTAACAAAGACGATCAAAAAATGTACGATTTTGGAATTTTCAACCCTGTGAATTGCCCTCTGGGCATAACCCAGACCCATATTTTCGGGCATTTACATAAAGCTTAGCTCACAGCATTTCTAAAAATGTGCTATTCTTGAATTTTGATGAAAATGCAGAAAAATTGGTCACTTCAACTTGAAGTCTTCAAGTATCAAAGGACACTTTTTTCTACAAGAATTGAAAAAGCTAGAGGCCTTTTTGCAGCTTTTGCATAAGGAATTTAGATCCGAAGAGAAAAAATCTTATTCCCAAAATCGTTAAAATCCATTCAAGCAGCACTATTATTAAGTTTCAGTGACAGATAACCAAACTGTAAAGAAAATCATAACTTCTGTGAATTTTATGGTTAAAAATATCAGAAGAGACGATTAACTATCCGCTCACATTGTTGAATTTCTCTTTTGAGACACTACAATGTTGATCACATTCAAATTTATCTATAAAAATATGATAAGAAATCTTTACAAAGAATAACCTCTCAAAAACTAGACGAAAAATGAAGGGCCGAAAATCAAAGTTTCCGCCCACCTTAATTTACCGATGAAATCAAGAAATGAATTAAAAATTCAGAGAGCATTGTGCTAGTTTTTGTCAAAAACAAAAGCAATAAAAATAAAATTTCAGACAAAGAGCATACCGTGGTTTTCCATTTTAAGGGATCCTCCCCTGTTTTTTCATTTCCTGCCGTGCAAAGTTTTGTTCAATAATAGAATGCACGTAACGAGGCAGTCGCCATCAACAATGGAGCAGACTTTATTTCAAAATAATGCTTTCCATTTTCTAAAGCGCTACGCAATCTGCATTCCATCTTTCTAATCTTAATGAATAATAAGACTTAGACGCAAAGATGCTCATACCTGGTGGATCTTCGTCGTAGAGATCCTAAAGATTAGACAGATCGGAACACGGTCATTTTTCGGGGTAAAATACTGAAGAGCTAACAAATGCTTTATATAATATAAAAGAGAGCAATTTTTTTATAATTCGGAAGTTGAAAGAATTAAACCTTGTTTTTATTCACCCGATTTTCGAGAGGGAATTTTCAATTGAATTTTGTCGGTTTGAAGATCGCAAAATAAAAACATTAAAAATTCATAATGCATATTTTGAGCGATGTTTATGATGCTTGACGCTAGAAAAAGTCGCGCATGCAATGGTCAGAGCAAGATAAGACTACATCTCGCGCGCCCTCCGTTTCGTATTATAAATCTGAATCATAACCGAAACCATAAAAAAATTACTAAAAAGAGATCTACGATGAGACTTCTTTCAGGAATCCTTGTTTCTGCATACGCCGGCGATATGATGAAGAGACATGATAAAATATTGGGACATCTCAACGTGAGTTGCCCTGATTAAGTGAAAACATTTAATTTTTAGTTCTTCAATCTTTGCGAAAACATAAATTAAACGGTCATTCAGCGTCTTGCAGACCAAGCTCTGGATCTGACGAACAAAAAAGATGCCCGTCACGTCGCAAAAATTCAAAAATGGGCAGCGCGAGTAGTCGAATCAAACGATCGAGATGGAGCCCCGTGCGATGACACCGATGATGATGCCAACGACTTCTTTGTTTTCGACAAAGAAGACTCCTGCAAGCTAAACTCTCAGATCATGTCTGCGATCAGATCATTCGCGAGAAGATTTGCATGCAACGGGAGAGGCAATGTGCCAAGACAAATTGCAAGGCGAAGCAACAGACTTAAGCAGAACTTCGAGCGACGAAAATGCGGAGTCTCAACTGCTCAAGAAACCACTGCAGCGCCTCAAACCGCCGAGTCAACGGAGCCACCGACTGAACCAGGAAGAGTCTGTCCCATCATCTATCATAAAACCGAGGAATTACTTACTTACGATGAAGCCATAGCATATTGCTATGAGCAAGGCATGGAGCTCTCCTCAGTGCCAGATAATTGGATGAATCCTCTTTGCTGGCATCACGTTTGTATTTTTTTTCCGTGACTTTTCTTACGCTCTTTCTTAGATGGTAGAAATCATCACGAGCGACGTGGTGGATCCGCGTGCCGAGCAACATGCCTGGATCAACAACGACAACGGAGAATGCTCGGTGGTGAACTACACCAAAGAATACTTCATCTACGGTACAACAAATGTTGTCTATTCTCCCTTTTACTTTCCCGATGCTTGCGAGTCAAAATTCAAAGCTATTTGCTCGATGGGAGAATTTGAAACTACAACGAGGATTCCAACCACTCCAGACTACTGAGAGATACTGTTTAATACTGTAACAGTCATTGAAAAATATATTGAATAATTTTTATTTCGTTCAGCACGAAAAAGTCATAATAGTCAGCGAAAATAATTATACAGATGTTTCGACAGAAAGCCGATCTCACGTGAAACAGAAAGGGAACTAGCATTGGGCATTGATATTTTTAACCCCAGAAGGGCAGCATTTTTGATTCAAAGTATCGTACTGAGTTCCGGAAGCTTCACAGCAAGCTTTGGCGCCGCCAAAAGGATGGAATGGAGATCGTCGTGGGTATTCGCCGCAGCATTGCATCGGACCAGGAGCAGTTGGGGGAGTGTTTGTAGAGCCATTTCCTGATGAAAGAATTCATATTTTTTCTTATCTCAAAATTGTGGCTTTACCTGGACCGGTGAGGCTTCCACCGGTGTTCCCAGAAGGCATGCATTGATCAGCAAAATCAAATCCTTCCGCGACAGCATGTTCTTGAACAAAAAACTCGGCATGAGCAGCCAATTGAAAAGCTAGCTCTTCATCGCACTACAGTAGAACTGATTACTTTCAAGTCCCTTTTTTGTCCTCCTACCTTGCACTGATTCGCGCCGCAAAAGTCCTGAGAAGCAGTTGAGCTGCAATCAAGTCGTTGGATTTCGGCGTTGAAGCTGATTTCATAGAGTGCGTTTTCGACGGAGCAGATGTTTCCGTTGTCGGTGGAGACTCCGATGTTGTCGAAGACGTTGCATTTCGAGCATCGCTGATATTGCTGGCAGAAGAGATCCAAGTTGTCGACGGGATCACCTTTGCCCTGAAATCCCGATAAATTGAATTCTTTCAAAATCATTTGACAAACCTGAAATCTATTCGGAAGCAAGTTGCAGTAACATCCGTAGTTGAGCATTTGTTCGGCCAAGGAAGTGTCGAATCCAGCTTGAGAGAGATAAAATTCTAGCATTTGTCGGATCAAGAAGGCATTTCCGTCGCTTCTAGCGCTTCGCTCCAAATTTTCTTGGAAATCCATCAATTCTGCCAATCCTGGAACAGCTAAAAATGCGTTTGAGCGAAAATTTCTTGAAATCAACGAAGATTTTTTTCAAAAAAAAAAATCAAAAAAAAAATTTTTGTCTTACATTTGAGAAGTTCTGAAGAAGGAGCGGCGAGAATTCCATTGATAAGAATTTGTGAAATTTTCATATTTAAAATTTTCTTTCTCTAATTTGAATTTTTGGTTTTGATGCTTTGGCGAGTTTAAGTTCGAGCTATTTATAGCAAAAACGGGTGACCGCGACGGTTACGGGTTAGGTGTGTTGAACCGCCGCAATATTAAACCAGCAATAACCGATTTTGTAAATCGGCAATAACTGATTAGAAGCCGATCATCCGCCGAGATTGGTTCCGCTCTTTTCTAAAAAGCAACTTGAGCCACGTTTTCTGAAAATGCTGCCCAAAGCTTAATTGAAAGAAGCGCAGCCCTGTGAACTTCTAATAATTGCCAATTAGCGCTTTTTTGATAAAAGCTCAGAAAGAATTTCGACAAATTTTGCGTAAAAATTTTCAACCAATCGGAAGTCTGGATTCGCTCCATCTGCCTATCAGCAACCGAGTAGCCGCCTACGCAAAATTTGTCGTTTTTTTGTCGGTCCCTGATGCCACCCTTTTTTTGGTCGCTTTTTGGGCTGTTTTTCGAACTTTAGTTAACACTTGACAATGTTTGACGTTTTTATGATGAGATCAAGGAAGATTTATTGATAGAAAGAATGTTTACTTAGAGACTTCTTCTTTTCTTTTCATAATTCTGGTTGCGGTCACATCATCGATTGTTTGCTCAAGATGAAGTTTTCCGTCGATCAGCTTGAAAACTGTCTTCATCTCCTAAAAGAAGAAAGTCGACTCGATTCTTTATTATAAAATAACCTTCAAAGAGTCGCCAGCTTTGATCCCTTTTCCGACGATAATCATGTCTTCTCCATCGAAGCTCAGAGTTGATTGGATCTTCTCTCCATTCATTCCTTCATCTTCAAACACTTCTCCAGAATAGGGAAGGGATGACTTTTTCGTGATGATTTTCGTCTTCATTTTAAATTTTAAGCTCTAAAAATATTGATCCTCGGTCATCAAGTTGATCCTACAGACTCTTCGGGGATAATTTCAAACTTTACTTCCATGTTTTTTGCAATTTTTCTCGCGACTTTTGGAAGACCAAGTTTTTTATTCAACTAAAAATACTTTTAAAAAGGCTTCTTCTGGTAAAAATCACCTCTTTGAGATTTTCAACCGATTCCTGCCTCCATTTTCCGGCATATTTTTCAGCGATGTCTTTTCCCATCTCAATTTAATAAAAAAAGAGATTCTTGAAGTTCAAGAATCTTGAACTCAAATTGTTTTAATTGACAGGATTTGGTGGGGCGTTGATTCTTTGTTAAATTTTATGATCATTTCTTCAGTTGGCAAATTCTTCTGAAAATGAAGTAATGTAAACAATGATTATCATTAAGATGATTTAAGTTTTATGCCGTATTAATAGTATTATGTTATTAATAATCGCGGAAAGTCTTTATTTGACAAGGTAGCTTGATACAGGTAGTTTATTCCGTCTTTTTACAAGAATTAAAAATATCGTCCATTCCCTCTTAGAATTTTTTTATGGTGCTTTGAAATACCGATGATTTTTGAAGATTGCGCCGAAAACTAAAGCTCAAATAAGCGACACCAAGCGAGCAGATTTCTTTCGCTCTACCGCCTGGAGGACTCCTCCTGCTGGAAGAATTCTAAGATAAAAGAAGCATAATTTCAGGCACAATTTCATTGAAATCATCGGTATCAAAATTTTTAAATCATAATTAGGGTTTTTCACGGAAAATGGTATATCATTCAATCGGCCTGAAAATTTCAAAATATGTGTTTCTTGAGCCGCTGATTTCAAATATGTGAAAATTATTATCAAATTCTGATGATTCATAATGCTTTTCTTTACAAAAAATCATTTTATTCAGAAAACTAACGTCATAACAGTTTGAACAGTTCAGTTAGTTAACACAGTCGCAAAGTTTCGGGAACAGTATAAAAATGATAAGACGCTAGAAGTTGATTTCGAAAACACGGTCTTCTTCAAAATCCTCTCTCCTCAAAGACCGATAAGAAGTCGTTTCAGAGTGACCGTCAGTTTTCAACGAGGACGAATCTGTGCTGAAGAGGGGAGAATCGTCAGTCGTGAAATCGCCAGATCCGGAACCGTCGCCAGAATATGCGGTTGTGTACTCTTCTGTGGTGGGAGCTTCGGTTGTTGTGGTTGTTTTGTTTTTCGGGACGAAATATGCTGAAGAATTAATTTTAAGGATGTATTGAAGAGACTGAAAAAAGATGAGGGCACTTTAGTAGCTGTTATATGAATCGACATCTTCTCACTGAAAAAGAAAGATCTCTTACCTGGAAAGAAAATAATCGAAAAAACTGCGGCGAAGCTAAAAAAGCCAATTAAAAATTTGAGTGATCGTCTCATGTTTACGGAATGCAGCAAATCGGCGAGTATCGGTCGCTTTTATATTGACATCATTCACTTGGCTCCGACTCATTGCAAACACAGCCACCATTCTGTGCAATTAAGAACAACATTCCACGCTCGTAAAACTACGCAATTCTGTCCGTACTTTTATAGGAACACAATCATGTGACATGATTCATGTCAAAGGAAATCAAGAATCTTAGCAAAATGACTTTGAGTCAGCTTCTCGGTAAAAAAGCTGAAAAAAATATTTCCGAGCAAATTTTTAATAGTTTATTCTTTCGAATTCTTCAGAGACAAAAAATTTTTATTTTTCGGATCTCTCAAACTTTACTGAATAACTTAGGACTAAACGAGTTTATGGAAGTGCTTTTTGGATGACCAATAAGATTGCTGTATTTGGCCTACCGGCCAATCAAAGCCCTGATCCGTAAAATAATTTCCATAAATTTGTTAAACCACCTTTTTTCTCCTATCTTATAAAAAGGTCAGAGTCCTAGTAAAAAAAATTAATTGTGAGTAATTCCTAGCCCCACGGTCTATTATGCAGGAAGAAAAAGCTTAAGTGCATGAAATTATTGCAGTCAAAATAACTTCCTGGCAAACATTACTCAAGCGCATCTACTTGATGATTTGAATGACCCAACTCATAAAGCAAATTCACGTCAAGGACTATTCCTGCCATTGGAACTTGAATTTTCTTCGGGAAATACCGTATTGCCAATACCGTATTGGTAATGAGTGGGGAGAGCATCTGTCTATGGGACGGTAGCATATGCTTTCATATTTTTATCTCGTGATCTCTGAGTTCAACATCATTTTTGAAATGAAAATTTCAAGTTTTTCTATCGCGGTCGTTTGCGCAAGCGATCAGAAATTTGACCCGATTACTGGTGAAATCATGCTAGAAAGACTCAAAATTTGTAAGAGCGAAAATATGCATCCACTCGATTGTGCACGCATAATGCAACCGGAAATTCTCGAAAAAACCGGCGATTATCATGTTTGCTGGGTCACAAACACCCTCGATGCGTTTGGAAACGCGATGTTCTCCTAGGGTGTTTGAAAGAATATTTTCATATTATCCAGCAATACCTTCACTCTCAAGTTATTTTATGTTGAATCTTTAATTTTTCAAACAAAGAAGAGCAAAAACGGGCCGATGCTGTGCAGTCAATGATGGCTGGGTCGCGACTTGTGGTCCTCCTGATTATTCCCACCCGATTGACAAGCCAAACATGGAGTATCTAGTATATTTTCATAAGGAAACATTTGATATTCGATACTTAAGTGTCGTGACTGTGGGCTCAGTTGCTTCCTCTCCTCCTTCTCGAACGATGCAAACGTCAACTGCGTTTGGCAATGCATGGAGAAATACGGAAACGCTCTCTGTTCAAATGCTGCGAATCTTCATCTTTTAGTTTTTCCTTCGAGTGCACAAATCGGAGGTGCTGGACGCGGTCTCGGCGGTGGTGATGTTTCCGCTATAGAAGACACAGGGGTTCAGTGCGCCACCCACTGTGAGATCAAAATCTGAGAATTCAGATTGCAGGCTCTGAAATACAAACTGTGTTTCTTTGAAAATTTACCAATTAAAGATCCCTGACAAAAAACTTTCCGTCGATTAATGCCTTATTCAGAGCATAAGTAGTTGATTTGAAAATTTGCTGACGGAAACCAGGTCAGGAAGGAGTCCAGTTATCTTACGAAAATTAATGTTTACGTTTTGTCAACGCCTGTGATAGCTTTGAGTATCCGTGGTGACCACTTACGGAAAAGCCCGTGGAAGTACTTCAATCTCGTTTTCTCGCCTACTCAGGCTCTTTTTTGTTTATAATCCTTCAGAATTTGAAGCATGGGAGTCATCAAAATCTCAGTTTTCTAAGCGTTTCTTCAATTATTATCTATGCAAAAGACAAGGCCAAATTAGCTCTTTCAATGATCATTTTAAAAGCGAATCGTCACTTTTATTAGTCTATGCAGAATGAAGATAAGGAAAGGAATTTTTGAACTTTGAACTTTTCGAACAAAAGTCGACGACTGAGATTCACAGCGTCAGTCGAACCAATTTTGTTATGCGTAGAGGCGTGCCAACGACGGGAAAAAGCGGCTCCTGGCTTTGAAGTCGAACGGATCATCCAAAATCTTTTTCGATTTTGAGAATTTTTGCATGAAACTAAAAATTATGGAAGCTTCAAAATCGTTGCCTGAACGTCTTGGCCAAGTGCGTAAACCTCTTCTTGAGTCAATGTGTCTTCTTCGGTGTCTTTATTCGTCACGATGAAAGTTATTCTACTGCGAGTCACGCTCATGATTTTCTGAAAAATCGAACGAAATGGAGAGCGGAGAAAAATAGGGATCTTACGCTTTTATAGAAGTTGGAGATATCTTCAAGCGTTATTTCCGAAAGGAGATCTGCTCGTTCGATAGGGACGTTGAAGTTGGGCTGGCGCTTGCCAAATTTGATCGCATCCATCCAGCGATTTATTTGGCTTCTTAGCACTGGTAGCTCTTGGCCTGGAAGGGATGATGAATAGAATTTTAAATAGAGCTTACGGAAAGAATCGTTCATTTGCCGGACCAGATCGTTGAATTTATGAACTGAGTATTCTTCGAGAAAATTCCCAGCGTAGGTGGTGTACTCTTCTATGTTCTCAATGATGGTGTTTGTGTCGTTGCCGCTCTGGACCAGAATGCTAAAGGTGTTTTGATGGTTTGATTGACTTTAAGAGCGGTTAATGGCATATAGAAATTCGAAATTTGAACTCAATTAAAAGTAAAAATTTAAATTTCCGTTCAAAAATTTCAAATTTATTTTATGGTTTTTCTCTTTTTACTCACTTGTAGCTCAGCGTTCCTGAATCTTCGACCATGCTACATTTGACAACGTATCCAAGCTGTCTCACAGTTCGTAAGAAGTGGAAACACTCATCGCTCGTAGCATGGGAGAAAATAGTTGCCATCATCCATTGTTTCGGAGTGATGTCTCCAAGTTGATAAGAAATGAGGATGCCATGTTCTTTGGAGTACTTCGATTTTCGTTTAACGACTTATTCAGATTATTATGGTGATACAATATGGGTTCGCAATGGTAGAGCTTGATTTTCATTATCATCTAGTATAAATTTATAAAAAGGTTTATTTTACCACAGCATAAAAGACTTATTATTTTTCCTCGTCGAAATCTAGAATCTGATTCCTAAATTCGCGCCTTGCTCAAACTCCACCAACCTAAAAGCCGTGTATCTGTACGCATCCGAATACGGCCCCGTAATTCTAGCTTTCTTTACAAAGCTCTCAATCGTCTTGATAGCGGGATTTCTCCGGATATTGCCGGCAATCAGGGCGACCACTTTGGATCCGACGAGATTATCCCGGAGATACGCTTTGAATTGCCGGAACGTTACGGACTGCAGAGCTTTGATTTTGTCGTTGATTGAGTGGTATCCGTCGATTGTGAAATTGTATCGTTCGTGGTGCAGCATTTCTTTTGCCTGCTAACGGTTTTTGAAGCCCGAAAATCAGAATTATGGTCTTTCAAAAACCGATCCTCGAGAGTGTCGAAATTCTTCGTCTTCTGAATCATCCCTTCTCTGAGCTGCTCAAATCGAGTTGGAGACGGCTCGAACGACTCAATCAGCTCGGCAATCTTATTGAGAACCTTTGGAATAGATTCACTGTATCCAAAAACTGTCAGGACGATTCCAGAGTCCCATGGTCGGTAGTCAAAATCGAGGTTCCAAGTTATTCCGGCGAGCGAAGCTGGGTAGAGATGCGGTGGAAACTGATCCATCAAAAGCTCGATGTAAAGTTTCGTCGTCATGTAGGTCCTCAGGCTTCCGATGAAAGCAGGATTTCGAATGTTCAGCTCGACGTGCGTTTTTGGCTTGTTGAAGCGCATGTCCTGGTGGTGCCAGATTTCGAGCTCTTCTCGGTTGAGGACCAGGTTGGGATGTTTTGATGTGTCGTCGAGGTGATCGAACTGGTTTTCGATTTCAAAACCATCAGGAAAGAAAATATTCGGTTCTGGAATACGGAAATATGGCTTTGGACTTTTTCAGGGCTGAAAATAATTTACCATATTTTTAACTTAGATCAGCTTAGATAAAATCAGCATTTTGCAATAGAGGCCTTATTTTTTCAAGGTGATGTTGCAGGTCTTTTTTTCTGTCAGGTGCCCAGATGTGACTTTTTCGTGAATTAATTTCACCTGCCTCTCTGTATAAAAAGAGAAGCAAATAAAATGGGGCGCCCTGGGAATGTCTCCGAATGTCTCCTAAAATAACAAAAATGTTCTAGAAACTACGAATATCCGAATTTTGTCCGGACGATAGGAGGCGTGTAAATTAAAGTGTTACCTACCCGATCAATGAGTTTTCTACCACAAATTGCGCGGAGCGCTTAATTCTAGCGGATTTTCAAAAAGAAAATCATTTTTTCAGTATCTAACATTATTTTTTAGCTTATATTTATTTTTGCCTAATTTCGAAAAAAATCTCTAGAACATGTTTATTTTCCAAATTTCGGAGACATTCGGAGACATTCCCAGTGTCGCCCAATAAAATAGCTTTACTTTTCTTAAAAATGAAACTTTTATCAAGAAAAAATATTGGTAAAACGCTAGTAAAGCCATTTACTATTATTTATTCTTAATTTTGAAATCAAAATTCAGCTACAAACCAACCTCTGCTCCAGCTGCCGGAACTTACGGTAAGTGTCCCTGGACGCGTTCCCTAGACCTTTGTCAGACTGCTAAATTATCTATGAATCAAAGCCCTTGCCTGATATTATCCAGTTCTTCAATAAACTCAGTTTCAATATCCGAAATATTATACCTTCCACCATACCAAGGCTCAATTCTTTCCGTCTTCCCTCGAAAAGTCGGCGAAATGAGGAAAACTATCATATTTTTCGCATTGAGTCCGTTCATCATTTGCTGCATTTTTTCTTGGTCGTACCCATCATCTTCTGGTGGACCAGCGAGAATACGATCTTTTTCTTTTCTCCCGGAAAGGAGCTCATCGACGATTTGTTTGGCATATCTGTACGAAGTCACGTGATCCTGATTTTGAAAGCTCATGCGCTGCCGCTTCAAGATCTCATTCCAGTACCGCTGAGAGGGAATTGTCGTTTTCAGCATTTTGATGTATTCGAATAAATGGCGCATAATTGTCTTCCATCGTTCGAGCCCCTTGGGAGTCAAGTTGAAAGAGACCTCAAAATGGTTGATTCCGGGAGCTGTGTTGTCTTTTTTGGTGACAAGGGTGTCAACGAGACCTTGGCGCTTGACTTCTTGGAGGAGTGATTCGGGGCCCTCATGGCCGATCAGACTCGTGAAGTATTCTTGTGGGTTTACTTTCATATCCGCAGGAGGGTCTTAAAATGAATGATTTTATAAAATAAATGATTTTGGCAAAACTTTAGCTTACCATCCATTTGAAAATATACTTTCAGCTTGTGAGACCGGGACACCGTCTCCATTTTGATAAGTTTGCCCAAGTCTCTTTGTCGAAACGGATAGTCATAAACAGGTTTTGGCAGATTTAAGTCCGGAATAGTCAGCAAAGTGTCCAAAACACCACTTTCAAGTTCGTCCAAAGAGAGAGTTTTTGTTGTAATAACGATTGCCATCAAATTCGAGGAGTAATGCGTGGAATGGTATTGCTTCAGCCTTTCCGCAATTTGCGCATCAGTTCTGTTTTGGCGCACGCTCTTAGTATTGCCAGAGAAAAACGAATTATACGGGTGATCGGGATTCGCGGCCGAGCAGAAAATCTGCATTTGACGACGAAAATCACTCTGCGTGTTGCCCTTCCACTCCGAGTTTACCGCTAGAAATTCTGTTAGAAATATTCTCAGAATAATTATCAAAAAGAAAACAAAGAAGACAAACCTTTGAGCTCCCTGGAAACCGAGGATGCTTTCAAATTTGGGCTGACAATGAAGTCAGTCAGTCTCTTGACTCCTTCAATTATGTGTGGTCCTGGGACAAGATCGAAGTAGTACGTCGTTTTGGTGAAAGCTGTGGCTGCATTGTGGCGACCGCCTTTCGACTTCATGAATTTCGCGAAATCCTGCTCGCCTGGGTAGTTTTCTGATCCGAGGAAGACCGAGTGCTCCAGGAAATGAGCCATTCCGTACATGTCCCTAAACAAAATTTATTCCTTGTTGATGTCCATCCTGTACCTTGGGTCCTCAAGAGAACCACCATTGATGCCCAAATAAACCACATCTTTCGGCGCTTGGTCATCTTTAATCAAAATCACCTGCATTCGATTCCCCAAGACGAGAAATCTGTAGTCTCTCTTGTCATCCACCGGCTTCCCAATGTCATTCTTTCTCTCTAGAACCGCAGGAATATTTGAAAAATCGCGGATGGAAGAAACAGCAATCGTAGCTGAAACAAAAAACCAAAGGAGCAACATTGCCCATCTGCAGATGTTGAGCATGTCGTACTCTTTATGTGGCTTTTCTTTTCTTGTTCAAAAATATTTTTTGATTCTGAACGTAAAACGAAAAATTCGAACAGTCCCAAAAATCTTTTGCTGAACCACAAGTCTCACATTATTCGAAATTTTCTCTTCTTTTGGTGAAATCTAAAAAGCATTTATTCCTTAAAGAACTCTGAATTCTTACCCTTGTTAGATTTTTCTCTGAAAGCTCAAGCTGCTTCTTGTCGAGCAAGTCGCCCATTTTGCTCCATGAATTCAGCTTCCCGCGGTGCAGTTTTGAATTGAAATGCGTCCTCCAGCTGAGAGCCTCTCGGTCCCATAAAATAACCCTCCTTTGATACAGAAGACCTCACACAGTTTCTTTCAATTCGAAGCTTCAATTTCTTTTTCTGATAGATTCAGGGCATTCTCTTTCTCTGCAGCTCAGCGTTTGAGTGGAATCATTAGATCAAACCCGCATAGACCTAGTTCAAGTGGAGCGAAATAAATGCAATTTGTATCAAATAGGTAAGGTCACTGAACCAAGGCAGGCTGACATCAGCCCTTTTCTTCGCCGCGGTGCCGCGAATCTCGATAAATGATCCAAAAACTGTCAAGATCGCTTTGCGTCAGAATTTTGATTTCGTATTCTTCAAAATATACTACAGTAAAAATTAAATCATTTACTTTTATCGAAAATTTTGGCTAAGATGAAATTTAGATAAAAATCCAAATAATTTCAGAAAGCAAATATTACCGTGTTCAAATATTATCCGCTCATCAGGACCCTCCTGCTTTTTCTCACTTTTTTCGTAAGAGAAAATGACAAGTTTCCTGATCGATGGAAAGTATGCTGATATTGACGAATCTGCATTTGAAAGTTTACGGGGAGTAACAAAAGCTCGTGACACAGAGACAGGGGATGATGTGATGATAAAGGGCTACATGTCATTTCGAAGCCGCAATATGAAGGAATCAAGGAAGAAGCTGAGAAGTTAAAAAGCCTTGATCATCCAAACATTGTCAAGTTCATCGAATTTATCGATCGTTGTACTCCTGAATGGTCTTTTGGGCCGATGTGCTTCATAATAATGGAATTTTGCTCTAACGGAAATTTATCAGATTTGATTGAAAGAAGAAAACTTGCAAATGAGCTTGTATCTCTCGAAGAGGCGAAAATTATGGGCTTACAGCTAGTTAAAGCACTGAGCTTCTGCCATGAAAAGATGATTGTACATCAGGATCTTAAGCCTTCAAATATCTTTGTCGACGCTGATGGAAAGACGGTTAGTATATATTTGAGCGATATAAGTTGCAAATCTTATCTAGCTAAAAATTGGTGATTTTGGTAGTGCATCAACTGTTCAATCTGTTGTCCTCACTGCACGGACTGAGAGTTCTGGTGTCAAGAATACTCCTCTTTATGCTCCACCAGAGACTTTTGAAGGGGATGGTATTACAAAATCTGCAAGACTTGATGTCTGGGGTATCGGAATCGTCTTGCAAGAGCTGATAACTTTTGAACATCCATTCGGACGGATTAATGGGAAAACTCCAACGAAAAATCAGGAAGACATAAGTAAAAATTCTGAATGAGTCGGTCTTCTATATTTTTTTAGTTGCAAATATTCGTTCTGGCTCGCGAACTCTGATTTCAGAAGTTCGTGGGGAAGAAAACGAGTTTGGTGAATTCGAAATTTTGCTTGCATCTTGTCTCAACACTGACAAGGCTGAACGGCCCCAAAATGCCATGGTTCTTCAAACACATGAACCTTTTCTTCAAATTTTTCAAGAATCAGTTTGTCACTCTGAATCTTGCGATGAAAGCAAAGAGCCAGAAGACATTATCAAGAAGCTTCAGACGGAAAATAGCTTTAATCGACCGAATCGAATATCTAGACTCTAGATTCAAGATTCTAGACTCTAGATTCTAGAGACAGAAAATAAGGCGACAAGAGATTATAGAGAGCAGCAAGACCGGGAGATGAAAAAACTACGAGACGTAAGTGTTGGTTTTGGAATCATGTTCGCATGTTTTAAGGATCTCAGCAGTCTGCAGGCGTCCGTCACCTATATAAAAAATCATAAAAGCTTAGAAATGTGGGACCTTGATGATCAAATTGGAATGTTTAATGGTGCTGGTTTTTATTATGGCCCTGATGACTCCAAAGTTCGGCAAACCATGAATGATCATCAACTTAGTCAAGTTCTTAGATTGCTCAGTATTGGTGGAGCCGTAAACATAAAGGAATTGAATTTTAATCAAATAAAAAGTATCAATTTCCCTTTTTGAAAACAACGCTTTAGTTTTTTATTAAAACATCAAATATCAAAAGATCAAAACTCGAATCTAGATAGACACTCATTTCAACCGAAAGATACAATATGGGGATTGGAAAATGGAATTTATTGCAGGAAGTTATGCAAAGAAAGAAAAACTGTGCTCTAAAAAGATCCTCATCATTATTTACGAATAACCAATGGAGGTGTGCAAAATTTCGTGTGCATCGTCTTCATATCTTAAGGTGTCACAAAATATCATGCGAGAATCGATCAGATTGATTGGCAAGACGGTGAAGTTCATGATGACGAGGAAATGATAAGTAAAACTCAAAATGGTAAAGAGGTAATGAAAGTGAAAACGGAAAATGTCGGAACAATTCGCTATAATCTTTCTCCGGTTGAGCCAGTGGCTTTCCATCGATCCCCTTTTTTCAATAGTTTTTGAAATAAATATTGCTTATATAAATTTCTCGATGTTATACTCATTTTTATGAAATAATAATTAGTTGAGTTTTGTTTTGTTTATTGGGTTTCCTTTGTCAATCATGAAAACAAAAGTTTATACAGAACAGAAAGTAAGTTTTTGTCATTGATTTGTACATTTTCGTAAGCTGGGCAAAGTGAAGAAATTCTTGGCATAAATATTTTCAAACAGTGTTTCAAACTTCAACATCTCCACGGTGCAGCAGCGGTTGTCGGAAATTCGAAGACGAGTTCAAATTATGAGACGAGATATCGTTCTGGTTCGGTGGTCTGTACTCGAATTCGCCTCTTGAAGGATCGAAGCCTGGGTAGTTTCCATTGTTTGAAAGCTTTGGGATGGTTCCAGTGGGAGTGTAGACGCTTCGTTGTCCCAAATGGTTCGGGTTGACAATCATCTGCTGCCCCATTTGCTGGGCCGGAATCATGTGCGTCGGGTAGTGAAACTGAGGTGGAGGATATTGCATTTGCTGGAGCGTGCTTTGATCCGCCATCGATCCCTTCGGAAGCTGCGAGAGTTGCGATTCATCCGTCGTGTAAGTCATTTGAACACAGTCGGGCACGGGTCGAAGAGTGTGCTGGAAATCAGCGCGAGAATGGAGTGGAGCAGAACTCCAGAAGAACTCGGCACCGTGTGATTTTTCGCCGTGATCGCGGAGGCCGAAGTTGGATAGGACGCTTTTGCAGCCACGCTGAGCCTGAAAAGAGGAGATTTAGGATCGTTGAAATCAAGGAAGAGTCATTTTTCCAAAAATTTCTTATTTTAAAATTGTCCATCTTGCCAATTCTTACCTTGATATTGCAAAGGCAATGATAAATAAAGCTGGCCACAGCATGGAAAATCGCAATCGCAGCCAGAAAGATCGCGACAGTTTCATCCCCGTTTCCTTCTCCTTGAGCATAGTAGAGCAGAATCAATCCCCATTCGCAGGACAGCAGCACTGTCAGCAAGCCAACCCAAAGCAGCGTGGATCTAAAAGAAGCGGTTTTTTATTTTGGATATTATCAATGACAATATTGAGCCGCGAAAGAGGGGAAGCGCGATCGGATACGCGCAAGTTGTTACACGCATAATCAGTTGTAAACTACACGTGAGCGAGAGAGTCAGAATATCGATTTTTGTACAAATTCACCAGCAGCGGCATGGATTTCTAAAAACGTGGGTCCAAAGAGAGAAAATTTTAGATCTGATTTATCTTATTCTGAACATGACACGTGACTTGGTCGAATTGATTTGGAGCGGAGGTATTAAGTGGCACTTGTGATTAGCCAGAAAAATTATATGAATAGGCAATGACTGGAATTAAGGGGGTAGACGTCGTTAAAGACGATTTTCAAGCTGATTTAAAGTGTTGGCACGAAAACCTGTGTAGAAAACCTGAGTCAGGGAACGCAAAAAGAGACTTTCATAAAAGATTTTTTCGGACCCTAACTCAGGTTTTCTACACAGGCTCTGACCCAAATTCTTAGTTTTGGGTCGAAAAAATCACTGGAAAGAGCCACGTTCTGAGTGAAATCGAAATTCCCCGAAATCTGTTTCGGACTCATTCCTCCTCTATCCGGTTATTTTCGGCTCAGTCTCTGCCCGGTCATTTTCTCCTCTCTCTCTCTCTTTAGAAATCCCTGGCCTGCAGCCAGCGAGCCTGAGTGTCCGTCTAACCCAAAAGCTCGTCATGCAAAAACAAAATTATAAAAAAAATTCTCAGATGTGAAAACATAAACAGAATTTTTCGCCGATAAGAAAAATTTCGGCTCGATTTCGCAACGTGCTCTAGAGCTGCTCTCAAGTTGAGAGTCTCAACGCGGCAATTAAGTCTTGAGAGCCGCGTTTTTTTAATAAAAATTCTGCCCAAAAAAATGGAGAGTCGAGTTGTCTTAGAGTTGCGATAAGAAGCTCTACGTCCGGGCTTGTGTGTGTTGTCACCCGCTGCGCGTTATCAGCGCAAGGAGACGCGCGAAATTGTAACGTTCTCGATCTCTGATCGCACTCGCTGAGGTGTAATTTTGAGTTTTAGAGTTTCGTTTGAGAGGTCTTATAAAATGACAGCTAGCTTCTTTTGGCGAAGGGGGCGAACTTACCGAATTTGTTGAACATGGAGCTGGTACTCCGGATTGTCTCGCAGTCGTGTCGCGCTGAAGAGGATCAGGAGCATTGAAAGTGAGGCGAGAATCACGGCTGGACCCGCAGCTGACCAAGTGAATGAGATTGACTCGCCGGCGAAGCATCTGAAAGGAAAAAATTTTAGGTTTTTATATTTTTGCTTTCTAGCTTACGATATTAATTCATTTTCTAAAGAGCTTTTAATTCACTTTATTTCTAGACAAAAAAGTCTAATTTGATACTGTATGAATGCTTTTATGGTTTCTTGGATTCCTGAGAAGCAAAATCAGCGTCAGAATACTGCACCATAAAGATTTAAAGGCTCTCCAAATTTCGAATTGGCGAACTGCCACTCTTCAATTGAGCGCAGAAAATTTAAGAGAGTAATATAAAGTATCAACAAAAATTTAACTCGTTCCCATTTCCGCGCGTTATTCATCATAAATGACGACTTTTCTTTCTCGTTTTCGAGAATCTGGGCAGCGGATCAAAAAGCACTGACCTTTCGCACGAGTCAGTGGATGTGGTCAGGCTAAACAACATTTTCGAAAATGAGGCGAATTTTTGGCTTCTTTTTGAAAATGGAGAAATTTACGCCACAGTGGTTGACAAAGGGGAAAGTGTTGTGAATATAAGCATAAATATATATTGAATTCGGATAATTGATATGGCTAAAATAGACGAGCGGAGGGGAGAATGATTCGATTTTTTTTCTTGAGTCATGTGAAAATAAAATTAACGGGCTGGAGACCGTTAAAATCACTTTTGCGGCTTCGATTTTGACTTGGCTTATTATTGAAGATCCTTCAGACCCTGACTCAGGTTTTCTACACAGGTTTTCGAGCCATGTTTTTAACATTGTGAACCAAAGATTAGATGGCTCTGATTTTGAGGCTGAAAGTTTTCAAAAGCATAGTTTTCTAAAGCAGACAAAAAAAGAAGCCTGAAATTAACAATTAGAATGAGCTAACTTTGAAAATGTGGGAAATGGGCGACCGCGCGGCGGCTCAATAATAAGCGACCGGTGATGGGTTAATTTAATCCCTGACAAGAACTAACGATTCATCTTTTACTTCAGGCACTCGGTTAAATTACGCGCCCGGCCACTTTTCCGAGTTATCGCATTTCGTTTTCTGACGATTCGATTCATTTTTTGAACGAAGAAGAAATCAAAGTCGATCTCCGAAGCTGTCATTTTCGGACCAAAAACATGGTTGTTTTTTGGCTAAAAGGACATTTCCTCCGATCATGAAGATATGTTGGTGGTCGGCAGATTAGCTTTGATATTGTTTCTGAGGCTTAGGTTTTTTTTCAGTCAGACGGAATCGTGTAAATAGAAAAATAAATCCGCCCTGGTACGAACTACGGAGGCCAGATTTAAATTGTTGATGGTTGGTTTCCGTTTCGCGAAAATCGTGAAAATCGTTAAAACAACGTCGCGAAATGGATCGTCAATAATTGGTACAGATAACTTTGGAACCGGCGAAAAAACGGGCTGAGCCCTTTTGGAGATGAGAGATTCTCACGATGGTATTTTGATACAAACTTTTGAGCCCAAAAAGAACGCGAAATTGGTGAAAATATTTGCGGACGCGGCAAGTATTTCGGCTAAATGACGATTATGGCACGCATTTATGGTCGCTACTGAAATGTGAGAGCAATTTGAGCTGCATAGAACACTGCACAGTACTGTAGAAAACTGTTAAATAGATTTTTTGGTCAGTTTCGGGTCGAAGAAATTCGATGGCCACTGAAAAAAACAGCCCCTTCAGTGCCTTTTCGGCAAAATTTTCGGAATGAATAATTTAGGAAACAACTCTAGAGGTTTATCGACAGTTTAGGGTTAAAATTTCAATTACTTGAAGACCATCCTTTTTGATCAGTAAGACAAATTCCTCATGCATCAAAACCCTTTTCCGATTAAAAAATCTTTACTCCGGATAACCAAATTTTGGCATGTACTTACAACTTGTCCGTTCTCGGGAACATTTGCGTGCCCGCAGCTCCGAGAGTGATCAGAATCGGTAAGCCGAAGCAGGCCACGTGAAGCCACCATCCGATGGGTTGATTTTTCAGCGGCTGGGAGCAAAGAAGCGCCAGATAAGCAGGACGGACCAGGCACCAGCAGAAGCTCATCAGACACATTGTGTGAATAAAGACGGAAACAACGTTGCAGGCCTGAAAAAAGAAATTTATAAATTCTATCGGAGATATCATCATTTTCCAATAATCCGATCCGCCGTGTCATTTTTGATTGACACATCTGTCCGCAAAAGAAAGATAAAGAGAAAAAAAGAGAAAAGCGTTATTTGATTATGAATATTTCAAAATCACAAATCGAGGAAAATCCTGTTTCGAAAATTGTCAAGAAACGTCTTTTTCTCGAATGTCTCACAGACTGTCTAGTAGACAGATCTGATTTTTACCCACTTTTTTGATACAAAACATTTTTTTTCGATCCAGATTCGAATCAAAAATTCAAAAATTGAAGAAAATCTGTTTTCAAAACTGTCGAAAAGGTCAATCGCCGGGGTGTTTTCTAGACAGTCTGCGAGACAAGAGGCTGTTTTGCAGTCGCAAATCAAAGATGGCATATTTCCCTCTTATTTATCGATAAATTCTAGCGCCGGAGAACAGAGAGGGATGACTTGAAATTTAGTCTCGAAAGCCGCGATATTTTAATGAAACCACTTAATTTGCACCCTTTCTACACGACGTCTTGCAGCTCCGATCGTGTCCAATTTCTAGCATCGAAATTGCAAAAAGCAATAATGCACCACCACCCGCACTCGAGCGCTTTTGCATTTTGAGCGGTTCATAATTTCAGGCGCCGCAACATGAGTAAATGTTGCGGGGAATGTCTAATCCAGCGCAGGTACTTTGTCGCCTCTCGGAATTAGAAAACAGCCAGAGCCGGAAAAGTGCTTTTCAAGTTTGTTCCGCGCTTTATTGCTTTGCGTAAAGGCGCTGAGAGGATCAAAACAAATGGAACCTCTCGCTGGCTTTCGAGGAAAAATGGAAGGAAGCGATGTTTTTGAATTAGGGAAAGAAAAACATGTTCGACAATTTATAAAATAACACTACTTCTATTCCTACAACTGTTTTTTCTTCTCAATTAAAAGTTAGAAAAGGAGTAGTTTCTTTTTGGTAAGAATTGAGTAGCGGCTGCATCGCAGTTTCTGGTTGGAGAAAAAAGCCGCGTATAGCGCGGCTAATATTTTTGACTCGAAGCCGCATGCGGCTTCTCGATTTTCTTTTCAATATCTTACCGGGTCAGAAGCATTCATCTTCGAATTCGTTGAAGAAATCGTGACGAGCGCAACCATCAGGACAAAATTGATCGCTCTGGCTGCGCTATTCAGTCCTCCAGCATCCACAATGCTCGCTTCTGGCAACAAAAGGCTCGCAACTCCACTTGCTGCATGGAGAAGAGCGGCGAGAACGAGGACGGCCATGAGCATCGTTTCGACTGTAGAGATTTCTTCGGAAATCATGATCGTTTCTTCGCTGTAGGATTCTTGCGTGTTTTGCCCCTGTCCGAGAGAAACGGGGCCGGAACCGCGGGAGCAGTAGCAGATTGTAGATCCTGTTTCGGCGTTTATTTCGTGTCTGCAGCTGTTTCCTTGTACTTCTGAACAACCAGCAGAGCTCATGTCGAAATGGTATCGGACAGACCAATTGACAGGCTCGTTACAGTCAGTGTGAAGCGATCCCATCCACTGATCGCTGCCGATTTTGATCAATGATCGGTAAGAACTCGAAGGCGCCGATTGATCGAATTCAAGAGCGATGGGCAGATTCGATGATGGATTTTCTGCCGGTTCGAGCCATGTTTGGATGTGGTCGAATTTGACTTCGAAGGGTTGCTTGTTTGCTCGCAGCTTGCAGCTGATTCTAGAGAGCAATCGCTGAACAACTGTGACTGACTCGCGGCGAAGATCCAGGCTGGATTTTTTCTTCTCGATGACTGGGGTGATTTCGCTGACAATTTCTAGAAGCGTCGTTTCTAGTTTTCCGCTGTCAAGATCTCTTGGATTCTCTTGTCGAAGCTGGTCGACGAATTCCAAGATTTTCTTCAAGTCCCAAGCGCGGAGGCTGCTTTTGTTTTCCACCACGGATTTGAGGAGGTCTTCAGCGGTTGTTTGAGCGACATTCGATCTGCTGATTCGAGCGGTTGTTTTTTGAACCCATGGAGAGAGGCATTGGCTCATGTCCGGCTCGGAAGTCCAATAAGGTTGGGAATTCGACCCTGAGCATCGGAGAATTGCCTTTCCGGGAGATTCGTAGCAAGAGGTTGCGCTTGAAGCGCCATATTCTGCCGCGGAAAATTGAAGGCCCCAAAAGGTCATTGGTGGACAGCTTTTCGGGGAGCGTGTTGTTCTTGGCGTTTTCTTCGTCGTAGTCGTTGTGGTGGTGGTTGTTGGTTTGAGAATGTCTCGCGGCTGGAAACGGAGCTGGTAGGTGATGGCGATTCCAGAGCTCCAGACTTGGAGAGAACGGACTTTTGGGTCATATTTGACACTTGTTGTCTGCGCAGGAAAGCCTTGGAGTTCGAGCCGACTCACGATCGACTCATCCACGTGGTTCCCGTTGACAGTATCGAACATAAAGAGCAGCCGATTCGTATCAGCCTCGATTGCGTACAAAATGCCACACGTCATCCAAGCCTCAGCAACCATCGTCTTTTCGAAACGCGTGTTGAAGGTCTTCAAGACTTTGAGACTTGACGGATCGAGCTGAGAAAGGACGATTTGACCGTTGTTGTTTTCCGTTGCGTAGATGGCCCAGAGCCCGGATTCATCCACGGCGAGGTCGATGTCTGTGTTGCGATCGATGGAGTAAGGAGAGGTGTCGTAGTAGTTGGCATCGGGAAGCTCCACGGTCCGGGATTCAAAGCGCCGCTCCAGATCGTACATGACGATCTAGAAGAAAAATTTGAGAATTGTTTGACTTTTCAGAAAAAAAATTCCCGTGACAAAAAATAAAATAAACAAGGTCCATCTTTATCGAAAAATTGTCTTGAGCTAATCTCAAAGTTTTGTTTAATCCGTGCCAAGAGGTGCTCCTGCCCGCGTCACATTCCGCGAACCATCCTCTCAAGTGCTCGCGGTTAGAGGGGGATAGCCTTGGTAAGAGGATAGCTGCACACGAGCTAAGGAGAGGGAAGATTACCAAACTTGTGCTGGATTATTTGGGAGGCGTAACCGGTTGAGATGTACTTGGAGGACCGCGGATGGTATTCATCCGTGAAGCGAACACTTGGAAAGATAATTGGGCGGAAAATTAGCGGTGGTGCTTTTTAAGTGCGATCAAGTTCCAAAATTGCGCCTCGCTCCTCATTCTCATTTTCCCGATTTTCTTCAAAGAAAAATGAGTCGATTAATAATTGACCAGATTCTGACCGGCTTCCTCAGAAGTTGTTTAGTACTTGTGAAAAATGACGGCCATCGGCGATCATAAATTGATCATCACCAATTTATGATTGCCAATCATTTTTCTGATTAATCATTTTCTTCCTCGCATAACAGGTTCTTTTCGCCGAAACTGCCCGAACAAGATAGGATATCAAGAACCACCAAATGGGTGATTGAGATATCCAGGCCGCAGCATAAGGCAGCATTGAGGAGTTATGTTTGGGAAACATAATTTTTATCAACGAAAAATATCACTTTGAGCGAGGCCTGTTTTGGCACTTGTCCCGGCAGTTGATGATGTGGCTGCTCCGAGAAGCTATCTATCAAGGAGCTCTTCTTCTTGCTACTGGTTTTATAGGAGACTTGAAAATGGAAACAGAAAAGCCCGTGAAATTTTAAAATTTTCTTGAGAAGCGGCTTTTCGGTTTTAACGAGGTAGATTGGCAGGTATATGACTTGGACCGTGTCCTCCATAAAAAAAGTTTAAAGGGTACCGGAGACATATTTAGCTTGACTTTTATTGGGTGATGAAAGGATTGGTGATTGGATGGGGGACCTGCTTTGCTTGATTTAAGGGTGTCAACACGGGATGGTGTCTAGACCCGACAAAAAATTTCGACAAATTTTGCGTGGGCGGCTATTCGGCTGCTGATTGGCCGGTTTTCTGAATTCAGTTTTCTGATTGGTTGAAAATTTCCACGCAAAATTTGTCGAAATTTTTTTCGGCTCCAGACGCCTCCCCATTAAGGGTGTCAACAGGGGTAGAAGCTTACCTGTCTTGATTGTCGCTTATTGTAGTAAAGCTTCCTATCTCTAACAACAAATCCAGTTCCATCCGCGCGCGTGTCCAGCCTAAAAAGATGGTCAACTCGGTAAAAGTGGAATTTTTTCTATTCTTGTTTTTGCGGAGAGGATTCAATCAAGACTTTTGCATGTATTGGTTGCATATTTTCTACCTGTAGTGGGTTTCTTGGCTGCCCTGAACGAGACTCTCCAAGCTGCGGAATTCTTTCAACTCGGTGGCTCCGGACTGATCCCACGGGAGGAAGTACACGCGGCTTTCGCTGTCCAAAGGATCGGTCGCCCAGGCTCCCTGAAGAAAATGAGTTATTCAACGACTTTTTAGTAGTTGCAAGTTCATGGTTGAAAAATTCCAGCGCTTTTTTAGGATTTGGGAAAATTGAAAATTGGGAAAGGCTTTTGATGCATATTTGAATATCCATGAATATTTGAAAATGATATATAAATAGAATATAGTATCGCTTTTTTGTTTCGGCTCAAAATAAGCCATATGTTCTGGCTCAGCGCCTAATCATCCGGATTTCCAATTTCGATACATGAGTTGAGAGTGTCGAAATTTAGTTCTACTTGATTCAATTTGCTATGTTCCAAAACTTCCAGCGCCAAAATTAGTCATCAAAAATGGTCTGAGAACGAATCTTTCAAATGATCTCGAAAATTAATCACCAGCTTCGCAATTTTAAAGTTGATCTTTCTCGGCCAGAGCCAAGAGGTTAATAGGTGCACTGGGTACTCGATAAAGAAAAACAGAGACGCACTTTGAAGTCTCAAGCCCTTTTTTCCTTATCAAAAGAAAACAGGTCGCTGGGCAAGTTTTTTTTCTGATATTCTCAGCTTTTGGCAAACTGACTGCAATTTTGATTGCAATAATGAGCGCGAGAATGCGATTTGTTCTCTTTTTTTCAGTGCGCGAGGGGGGTTAATTGAATCCAGTTGTTAGTAACGTGGTTGCGGCGGGAACGTGGTCGCTCTAATTCGATTTGACCTTTTTTAGACCCGAGCGGTACTCAATTTGGCAATTTCCAATAGTTTTATCCTACCTCTTGTCTGTATTGAGTAAATTGTTCTCGGGGTGTCGAAGCAGCAAGAGCGACGCCGGGGCATTCGAAGTCGACGGCTTCGCAGTCGTACTCGACGGTCAGGTAGCCAGTGCCGTCGTCACAAGGGTCGGTGCCAAAAGTGGATGGGTCGACTGCCAGGGAGCATTGGGGCTTTCCATTACAAGCGGTCGAGACAGCTGAAAAAATTGAGATAATTAGGGGCATCCATCATTGTGATCTTAGCGTCTTTGACGGGATGAAAAAAGCTCGAATCTGATTGGCCAATGCTTTTTTTTTGCGCATTTTGATTGGTTTATTCAATTTGTAAAGGTTTCGAATTGCTTTTTTTATCGAAAAAAACTGAGATACACCCTTAACCGAAAAAAAAGATGGCTCGAAAAAAGGTGGAATTTGATTGGTCAATGCATCCTTTTTGGGATTTTGATTGCTTCGTTCAATTTTCAAGGATTTGAACTGCTCTTATTCTTGTAAAAAGAGCTGAGATACACCCTTAATCTTAAAATAGAAAGAAGTTAAAACTGTTCTTTAAAAAATAAACATCATATTTTTTTGAAAAAAATCGAGTTGATGGTATCAGCTCCGGAAATTTATTGATTGAAATTCCGGAAGAACAGCTCAAAATATTTCTATTCTTGTTTCTCCTTTTTGCGTGTAATCCGTTTACGCACAAAATGTACCTTGTTTGGTATGGACGACAGGAAGTGAACATTTCTTGTTTGGCGCAAGTTCCGTTTTGGCGCTTTGGCAGACGTCGGACTAGAATAACAATTTTTGAACACGAGTAAACAAACAATAATCGCTGGAAAATGTTCTTGACAGATTTGGGCAGATACAGACAGGCCTGTAACTGACGAAAAATGCTTACCTCGAATCTGCCAAACATGGCCTTGATGATATTGATTTCGGTGCCGCTGGGGCAGACCAGATCCAGCGTCTGCCCCGGACATCCCGTCCGCGAGCGCGCAGAAGCCAGCGCCGGCAGAAGGATCAATGCTGAACAAATATCGTTAACATACATTTTTAAGTTCTGTTCTCTTCAGAATTCGTTTCTTCTGTTGGCGACAGAAGGAAGAATTCCGAGAGTCAGTTTTTTTTATCTAAAAAGCTGATTTTGAATGCAAAAATTAGGTCTTTTCAAAAAATAAATCTAATAATATATTGAGCCCAATCATAATTAAGATTTTCTCAAAAAAATAGAATCTCGAATTCCGATTGGTCATCATTTAGTTTTCGGGTTTTTCATTGGTTAATCGAATATTTATCGAAGTATACAATTTATAAAGCAAATTAAATAATTTCTTAAAAAATAAATTTTTGAAATCCTTAAAATTTTTTAAACGGTATCTTCTTTATTATTATTTCGCATCATCAAATCTGCTTCGCGCATAAAATATTTACAAATTGACAACTTTCGCGCTCAATTAACTTTACTAAGCGCAACATGCGGATTTATATTAATAAAGCGCATCTAAATCCGCCTTCTCAATTGTGCCATAATCCCATGTTCTTTTTGAGTGTGCCCAAGTGAGTAAAACCAGCTTAGTTTTTCGCGCTTCTTTGTTCGAAAAAAATGAAGAAATCTGAATTGTTGGCTTTGCTATTCATGCGTGTATCGCTCCTTCTTTTTGACATGCCCTCAGGCGCGTGTGTTAAAATAAGGACACGGAAAGTACAAAAGAAACTCAGAAGAGTGAAACATGCCGCTGAAATTGGATCTGAAGTGTCAGAGCACTTGAAAAGCAACTCAAAATAGAACATAGAAAATAACATGCATGAGAATATAAATAACTAAATTTCGCTCAGAACTGAACTATCCGTACGTGGACGCAATTTTTTGAACAGGGAGGAGAGCCAGTTTATTTGAATAGTTTGAATAATTATTTATGCTACAGGAAAATTTAATCATTTGTATATTTTGAGTGAACATTATTTTAAAGATAGAGAGCATTTTCGAGCCGAAAGAACATTTTCATGAAAACTCATTTTCTTCTCGAAAAACCTCAATTTTCTATCCGAAAAAGAAACTTTCATGAAGCCTCATTTTCGACTCGAAAAGCGTCCGTTTTTTCGCGCGCGAAAATGTCGATTTTCTTTCCGCTATTATGCAATATTTATCCGGCTTAGTTCAGTTTAACCAGCTAATTCTTCCGACGAAAATCAATTCAAACTTCTCGCGCGCGAATTTTGCGTCGAAAATGAGTTTTCATGAAAAAAATTTTTTTACGATTTGCTCAAAACATTGGCAAACTTTCTCAGGTACCCAAAAAAGAGGGGAGAAAGCGATTCTATTTGTGAAAGATAAATTTTGACAGCGGGTTGAATAAATTGACATTTTAACATCTTGGGAAAGACGACTGTTCCTGCCCCGCGCGAAATGACAGGCGATAAATCGGCAAAAGAATAAATTACCGGACGGACGAACCGATTGACAGTTCAAAATTCGGCCGGCTAAATTTGGAACTTCTCGATTTAGATGAATCTTAATTAGCTGACTAGAATTTGAATAAATTTTTCATCGAAAAAACCACCTTCAAAATCAACCTAGAAAATTTCGTTCTGAGGAAAAAATTCTATAAGCTGCGAAAACCGCGAAAAAGGGCGGGTACAGAGATTCGGCCTCGCGATAATAGAATATCTTAATTCTTCGTCTTGTTCTTTCTATCGATCATTTATTTCTCGTGGCCCGCGGCTCACCCGTGGAAATGATAATTGATCCAACTCTTTTGGCTCAATTCGAAGAAAAAATCGAAAATGAAACTTTCCCATAATTATCCATCGAAAGTTGCATAATCTTTTTCTCCATCAGTAGCGAAAGTCGATAAAATCTGCAAATATTTGGGGGCATAAAGCAACGAAAACAATCAAAAAAAGACTTTAATAAAAAAAACATGAAAATTTTACAGAAAACTTCAAAAATTCGAGCTAAAATAAGAAAATTTCAGAAATCATTTTATGAAAAATATTTAAAAGTTTTTCTGTTAGAATTCATTTTTGATAGGGAAACCCTTAATTTTCTTTTTTTTTTTCAGTAGAAAAAGTAATTTTTGACCAAATCGAAGCATTCAAAAATTAGATTTTTTTTTTAAAAATTTATTTTTTATTAAAATTTTAAGAAAAAAATCGTATTTTTTACCTGTCAGCATTTTTATCTGTCTTTTCGCTCTTCTATAATCTTTTCTTCATAAGTGTTAATTCTTCTTATTCTTCTGAGACTCTCTTTTTTCTTCTTTTGTAATCTCTATTTCCGAGTTTTTATAAAAATATGAAAAAAATCAGTTGACGACACGGTCTATTTTTCGAAGCGATAAAAAGGTACGACCTAATAAAAAGCCAATCGCTAATCACTCAGTTGGCGTGTCTTTCAAAAAAAAATCTACAAAAATCGAGATCGGTACCGCGCCGCGAAAAAAACGCGCGATTTTTGGGAACTCCGCAGCGCCACCCCGCGCGCGCATCGGAGAACGCAGCGGTGAGCGCGCTAGGGAGCTGAAAATGGAACTGAAAGAGTGGAAGGTGCTGAGGAGCGAGGGGGACCTGCGTCTTGTGGGAGCGATTATCACGATTACGAAAAAGTGTTGTGATAAGGAGCGGATCAAGGGGATAAGGCGATGGACGAAATTTTACGGAATAAGGGGATCAATCAGCTGGAAACGAAAATAATACAGAAAAAAGATTTTCATTATGAAATATAAAAAAAATATTTAAGGACCCCCCGTCAGATTTTCCCTACAAAAAATGGAAATTTTTAAGAACACCATATTTTTGGTTCTTTATGCGTCCCAAGGTTAAAATTGCTTCAAAAACTGAATAAAAGGAATCTTTGACAAAGAAAAATCAATACTTTTGCCAAAATATGGGCAAATTCGTCAATTTTCGGCGAAAAGTCCAATTTTCAAATGCGATTTTTGGGGTTAAGGAGTCGAGATAGACCCCCGAAAAATGAAGCCTCAAAATCATTTTTGGATCAGTAGAATCCATTTCCGGGGTCAAAATTCTAAAATTCCGAAATTTGATTTTTCGAAAAAAGCTTGCGGGGAGGGGGGGGGTCCTTAACTTGTCATTTGGGTCCATTCTCCCTAATCAAAATAATTTAGATTCTTATTCCATAATTAGGGTGTTGATATAAGATTTCTGATTTTTTTCTAGCGATCCAATCGTCTTTTCCTTTTGGGGGTCCATATTTTGGATGGATGGTTGGATTGGTTATATCAACACCCTATCCATAATTGAGTTTCCCGGGACTCACATTAACTCCCTGTGAACTAATATGCATTCACAACTCCATTCTTGTTGGCTCTACAAAATTACCGTTTTCATGCCAAGTTTCTTGCAAAACACCATGTTCTTAGTTGTATTTTTTGTCTTTCCAAAAATATTAAATACTTGATACAAGCAGATTCGCTCGCTTTTTTCTTAAAAGTCTACGAGGGCTGCCTCCTTGGTTTTGAAGAAGAAGATCATCAAGTGTAAAAAATGGCCTGAAATTTGGAAAACGCGTGCCAGGTTCTGCACAATTGCGCACAATGGAAAGACATCATCAATTATGCAACCAGTGGAAAAGAATTTTCCAAAACCTAAACAACGAATTTTCAACTCCAGCTGTGTCCTGATTTTCAAAGACAAAAAAGAAGAAAATCGAATTGGAGTTCCAGCAGCGAAAATATAAATTCTTTCACAAAGCTAAAAACTCATTCAAGCTGTAAAAAGAAAGTACGTGGGCTCGGAAACCTGTGTAAAACCCTGAGCTTTTCTTTCCGATCCTGACTCAGGTTTCAACGCAGGATTCCAAGGGGACAAAAAATCCCGACAAATTTTGGGTGGAATTTTTCAACAAATCAGAAGCCTGGATTCGGCAAACCGGCCAATCAGCAGCCAAGCAGCCGCCCACGCAAAATTTGTCGAGTTTTTTTTGGTCGAAAATTGAACAAATTTGATTACTTTTTCTTTCCGTTCAGATTCAATTCTCGGCCCAATCTATCAATCCGACATCCCTTTCCTTTTCAAATACCCCGAATTTCCCACCTCAACCCAAAAAGAACCGAAAACATATCAAAGCGCAATTTCGTTTCCCACCTTCCATATGTTGATCGATCAGGCGGCCATAAAACCGCGCCGCCATAATTACTTTCCACGCTCGATTTCAACCCTCTTTCAGCGCCCAAAAAGGCTAAGAACTCGTTCCGCTCTTTACTTCCGGCAAATTTGTCGGTATTTTTTTATTTACTGTTGCGTCACGCTGCGCTTTTCTCCGCTGACAAAACAGGGGGTGCCTCAAAAAATAAAAAGCTAGAGGGAAGCGCTTACGGTTAAGTTTTTTCGCCTTTGATCTGATTTTTGCGCCGATGAACTGGTGAAAGGTGGATGTATTGTTTTAGGTTTGAGGCCGGGTGTTTCTGTTTTGTTTGAAAATCGGCGAAAATGAAGGGGGTGGAGAGTAAGTAGCTCAAATGAGAAGCAGAGCGGAACACGCAAGATATGGTCCTTCTTTTTCTAGTGCTTTTTACTCGATATGTCCGGAGTCGAAAATCTGTTTACGATGAACATTCATAACATTTTATGATATCTCATTTTTAAGAGGGAGGGTTAACAGGAGTCTTTGGAATAATGCTTCTATCTTATACTGGTAATATAATTTAATCGACATTTATTTCTCAATTAAAATACAAAATAAGAAAATTAATATCAGAGTTTTGGTGTTTGCATTGATTTTTATGATATTTCTAGAGAAATAAGAAGGGCATTCGCAATTTTCAAAATTTCTACTTATCAGAAGTCTGTATCATCCTTTTCAAGCCTAATTGGCATACTATACTTATTCTGAACGGTCAAAGCCTCCTTTACAACTTGTAAAGTTTACAAGCTTATATAGACTATATAATATAGTCAGCTTTCTCCAGAAGTGGGGAGAAAAGAAGTTAGGAGCATCTATCCGAGATTGGCCACTTTTTATGACCTTGAAAAGCCCAAAACCAGCAAGGGGCATGAGAAAAACCCCAAGGGTAAATAGTCAGAATGATAATGTCATTATTTTTCCTGATTTATATGCTCTTAAATTTTAAGACTTAAAAGAGGTCATTTTTCATCGGGCAAACCATTTACTTGAAATAGAGTTTTTCAAAAAGTAATCAACTTTTGCATCACGAAAAAATTCTTATTGTGATAGATAATCAAAGAATTATGGTGTTCAGAGAGAGAAAAATAATTGGCGCGTATCCTCCAATTTATCTGAAAACCACTTAAATGAAACCAAAAAAATAACCTGAGAAAGTCCTTGCCTTCTTTTGTTTATTTCTTGCGATTAGAAATCAATCAGTCATTAGCATTATCTTCCCGTGTCCGATCTCCGTCATTCAATTTGGAAAAAAAAATCAAGGTTAATCCTCTGACTGTCATTCTTCTGCCAGTTCCGAAAATTTGGGCTAATCCAAAACTTTCTCGGTCAGCTGCAGCGGGAGCCACGTGCTCCCAAAAGCAGAAAAACTCGTGCGTTTGTGTATCACCAGACCAAGCCACAAATATTTTGAACTGCAATTTAACGGCAGAATGTTCTTTTTGAAACATCTTTTTCTCAAAAACATGTCAAATGACTGTTACTTCTCGAAAAATGTAAGTTCATTTTTGACGTCTTTTTTTGAGAAAAATTTCTAAAGAATCCAAGAAAATTCGCAAAAAATATTCGTTTCTTTAAATCTGGCGCCAAAATAAGAAAAAATTTTCGCGGGAAATTTGAAAATCGACTTTTTCGCGGCCATTTTTTTCATAAATTTTAATTATTTCGGCCGTCCAAATAATTTTTTTTTCAAAAATTGAAAATAATTTTTTGAAAATTAATAAAAAATAATTTTTTTAAAATTGACCCTAAATATCCGCCTTCGCGTGTAATTAGTAGCTGCTTGAGTAAACTCCAAAAAAAGGTGTTAAATGTTGCCTAACGGCCTTTTTACCGACCGCGGTGGCCGCGCTTGGAAGTGGCCGTCTTTATCTGATCCATTTCTGCGAAAAGAACACAGAGGCAAGCTAACAAGGTTATTCCCTGCGGGGGATTACTCTTATGGAAATTGTGGTCAAGCACTTTTCAAGGTGGAAATAGACTCTTTTCAGATTGATGTCATTTTTTTGATCTCTTTGAGTTTCAAAAAAGGGAAGGAATTCCAATTAACCCGTCTTCGTAGGTTAACCAAAATGCTGGCAAATAACAGGCTAAAATAATTGATGAAAAATAATATTGCCTGTATATGATAAATAATAATTAAACAGTCTACTAGACAGATAGTTTGGTAGACGATTGATCATATAAGATCATCAGAAAAAGGACATTCCCCGTGAAAAAATTCCAGTACACTAAAAACTGCACAATAAAAAAATCCTTCTTTGTGCAAAATTTCCGGTCTGATGCGTTTAACCACTCGACCTCGCCCCGCTTCTGTATACTCAGACGGGCGTCAAACTGTTATTTTAATTCGGCCCCTTTATGTCTCCAGCTCCAGGGAGGAAAAATAAATCCAGAAAAAATAATCTCTCCCTCTTCAAAGAAGCGGGTTTGTTATTTTTTTTCTTGAGCAGGTGATAATAAAAAATTATTCACGGAAAAGAAGTTCTTTCACCTTTTTTTCAAGCGATAAAGAAATTTGAAATTTCCAGTTTTTGAAATTCTAGTGCCCAAAAAAAGAAGCTCATTTACTTTCTTACGTCCCGAAAATCAATTGGCGAGGGGATTATGCGGCTCGGATGAAGTGTCACTATTTTGTTCCCATTGAACGAAAGTCGACATTGGGGCGAGGTGAATTTTTGAGTTTTGAATTTTGAAAACTTGCAATTTTTTTCTTTTCGGAATTTTTGAATCTGGAACTGACAGCCGATTTTTACGCGGCGGATGGAGCGTGACAGCGCTTCTGGATTAACCATAATCGTACTCGAATTGGAGATGGAGGATCAAAGGGTTGTTATCTTATTACAAGCTACTAAGTACAGTGCAAAAACGTGGTCTGTGATTCGATTTATAATTTTTTATCTACCAAGGTAGTTTTTTGACAGATTTTAAAGGAAGAAATAATGAGCTGATAGGTTCCCTCCCATGGTATCAGTGCGCGTATTTTTGCGGATCCTAAAGGATCAGAAGTAAATCCGCCTCACCGGTGGTAGC